ATTATATGTAGTATATAAGCAAGCGAGAACCACCAAAATATTTACGTTATACAGGGCGATTAAATCTTAAACTGACCAATTTTTTCCCTTGGAGATCTTGCAAGATATGGGAGGCGTTGGAGTCGTTACAAAATTAGTTCCACACGCAACCAGTGTCGTAGATATGGGACGATAGAAGGGTAGGGTGTCGCAATGTACCTTTGCATGCGCGTGTTATATTTTGCTAGTGCATGGTCCTGATGCATCGAATACCAGTTGTCGTTGTAATTATAAAGTTCGCAGAGAATGTGTTCCAGCAGATGGGGGTTTCAAAAGTCAATAAATTGCGATCCTATTTGAAAATAATTAATGATTCATTCGCCACAGTTTCCAATTTAATTAAATTATCCCTGCAATTACCGATTCACAAATTGTTAATATTCGTACAAATATGTTATGAAATTATGTACAATTGTTGGCTCTCTAATTCATTGACTGATTGGTTAACGGTAACTTATATTTAACGATGTAATTCATAAATGTTCATCGAAATATGTATAATGTTGTATAGATCTTTCAATTGTCGATGGACAATTAATTATGTGAACAAAATAATTATTTAACCACACGGAAGTTGTATATTTGTTACGATGCAATTAGTAGTTATTTCAAAATTAGGTTAGGGAAATGAATTTGATAATAATAATGGGTCGTTGACCCCAGTGACGTGTCACTGGATAACCACAATTTGACCAATTGTGATTTTAATCAATAAATGTAAGGAATTACGTTTAAAAAACTCATTAAAGTAATAATGAATGAACGGGAAGGTAAACACCAAATATACACTGAAATGAGGCGAAAATAGATATTTTTATATTCGTGTTATCAGTATCAGCTCTCATTGTTTTTTTTTTCGAAAGATAAATTTGCGATTGTCGGTTTGATATTGTTTATTTGCCAAATCGATAATCTATTAACACTTCGACGGTGCGAGTAGAACCATTTAACACGTTTTACGCTTTGCTACTCAGTACGTTAGATCTATTGCTTTCATTTGTGGTTAATTAACCGCCGCTTGTGGGACAATATTTACCGATAAACGGATTTTTCGCTGCGGAAATTGAAACTGCAAGGTTTTTTACGCATGTTTCGATTAATGGAATACAACTATTCCTACGCTGTGTTATGGAAAACGTTGTGTAAACACAATTGCATGGGACAGTTAAAAAAACCGATCGCGATGCGGATGCTTGCGTAAAAGCTTGGTAACTGCATTTCCTATCCAGCCTCAAATGAGTGATTGCAGTGGAACGTCGTTAAAACATCGCATCAATCAAAATAAAAATGCACCGCTTACTAAAATATTGCGTTTCAAGGCATGCGTTGTCCTTAAGGAGGTTTTTTTTCTTTGTGGGACTGGCAGCTACTTTGCGTGCTATGAATTTCCCTTGTATAGACGAAACTGTTTTTCTAGAAACCACAGTAAATAAAGTTCGAACTTCTTCGAAGTTTGTTTGGTGTATAATCTGAATAAAGTTTTTGTTTGAGTTTGTCTCAACTTTCCGTATGAATAATACAGTTCTTTCTCAATCCACTGGCGATGTCGGAGTATTAACTTCGTTGCTCTAATCACCCGGGCATTGAGATTATATTAAATTTTTATATTTTCGTCTGAAAATACACGCCTTCGAGGAGTGAAACTTAATGTACTGTTTTGTTTATAAAACTGTACTGCCCTTTTTTCACGGTAAAAGTAAAAGTTCGATTGTGTGCAGATAAAATTATAAGCGTTCTAATTGCCCAATTTTTGTTTTCTGGCACCTGCCAAGTGTCCGAGAACAATTTCCAATTTTATTTTAAGATTTTGTTTACCAACCCACAACGCTACCGTACCAAGGATTTGCAACGTTGCAAGTCGTCCTATAAAGGATCAACTGCCTTTTTGACAATTTTTTTTATGCGGTTTAACTCCGTGATGAATTTGGAAATAATCTACTACGAACAAACGGGAATTTCGTTAAAACTGAATATCTCCCGAACAATTCCGGATTAACTTGTTCGACCGAAGTTGGGGGATTAAATTTTAAAACTTATTACGCTTTTAGCTTCACCAATTAGACAAAATCGCGGGCGAACAAAGCACATTTACGGCACGTTTTCATTCTATTTACACAACGTTTTCTTCATTGCTTGCACAATCGTATATTAATAAACAAGATTCTTTTTTAGATAACCTCATGCTTGGGATATTAATATTCTTAATATATTTTCCTTGTATAATCGCACGAATAAACAGAGACAAATGCAAATATTTGCCAGTAATATCTAATAAGAATAATCCGTTTTCCAACCCTCAAAGTAGTTATGTTTGCGAACAACAGAATCTTATATTACAAACGCCTACTCCCACAAAAAAAAATCGATGTCTTCGACAGCCAGTAGAGTCCATAAAATTAATGACCAGATGATAAATAAATAATTTATAAGTAAAATTACACTACACAGGGAGCGTGTGAAGTACGCTCTTTTAAATATTCATATGTATTTGAACGAAATTTTAATTGAAATGTAACAGTTGTTTGCAAACACTGTGCTATGACTGCGTACACACTGTGCTGAGATCGCTTCCACAATTTAAAATCCTTAAATCAAAATAAAACTGTTAGTTCCGAACCAAAATTCAATAAATCGTTTCCGGCGCGTATAATAATACAACTAATACGGCCTGAACACAGTTTTACGACGCCTAATAAGTGGAACCCAGTTTATTTTAAAACTAAATCTAAGTATGTAACTACAACGTACGTTTTAAATCGATTTGTAACGTATTTAATACTTGTATAACCAGAACGGTCTTAGCACAGTTTGAACACAGAAATTTTGCGAGTTGCCAAATTTCCAATGATTAAAACGAGAATTAAACGAACATTGCTAATTTTAAAACAAAATTCATTAAATTATATGCAACGAGGATTTTAACATAACTCATACGGTCTGAACACAGTCCCTACACAGTATCATTAAAGGAAAATCAGCTAAAAAAATCAGCTTGTTTATTGTAAAATTAAAACTAAGCAACTTAATCTGCAACTGCGATGTATGTTTTAAATCGATTTGTAATGTATTTAATACATGTAATATAACCAGAGCGGTCTGAGCACAGGCTGCAGGACGGTCTGGACACAGTAATTATGATTGTGCAAAAAGGATATTGTTAATTCTAAACTAAATTTCATAAATTTATTTACAGCATACATTATAATATAACTCGTACGGCCTGAACACAGTGTCTACACAGTATAATTAAGTGAAAATCGGTTAAAAAAAAATAATTCCAAAACTATTTGATTTGAAATATTATCCCTAACAGCTTGAACACAGTGAACATGACGGTCTGAACACAGTCACTGTGCTCTACTATCACACTTTGAATGATTGGTTTGAAAATAAAAACCGAGTTAAAAACGTTAGTTTTTAGCAATTAAATCATGATAATATAACTGATACGGCCTTAACACAGTACAGTGAAAAGGAAAATAAGTAAAAAGCAACCTAAAATCGTTTACTTTAAAGTTTAAAAACTTATAATATAACCAGAACGGTTTGAGCACAGTCACTGCGTGGAAATCAGCTCCAGAGCAATGGGGCTAAATGATAGTACGAGTATACAAAGTGTGAACGTGTCTGTTTAAATATTAGGAATTCTCCAAGAGGGAACTGGCTTCGGTCTTTTTACAGGCTACTATTTACACTTCTGGCGTATTTAAAAAGGGATTAAATTAAACGGGACGATGGCGGATAAAAAGTTTTATGTGGATTATATGGAAAAAGATGCCTTCTATAATGGAAAAGTCTCCTTTGTCAGTTAATTAACACTTTTGTCGGGATTTTTTTGTGCTGTGCAGTGACATTTAACGAAATTAGGTTTTTCTGCTCAAACTAGTGCAGGGGGATTTTGTTAGGTAAAATGTGAGCGACTTACATAACCAGATACTAGGTCGGCTATAAATAGACAAGTTGTTGCGATAGAGTATTTCTAAGTGAATAGTCAAAACTCGAAATGTAAATATCAACTTCCACAAGGATTGGCACGTATTGGAGTTGTATCTGAGTGGCTATCAATCGTTACAGTTTAAAAGACACGGCGGCCAACATAGAACCCGCTCGATCGCATTTGAATATATGAGTTGGCTTGCTCGCGATTTTTATTATTTAGAACGTTGCGTTATTTCACACGCTAGCAACTGTGTACTTTTTAATGTTCGACGTAATGACATTCGTATAGAAATCAATGAGACATTTGACATGAAGAAAATTATTAATGGCTATAACGTAATGCACCCATAAAATTCGGATGAAAGCGAACCGTTCTCTTACGCTGACATTCACCCTCGATTAACCAAGACATATATAAAGAGTAAAAAATCAATAAACATATTAGAGGATTCATCACAGCACATACGCAGCAGAGCGACTTCTAAAGCATTGGAAAATATAATTTAATGTAATCAGAATGTAAGTATTTTGTTATATACAGAGTGTCTGCCGGTTTATACGCATTAGAGGTTGAACATTTCCGGAAAACTGGTGGTAGGAAAAAAACCGTTTTTTCTCTAGAAAGATTGGAAACAAAGGAGAAAATTTAAATTCGTAGAATATAAGGGTTCTAGCCACTAAGTATGTTTGATAATGCAAATAATATATTATTAAATAAAAAATAACTTTTAAAGAGAATAATTGATAAGTTGATCCGCCCGCCACTGGAAAAATAATTTCATTAATAAAGTAAAATAAAAAAAGACAAAAAAATACTCAATAATACTCAATTTTTGACATGTTTGAAAAAAGTTTATTTTATTAACTAACTTCTTTTTCCAATGAATTCTTAAATTTTGCTTATTTTCCCACTTTTTTGCTTCGGAAGAACTGGAAAAGTGAGTTTTTTTCCAATTTTTTCGTTGTTTTCCGGATTGTCACATTTGGGTTATGCGAATATCTGACATGTTTCTTTGTTGCAGGGCTGCAGTATGAACTTCGCGAGTCCGCCAATAACCGTTTGTGGTCCGTTCAACCGGCGTCATACTCAGGGTGTGCATGGAAAGGCCCCATTAGTGCAACAGCCACCGCGATGAGTACAGTGGGGGCGGGTGTTTCGAGTCCGGGACAACAGGCCGGCGCTCGAACGCCAACGGTCCCCAAAAGGCCGGCACGCCGTCCTGGAAAGGCGCCACCCGACCGGCCGCAGCGCGCCCTCTTTTGTCTCTACCTTAAGAACCCCATCAGGAAACTATGTATAGATGTCGTTGAGTGGAAGTATCCTTTCAGAAAATCCGTTAATTTAGTTCGACGTTTTTACACGGCTTCAGCGTTGTTGGTACAACAATCACGTGACAGCTCTTCTACCACCCACGAGCGTTAAAATAACGTTTTTTGGTAGCTTAACCTTAACCAGTACATTGTAACGTCACGTTTGAACTTTTAACAACACCAACATTTTACGTTTTTAAGTGAAAGTAACGTTTAAAATGTACGTTTTTTTGTTCGGCTAAAGAACGTAATTTTTAACGTAAAATATAACGTTTATTTAGAGTTGCCTCTGGTTCCTTCATTAGTTAACGTTATATTAAAAATTATAACTGATTGGTAAATTGTTTGTCTGGCTAAAGAACGCCACATTTAAAGGAAAATATAACGTTTATTGAATTACCTTTGGTTCCTTATTTAACGTTGTATTTAACGTTCTAATTATAAAAACTGAAGGTATATTGTTTGTCTGGTTAAAGAACGTCATTTTTAACGGGAAGTAAAACGTTTATGTAGAGACGTCTTTCCTTCCTTACGTATTACTTAAAATTATATTTATAACTGTTTGGGAAATTAACGTTTATTTAGAGTTGTCTCTGGTTCCTTCCTTATTTAACGTTATATTTAAAATTATAACTGATTGGAACATTGTTTGTCTGGCTAAAGAACGTCATCTTTAATGGAAAGTATAACGTTTATTGAGAGTTATCTTTGGTTCCTTATTTAACGTTGTATTTAAAGTTATAATTATAAAAACTGAATGTATAATTGTTGGTCTGGTTTAAAGAACGTTATTTTTAACGGGAAGTATAACGTTTATTTAGAGATGTTTTTGTTTCCTCATTTACGTATTATTTAAAATTATAATTATAACTGAATGGAAAGTATAACGTTTATTTAGAGTTGTCTCTGGTTCCTTCCTTATTTAACGTTATATTTAAAATTATAACTAATTGGAAAATTGTTTGTCTGGCTAAAGAACGCCATCTTTAACGGAAAGTATAACGTTTATTTAGAGTTGTCTTTGGTTCCTTAATTTAACGTTATATTTAAATTTACAATTATAAAAATTGAATGGATAATTGTTTGTCTAGTTAAATAACGTCATTTTTAACGGGAAGTATAACGTTTATTTAGAGATGTCTTTGCTTCCTGATTTACGTTATATTTAAAAATATAATTATAACAACTGATTGGATAATAATTATTATTTGTCTAGCTTCCAAACAATCACAATTTTTAACGGAAAATATAACGTTTGTTTAGAGTTGTTTCGATAACGTTATATTTAAGGTTATAATTATGACGGAAAGTATAACGTTTATTCAGACTTGTCTCTGGGCTTTTATTTAACGTTATATTTGAAAATATAATTGTAACAACTGATTTGACAATGTAAAAACGATATATTTTCAACGTTATTTTAACGTTCAATCGGGCAATTTGTTGCCCGCCACTGACAAGCTGTAAAGTTTATTCGGCTCTGACGCGGTGATTCGATTTTATACGGGAATATGAGAAAAATACGAAAACAGAAAGATATAATGACAAATATCCGAGGTAACAAGAGCTTACCAAAGGTAGAACATAATTATTGGCGTGTTCGGTATTTGCCGAGGCTGGAATATAAAATCGATCGCAACCGACACGATTGCCAGCTGAAAAATTGATATACGCTTAGAGTTTGATCCGAGAATTAACGTTTGTTCGGGGTCTACGAAAATGTAGCTATTCGGGATGGATGTATGAGGTTTCATAGCGACGAGGATAAGTAATTACTTCGTCGCGTAGGAAACTTTTGCTTAATCTAATATTTGTCTCATAACAGTCAGAACTTAGTTAATGTTCAAAACGTCTCTGCAGTTTTTCTCGAGTGTGATTAACAAGTTGAGATCCTGTTTTATTAACACCACAGGTGTTTGATATTTACGTTAGAAACTATAATTAACCTCTTAGATCTAATTTAATATTTAACGGGACGTAGTACTTGCTCGTTACAAATAGTTGTAACATAATACTATGTAAATAAAGTTAATAAAAATAATACCCCGCAAATAAATCTGTCGTTCAGTGTATATTGTCAACATCTCAGTAAGCCGTTTATCTGACGGTTTTGGCCATTTTATTATAGTGATAAAATAAAAAAAGGAATCCTGCGTTTTGGTTTCATTTTTACAGCTCGGATAACAGCCCGTAATCTAAACGAATAGTTGGGTTAGTGTTTACATACAATTTTATGAATTACAATTTTATGAATGAAACGGCGATAATTGTACAGATCAAAGTGGGAGTGATTTTCCTGTTTAAAATTAGATATATTAGTACTCTTAATAGCCAATTAAGAGTTAAAAATAATTTCACCTCGGTTATGATCAAAACTTATTTATTTGTACACGCATAAAAATTTTCGTTTCGGAAACCGAGAAATACGAAACGAGTGCCGTTCGCAGCCGCATCTGTTTTCCTCAACGCACATTTAAAGCCACCAGCCATAATCTTGCAAGCTCGACCGCATAGAATGAAATTTAGAACGCTCTGAAGATTGATAAATTAATGACACTAAAGAAGTGGCATCGTTTTTAAAATTTTACAAACGAATCGATGAACAATTTTCGTTCTCCACTCCTTGTATATGTTAAATTGGGTCATTTCTACGCTTGAGAGATCATTCGGGCTATTCGATTTTCATGACGTGCAAATATGCGCTATATTCGCCTCCTGAAGCGCAAAGTCTATTGGCGGGGTGCTACTCTGATATTAAAACTGCTCTGAGATTTGTTTTTGTGCTTTAGCTAAAAAAATTAACTATCTTTCAATAATGTTACGCACACCTTCAATTCGTTTCAGTTGAAGGTTTACTGACGCCTCTGAAACATTTTAAATTATTTATTTTAAGAAGAAAAACACTCGTTTATTTCTACTAATTTCAAATAAATGTTTTAAATATAGATTTAACTAATAGTGTTACTGATTTTATTTAAGAGGTTTAACGGAACAATTGCTTTTCAATTTTACTAGTCCCGTCTGTTGGTGATAAAAAAAACTGTCACGTGATTATATACCCCTGAAATGCTTCTTGTACGTGACATTTACGATTTTCCTTAACTAGAGCACAGACCATTTGAATGGTTGATTTTGTTAACGATCTTCGCGAACTGTGTTGCCTTAGCTGTTTACACACCTTTCCCCAATAGCGATTCGAATACAACAAACGCATATTTGGTAAGTAACTGAAAAATCAGGAGCTTTCTCGACTCGACATCGAACTTTCTCGCGACCAAATCTAAAGGTTTTGAGAAAATCGAGTTATACGTAATAAAAGCGCGTCGCGAGCTCGTTACAAAAGGAAATGAACCGCGTAGGATGTAAAAGATGAAACGGCATATTTTTACTACCCTTTCCAGTTCTTATTCGCCTTTTATGAATAAGATGATGAATGCTATCCGCGGGATTCCGTAACGCTTGAACACCGCAACACGGTTCCGGCACAGCATGTGCAACGCGGTACGGTTCTAGCACAGCCTTTTTGACTTTTAAATAATCCACGGCTCTAATAAATAGGTAAAAGTAAAAACAATACGGTCTCTGCGCGAGATATCTTTCAGTAATAGTTTTAGCCCAGTCAGTGCAAAGCAGTGCGGTTCTAGCACAGCCTGTACTCAGCAGTATTTAAATGGCACGATACGGTTGTGGCACAGTCTTTGCACAGTAATTAATTTTGCCTATTTGAGCAGAAATTCACGATTTCCCATAAAATAACTGAAGATACAACTGAACAGGTTAATACGGTTCCGGCACAATCTGTGCAACGCGATACGGTTCTAACACAGCCTTTTTGACTTTTAAATAATCCACGGCCTCTAATAAATAGGTGAAAGTAAAAACAATACGGTCACTGCGCGAGATATTTTTCAATAATAATTTTAGCCCAGTCTGTGCAAAGTAGTGCGGTTCTAGCACAGCCTGTACTCAGCAGTATTAAATGGCACGATACGGTTGTGGCACAGTCTTTACACAGTAATTAATTTTGCCTATTTGAGCAGAAATTCACGGTTTCCCATAGAGTAGCTGAAGATATAACTGAACAGGTTAATACGGTTCCGGCACAGTCTGTACAAGGCGGCTCGGTTCTACCGCAGTAGAGCAATTATTATTCGATTTTATGAATAAGGTAAATAATATCCGCTACTGCATTGAAGGAACGTAAGATTCGGTAGCATTTAAACACAATACGGTCCTGGCACAGCCTGTGCAGCGAAGTACGGTTCTAGCACAGCCTTAATTTTATTTATTTGAGCAGAAATTCGCCGTTTCTAATAAACAGAGTAAGTAATGATACAATTAAAGGCGATACGGTTCTTACACAGTCCTGTGCACTATCTGTAAATGAAAGTCGGTCTTTAACTAGCAATGTGATTATTTTTAGCTAAATGAAACATTTAGGAATGATTGACCGTAAATGGTATGTTTTTTTTACAGGAAAAGATTGAATATATATTTTTAGTAATTTTCACAGTCGAATGTATAATGAAGATAATTGCGTATGGGTTTTTAATGCATCCGGGAGCATATCTCCGAAATGGTTGGAACTTATTGGATTTTACAATCGTAGTTATAGGGTAAGTGTTCCTGTAAATATTTACCTTTGCCATACACCGTGCAGTAAAAATAGGTCACAATTTATTCCTTACGTTTATGTCGTGTTAAAATCTCGATGCCCACAGCATGCATTTCGATTATGTAAAATATACTTTTACTAGTAAACAGAACGATAATTATTATCACATCATTTTCCAATTAAAGTTTGAAACAGATTCATTAGATTGACAAAAGGAGCACTAACACGATTTCAATCCAGAAATAGAAATAACGTCCAAATAAAGAGCCCTGGGGTCGTTCGTGCTTAAGTAAGTTAAACCAGGAAATATTACTTCGTCCACATACCCGCTATCCTTTTAGTATATTTGAAGTAAGAGCCTTCTAGGGGCTTTAATGATCCTTCTCCCACCTACGTACGAACCCTCGGTTGCCCGTTTCATAAAAATAAAATTGGTTTCCCGTTTCAATTCTCCTCGCAAACCGTTTTTAACCGAGCGCGAAAAAGTTATCAATTTATATTATAATTGCCCACACCTCGCAAACTTTTATCTCTCTTCGAATAGACAAAACTGGATACCAACCGTAACTCAACTTCATTAAGAAAAATGATACGTTTTATAAGCCCTTAGTACGAATTATTTCCTTGGGGCATAAATTCCTTTAAAACAATTCCCTGGGAGCGATGTCAACTTGGAAAATACTCTTTAGAGTGCCCTGCATGTAATCGTATTACTTGAAACTAATAGCAATTAAATTGCGTCTTAAAATAGAAATAGAATATACATCTCGAATAACAAGTAACAAAAAGCTGATTAGGAAATCTGACTGCGGCAAAAGTCCTGTTTAAATGATAAGATTTGGAAACATCGGTGAAAATGTCAAATTGAATAAATTTGGTTTAATTTGAATGATATGATTTGGGAACATCAGCGAAATTTACGCACAATGGTTTATCCCATTGTAAGTGGGAATTTTTCGTTAATATGTTGACGTTCGAGATTAATAGATTTTTCCTGATTGTTCCGCTAGATGTCCATTTTCACTTACAGTCGAACTCAATACATTTCAAGCAAACTTACCAACCCATTTCTAAAAATAATTATCAGGTCGTGCTGTGTTATTGAACTTGACTAAACGCTCCTGTCTGAACGATCGTTAGGGATCTATTAATATTTTATATCATTTATCTACAAAGTAATTCCAAATATGCGTTGTATACGATCCGGTTTTTTACGCCGGTACGCGGAGCTGTAATGGCCGTTTTCAAAATATTTATGGAACATGGTAACGAAATCGGATTATGTTTTCGTAAATTTCGTATATGTTCGAAAAAAATCAAGTACTAAGTGGACAATGCGGTTTAATAAACAAAACCCTTTCAGGAATGATCGATACGGTCGTTTTTAACTTGTGATGGGCATCCAAAAATAGATCACCTTCATTCCGTACGTTGTTTTTAGAATTTGTCGCTAGTAATTTTTACTGCGGCGTCTATGCAATAAAAAAAATCCCCCCGGTGTTATTACATCGATATACCCTTCGGGTCATTCGAGTCTAAGAACCAGTGGAGCAAAAAATTAACGAAAACGCAAATGTAGCGGAAACATAAAAAGATTGTGAACATGAAGAAAATAATCAGCAAATGCAGGCCGAGCTGTGTTCGAGGATATGAAATGAAAAAAAAAAGTTCACCACAGACGATTAAAAATTATCTTACCTCTACGGATAAAATCAAAAGCACAAGAAAATTTTATATTTAGTCCTTGTGCGGCATTTGAATTTTTGGCGGATGCGCAAGGAATAGACAAAAATAAATTATTAAATACGACCTTTTTTCACGAGTAACTGAAACGAAATCTTCAGTTTTCATGCAGTTGTTATATTACACGCGCAGGAACTATATTTTAAATACACAAGTCATTTTTGAAGAAAAATACGATTCGAAACATAGTTAAAAATTGCTATTAGTCGTATACGCGTATAAAATTGAAGTTAAAACATATTATTATGAAATGAATGCAAAATTGAACAGACTTTGAAACTCAAGTCATTGCTACTTTTTAATTTAAAAATAGCAAACTTTGAATGTACAACGTTGATATTTAAACTAAAAATACATCCCCCAAAGCTTGAACTATAAAATAAGTCCTACCTCATTACAAACAAAGCCGTTTTAAAAAGGGGAATAGATACGACATTTACAATTCTCGTAATTAGTACGCCACAAAATTCATCTAGGAAATATTATATAGCGCGGTATGAATACTAATAGTGCAGTATCCAGAGGGTAAAACGTGAGACTTTGAAATAATTAAACAAATATACGGATTTTTCTCACTGCGGAATTTCTGCCGTTTATCCCTTGACTGCCGCAATATTCCCTTTGTATCAAAAAGAGTGGAAAATGGAAATTATTACAAAAACCTAGTTTTAACTTACTCCATTACATTATACAGGGTGTTAGAAGTTTAACTGCCTTAATTTTAACAGACTATTGAGTACAGTAAAATAAACAAAAAAACCTTGTATGACATGGGTTCTACTACAAAATCGATACATTTCATTTTATTTATTTAAAAACGAAAACAATTGCCTTGAAATTTACTAAACGTTTCACAATAATTGTTGTTTACATTTTTTCCGTAGGACAAGTCTGCCGCGTGCACACGTGGTATGCACCAGCTGCGTAGCGTTAGGTAAGCGCTGTTGCCGCGTTGTGATGAAACTCCCCAATATTAATACTCGCTGTATTTTGAAAACTGTTTATCTTACGCCCCTGTAATATACAACTTTTTCATTTATGATTACTCTATCTCATGCTGAAGTAATGGCAGTCAAACTTCTTACACCCTGTAGTAAAAATACAATTATTAAGAATGTGTCTCATATATTGCGAACTTTTAACGGACTTTGCATAAACGAATTAAGAAGAAAAGCATTCACTTACCCTTTTCGCTGCTGGAACTACGACAATCTGAAAATTAATTTAAAAATACACGACATGTAAAGTTTAAATATCATTAATCTATGAAGAAAAGGGTATCAGTCCAAAATGTGTGCCCTGAGGAATATCTGAATATCTTATAGGTCCTATATACAATTTTTAAGAAGTACAGACTTGAGTTTTACGTATACTGAGATACTATTTATGTATCTTTCTTCGCGTTTTACATAGGAGACATAATGATGAAGACGTATTTAAATTGTGTAGGCAAATACCTGCATCCGTATATAGCACAAGCTGATACATTTAATGCAAATGCCATGTAAATCCCACCCGGCGCTTGAATTACTAATGTTCTTCGAGCGCTTTGTCACAAAAATATAAAACGTGTCTATTTAAATTTGTCCCAATTTTACTGCACGGGAAACGCAAGGTCCTTTAACAAACATATATTTTGCATTTTATGCTGATGAGTGTATTCTTGCAGAACAATAAGTTCGGTACTAGCGAACCTTACAAAAGATAGTTTCGACGTCAAAGCTCTCCGAGCTTTCAGAGTTCTTCGACCTTTAAGGCTTGTTTCGGGAGTGCCCAGTAAGTGACGCGGCTCGTTGGCCGGACCCTTCTTACAGTGATTTCGTTTTTCAGGTTTACAAGTTGTTTTAAACTCAATTCTCCGTGCCATGGTGCCTTTACTGCATATTGCTCTTTTAGTACTGTTTGTTATTATTATTTATGCTATTATTGGACTAGAGGTATTCTCAGGAAAAATGCATTGTACTTGTAAAAACCAGGGTAGGCGGAAGGTCTTGTAAACCTAGCCGATGTCCTTCATGTCTCTTGCGTTGTAGGTGAACTTATGGATAACCCCCACCCGTGCGGAGAAGGCGGTTTTAACTGCTCCACTTTGGGAGCTGAATGGAATTGCACGGGAGACTGGAAAGGACCAAACGATGGTATTACAAATTTTGATAATTTTGGGTTATCGATGTTAACCGTATTCCAGTGTATTACTCTTGAAGGCTGGACAGACGTGCTGTACAATGTAAGAAACATATTCAACTTTTCCAGCCAACTGATTGGATAATGTTTCCAGGTACAAGACGCCACGGGAAGGGCATATCCATGGCTGTATTTCGTTTCTATGGTTATCTTGGGTGCATTTTTCGTTATGAACCTAATTCTCGGTGTCTTGAGTGGGTAAGTTGCCGGGTAACTCTTACTTGTTCCGTATTTAACTAATCGTAAATTCCAGTGAGTTTTCAAAGGAAAGAGAAAAGGCGAAAGCCAGAGGCGATTTCCACAAGCTTAGGGAGAAGCAACAGCTGGAGGAAGACCTGAGGGGTTACCTGGACTGGATCACTCAGGCCGAAGACATCGAACCTGAAGGTGAAGACCAACAAAACCAGGACACGCGGAACGTCGCCCAGAACGAAATGGACTCTACTGATCAGCTCGGTGAAGAGGAAGTCCAACAGGAATCGTGGTTCAAGAAGAGGAGGAAAGACTTTGAGAGGGTCAATCGCAGGATGCGACGAGCTTGCCGGAAAGCTGTGAAGTCTCAGACGTTTTATTGGCTCATTATTATTTTGGTATTTCTAAACACTGGGGTTCTGGCTACGGAACATTACCAGCAGCCACCGTGGTTGGATAATTTTCAAGGTAACCGAAAGAACACCAATGGGATACTTGGTTCAGTCTCTATTAACATTTTGCTGGTCTTGATTCCACTCCAGAAACACTAGAGTACTTCTGGTCTATTGGAACGGTATCCAAAGACTTCTGATCAGCAGCAAAATGTCAAAAGAATTTACTTTATACTTGATTTAATTCAAAAAGGCCAAAGGCCTTCAATCATTAGACTTAAATACTTGATTTAGCTTGTCTTAATATTTTGATGATCTTGATTCAATTCCTTCTGAAGTATTGGACAACTTGAGATCATTTGGAACAGTATCCAAAGACTTCCGATGGTTAGCAATATTTCAAAAGGAATTAATTAATACTCTTTCTTAACATACTGCTGATCTTGATTCAATTCCCTCAGGAATATTGGAACATTCAATGTCAATTGAAGATCTCTGGTCATCAGCAATATGTCAAAAGAAATTAGACCATTTATTACGTTCAGTAAACAATAACTGTCTTTTCTTTATTTCAGAATATACAAATATGTTTTTTATTGCACTATTTACCATGGAAATGTTGTTAAAGATGTATAGTTTAGGGTTTCAAGTAAGTATTAGTACCGCTCGCTCTTTATTGCCTAACACTGTTCATTTCAAGGGTTACTTCGTATCGTTGTTTAACAGATTCGATTGTTTTGTTGTTATTGGAAGTATAACGGAGATGGTTTTAACAAACACACATGTGATGCCTCCTTTGGGAATATCTGTGTTACGTTGCGTTAGGTTGCTAAGAGTATTTAAGGTTACAAAGTAAGGGTGTTAGAGTTCGATGTATTTATTTTTACCGAGTTATATATTTTTTTTAGATATTGGCGATCACTATCGAATTTGGTTGCCTCGTTGTTAAATTCTATCCAATCAATCGCGTCACTGTTGCTTCTACTTTTCTTGTTCATTGTTATTTTTGCACTCCTTGGAATGCAGGTTTTTGGTGGAAGATTTAATAAGGATACGGAAGAGAAAACTAGATATAATTTTGATAGTTTTTGGCAGAGTTTACTCACAGTGTTTCAGGTAATAATCTAGGTCCAAAAAAATAAATGTATTATAAACTCGCATTTTTCAGATACTGACTGGTGAAGATTGGAACGTGGTTATGTATGAAGGTATAGCGGCTTATGGCGGCGTTGAATCATTTGGCGTTTTATCGTGCATATATTTTATAATCTTGTTTATTTGTGGTAACTGTATCCTTTCATGATTTAAAACAATCTATTTCAGCAATTAGTCGAGTTTCCTTAACATTTCGCAGACATTCTACTAAATGTGTTCTTGGCTATCGCCGTAGACAACTTGGCAGATGCAGAATCTCTAACAGCAATCGAGAAGGAGGAGGAAGAAGAAAAGAAATCGAAAAGCCCGACGCCAGTTCAGGAGGAAGAGGAGGAAGAGGGCGAAGAAGAAGAGCATAGCATAGAAGAGGAAGAGAGTGAAGATGGGCACTACTCTGAAAGGTTTCTACGTCGATTAGTAAGCGGATAAAGTTACTGACCTTGTAAAATTTTAGATCGGAACACGAAGAGGCGGAATCTCAAACCAAAATCGAGTTGGAAGGCGAGTTCGACGAGGAACACGAGAATGAAGGTAAGTAAAACCTGGTGTAAAAGCTTACAAAGTTTGTTTAAGCTAGGTTTTGAGATTTGGAACACGTCTAGAAATTAGCTAGGACAAAACAGTAACACTGATTTTCAGAAGAGGAACTTGATATTGATGACGATGAAATGGAAGTTAACAAAGAATGCGCTAGACCTCGTAGATTGTCAGAGGTCACCATTGTAAAGAAAACACGCCCCATTCCAAAAGGCAGTGCCTTCTTTATATTTTCTTATAAAAACAGGTAGGCCCCCCTCCGAACGGGACATAGCTGCTGATGTAACAATTGTTCTAATGTTCTCTGTTCAAAGCGAAATGAAAATTTAAACATGACACATTATGTGGTATACTGTCTTTTCTATTAGTATATTCTTTCAGTCTAACTTTGATTAAAACATCCAGGAACCGACGTCCACCGACCAGGAGCGCCATCTACGTTGCACCGCTTTACTAAATTTCCCTTCTCACTTGTCTCGTCTTTGTACAATGTGTCATGTATTAAATTGGTATTTGTATCCACAGACTTCGGGCAGCTATGTTTATCTAAAAACGATAGTAATAAGTGTGGTGTGTGAAATTACAGATGCAGATGATGTTGACGCGGGCAACGGAGTTGGGGCTAGACCACGGCGCATGTCCGAAATTAAACAAAACAAACAGACGTTGCCAATTCCACCAGCGTCGTCTTTCTTCATTTTTTCTCCTACGAACAGGTGAAATGTGGTAGACAGTGGTGCCTTAGATCTTGTTACAGGGTTCCCCTTCATCTGGGACCAGCAACGTGTTTGTTCCTATGGCCGGAACAAGTCTCTTCTTTAACTCACTAAACCTTAACGAACAGTTCTGAGCATAAGAATAGATAAATTGCTGGCAAAGGGTCATTCTAGTACCAATCGTGACCAATGAAAACACAAACGTTAAAGTAACGTTTATTGATACGTTAACAAGTTCACACAACTATTCAAAAGTTACATTTCTTACAATTATATTACAAACGCGAAATAATAATAAACGTCATTTTTAAAGTATGACGTTTATTTAGCGTTGTGTTTATATCGTTATTTAACGTTATACTGGAAATCATTACAACTGTATTTTTATATCGTCTAATTTTAACGTTTACACCACATATCAATATAACGTTTACTATAACTTTAAAATTGTACTTCCTTTCGTTTTCTTGTTTTTATAACGTCTAATTTTAACGTTTACATCGTGGCATTTAACATTTCCTATAAGTTACATATGGAATTCATTAAAATTATATTTTGTTTAATTTTCCCAATTTTTACGAGCCTAATTTAACCGTTTTCTAACGTTTACTCGACCTATGCATATAACGTTTCCTAATTTTAACGTTTACACCGCAGCATATAACGTTTCGTATAAGTTATATTCACATATGGAGTTCATTAAAATTAAATTTTGTTTAATTTTCAGGGTTTTTATCAGCTTAATTTAAACGTTTTCTAACGTTTACTCAACTTATCCATATAACGTTTCCTGTAAGTTATATTCACACATGGAGTTAATTAATTTTGTATTTTCTTTACTTTTCTTGTTTTTATAACGTCTAATTTTAACATTTACACCGCATCAAATAACGTTTCCTATAAGTTACATTCACATACGGAGTTCATTAAAATAATATTTTGTTTAATTTTCCCGGTTTTTATGAGCCTAATTTTAACGTTTTCTAACGTTTCCTCGACCTATGCATATAACGTTTCCTGTAAGTTATGATCACACACCGAGCTAATTAAATTTATATTTTCTCTACTTTCCTTGTTTTATAACGTCTAATTTTAACGTTTACACCGTAACATATAACGTTTCCTATAAGTTACATTCACATATGTTCATTAAAATTACATTTTATTTAATTTTCCCGGTTTTTATGAGCTTAATGTTAACGTTTTCTAACGTTTACTCAACCTATGCATATAACGTTTCCTTCACACATGGAGTTAATTAAATTTATATTTTCTTTACTTTCCTTGTTTTTATAACGTCAAATTTTAACGTTGAAGCATATAACGTTGTTTTAAGTCATATTCACACGTGGAGTTAATCGAATAAGTCGGTTTAACGTTTGGTTGACAATTAGTTAAAAACGTTATATTTTCAAGCAAAACTACGTCATTTAAACCGTCATGTCCTCATCGGGCTCGATTGGGAAGCTTTTCAAAGGGAACCCTGAACCTTTGAAGTGTGTTAGCTTGCAATCAGATCCGGCACTGTAGTGTGGTCCCGCACTGATTTGGTTCGAACCCCGACCCCGAGTAGCACCCGCATATACCTATAGTTAGTTATCTAGTAGATGCTTGCACTTAAGCGGTTTATTTTCAGCATACACGGTACCAAGACCCCGATCCACGTTACATGTGTAGGTGTTGTTCGTGCTGCCGACACATGTTTTAAATAAATTTCCTTGTAGGTTCCGCATCTTCTGCCACTGGTTCTGCAACCACAGTTACTTCTCCAACATCATTTTGGTGTGCATCCTCGTGTCCTCGGCCCTGCTAGCTTTAGAAGATCCCATCGACGTCGAATCGGACACCAATAAGGTAGGGCGGTCTTGCATCGGTAAGGATCGAACTAACACGATTCCATTTCAGATTCTGCAGATATTCGATTACTTTTTCACTGCGATATTTTCGTTAGAGCTGTTGTTGAAGACCGTTTCATACGGATGCATCTTACACGACGGTGCCTTTCTACGTTCGGCCTTTAACATATTGGACTTGGTGGTCGTCACGGTCTCCGTCGTATCCATTTGCAACGGGTAATTCTCTACGTTAGCTATAGCTTGTTTTTAAATGTCACGGGATGATAATCCGATCGTTTTTAAATCGCTTTCTTAGCTGGCTACGGTAGAACCTCGATAATCCGAACTAACTGAGACGGAATGCGGTTCGGATTATCGAGGTTGTACATTGGATATTGACGATTGCCGTTTTGGTTTTAGAGCAGGAGGAGCGATGTCGGTGGTAAAGATATTGAGAGTGCTGAGGGTGCTGCGTCCGTTGAGGGCAATAAACAGGGCAAAAGGACTGAAGGTAGGTCGTATTCCGACTCCCCCCTTAGGGTGGTGTCGTCTGCAGATAAACTTAGGTGACGGGAGTGGTGCAGTCCAAAGCCGCGACTTTCGTCAACTGTCAGCTCTCGATCTGACGTATATTTGTCCCTAGCATGTAGTCCAGTGTGTGATTGTAGCGGTAAAGACCATTGGCAACATAGTGTTGGTCACTTGCCTCCTACAGTTCATGTTCGCGGTAATAGGAGTCCAGTTATTCAAGGTATGCACCAGCAGTCCGTTGTTGTTCAAGCAAATGCACCTATGGGTTCCCCTACTACAAGCCCTGCAACAGTATTAACCCTTATTCATGTGGTGGGAGCCGCGGGCCGACCTTGGTCCCGACCGGCGTATTAACCCGCATGCCCCGCTCAGCTGTCTGTGCGTGCTGTGTCCAGCTGCGCGGCCCGACGACGTACTCGTATTTTTTTTTCTTTGCCTCTTCCAGCGCCTCCAGTCCTCGACGGCCGCACTTGTAGTCATATCTAGGGTAGGGCACCGCCGCCGCTGCCGCTGCGCTGTCCCCCTCCGAGACACCCTGGGTGCATTTGACGTCCCGGCTGGCTGCGCGATGCCCGACCAACGCCTAGCTTTCCTATACTTACTTTACTGACTGTTTCGTTTGTTTCATTCTTTCATGCCGAATCTTCCTATGGCTAGTATGTAGTGAAATGCGTGATAGTAGCCATTAAGACGATCGGCAATATCATGCTGGTTACCTACCTCCTGCAGTTCATGTTCGCTGTGATAGGAGTGCAGCTGTTTAAGGTAAATCTCCGAGCTTTTAGCCGCACAATGACGGTAGATCTGCATGTTCTGGTCGTAGCTGGATAGCGGCATGTGAGGCGACGCTGGTCGTCACAGGGCTTCGCGGAATTCCCGACGAAAAACCAACTTACTTTATACAGGGTGCAACTTTGAACGGGGGTCACATCCAGAAACACGTATAACCTTGTTTTCTCCAATTCCTAATATATTAACCTTATTTTCGTAATTTTCATACGCCGCCGCTAGACGGCGCGAGCTGCGACGCGCACTGTTGTCAAATCTCATCTTTTTTAATACATATACATGTTTCTTTTTCATAACATCACACAGAAGTTTAACAATGAAGACACACAAACACACAGTGCCGAAAAACTAAAACTTAAAATAATTGTAATAAAATGACGCGGTGACATTCGGTCAATCGCGATGTTGTCATATCACATCAGGTGAATTGACTATGTAGTTAGATCACCTAAACTAGGTCAATCTCAGAGGTCATTGACACTGAGACTCGTAAATTAAACACAGTGCTTTCAATAAAATGATAACAAGTACCTTTTATTAAAAACTTGACATGATTTTAAATAATATTTCTCTATCTATTTGGTGAGTAAGTACTTTAAAACACAAGTTTTACTTACAATCAGTAATGCCTGTCTACATTAGTTTATATTTAATAAATCATAAAAAAAATATGTTTTAAAACATTCGAAAATGGTAGCTTTAAAATAACAGGTCGCAAAGTCATACAAAAGCAAGCTGTTCTTACAAAATTATTTTTGCTTTTCATACAGATGAATGAATTATATAACCCGACTAATTTTCAATTTAAAAACAAATATTTCAATATTAGTATTCTGGGAAACTCGTACTGTTACCCTTAAAAAGAAACTGGCCACTATTTAAAGTTACACCCTGTACATATTGGATATGTAAACTTTTATTATCCGCCACTGGCACTGGAGTATAAATCGAAACCCTTTGTTGACTTAATAATATTTAAATAGAAAGAGGCTTGAAAAATGGCAATACTGTTGCTATTTGCTATGCTTGTAAAAATGTTTAATTCAAAGGCACCTCGTTAGGGTTATTTTAATGGGTACAAAACACCGGGCAAAAGAGAGAGTTTTCGGAAAAATTTACTAAGTTGTTTCTGATTAGTTAATACTTGGTATTTTTCGCATTTATTTCTGGGACACACACGACTAAAGCGATCAAAGAAGTGAGGCCAAGATTAGTTCCCCTCTCAATTAATATTAAACATTTCGTTTTCTTTCTAAAACAAGTAATTCATACCCAACAAATATTTGTTAAAATTCCAGAAATATTTGCATCCCTTGTATAATTCTGATTTTACGCAGAAACTGTCCTAACAAGCATTCCACAAGGTCAAACGAGATAGATAGAGAGATATAGAGGGAGAGAGAGAATTTTGGCTTCACTTTTTACTAACAAAAATGGTTATACATTTGTAAAAAGTTGACAATCGACGTTCTCGTAGCGCAATGTCGTCAGATGAGCATAATTTTATGCAACATGTAGAATTTTGCATGTCTTTGAATTATAATTATTTTTCTTAAAAGTATAGCATTCGTTGACATCGCTGTTCTAAATATTACCACATTTTTTAATGATATCATAATTAACTTTAATGTGCATAATTGTCTAGGACTTTGGTTGATTTCCCGAATTTTTCGTAGTGCTAGAATAACTTTATCTACTTACTCAAAAAATCCTACAAAATTACTGGCTGTCGTTGCACATTCATTTCATTACTATAGCATTTATTGGGTCTTATTTAAACAATAAAAAATTCGTGTCTGTATTGATAATACATTCAGTTATTTTATAAATACGAGGTACACCAAGGTTCCGTCTTGGGGCCACTTACATATGGGCACAACATAAATAACAGATACGAAATTTTTTAGCATGCAAAAAAAACAATGCAAGTAATACCAAACACTGTAAACCGTTGTTCAATTTGATGGCCCCATTTGATAGAATAAGTAAGTAATGAACTAAAACAATTAAATTTTCATTCATTTAATATGCCGGGTGTCCCATTTTAAAAAATACAAGTGAATATCTCTTAAGTTAAGGGCTTAATGAAAACATTTTATTCAAATGGAAACATAAAACTGCAACAAAAACTAAAATGACCTTCAAATGCCCTTGAAGGTCATGGTCAAGGTCATAGTCGGATGTAAAATTCTCTGTTCATTTCATTTCTGGTGTCAAAAATGTGTTTCCATTTAAAAAAAATCAACTTGACCTTGAAATGACGTTGAAGGTCATGGTCAAGGTCCCCTGATGTCCCCCTCAAATGTCATGTATTAGATATCCCCCTCAAAACCCTACAACGTTTATTTGAAAAAAAATTTCATTAAGCCCTTAACTTAAGAGATATTCACGTGTATTTTTTAAAATGGAACACCCGGTATATTTAGAGTAATTGCCACTGTTTCAAGGTGTTGTTTTAACCTCCTTTTAATTATGTTTTAATTTTTGGTTTACTGCAAGTGTATTATCTACAGGGTGTCCCAAAGAGTTTGGAACCCCCCCCCTCCCCCCCCCCGAAAAAGTCTCAGATAAAAGTTGTAGGATAGAAACCATTCTTGAATTTGACCTTGGGCTTAAGTCTCAAGGTCAAACTAAGGTCAACTTGAAAATATTAAATTTCTCTGAATATACTCGACAAAAAATGTTTTAAGCTAAATTTTAGGATTTTGGATATATGAAAAACTAATGTCAAAGACTTTTTGGGTCACCCTGTATGTATATAACGTAGCCAATGTATATATCTATCTATTATTGGAACTAAAGAGTATTTTAAGTATTTCCGCGACAAGATCACCACTTCCACATGAACACCCCGCTAGTGAGTAACTAGATATATTAAGTTGGTAACGCTGCGAAGCCTTGCGACAATTAGTGCCGTCTCGGCATGTGTAGAACTCGCGCCGCCTCCCGCTCACAGATCACGCGCTCTCGGAACCGTCTCGTCTTGTCTGTTGTCTGTCTGTCTAGCCTGTCGCCTGTCTGTATGTCGGCACTGTAAATGCGATGTCCTATCGGATCGATGCTGGAGTAGCTGCGATGCTGGTAAGCTTGTGAAGCGATTTCATGACAAATTAGCACGCCATCGCCGTTGCTGTTGCCGCCACCCGCAGTCTTGTACGATACTTGCCGGCTACCGTTAACACGTACTTGCCTTGTCGCCACAGTTCTAACATTGTTTCAACTATTAGGTACACGCGTTCGATCTATCTGTTCTGTTTTTATTTTTATTATATTGTGTTTACTAGTTATGACTACAAGTGATCGCAAAAGTTGATTATCTATTAATTTATTTACAATTGCACGCTACCACTTGCACGACTGTATTTATCATGATATGCTTCCGTAACGATGTGTTTTTTTTTATTGGTTGGTTGTGCATGAGTTACCGTTTGCACTCACTAAGACCTACAACTGTGTTACGAACTATAACTAAAACATATATTCAAATGAATTTAGGGAAAATTTTCGCACTGTACTGATGGTTCCAAATTAACAGCGACCGAATGCAAGTAAGTCCATCGCACGAATCCGCCACCAGAAAAAACGTTCACTAATCCCCCCTCTGTTGCAGTGGTACATATTTAGTATACGTGGACGGCGATATCGAGAAACCGATGATGAAGGACCGCAGCTGGGAGCCGAACAGATTCCATTTTGATAATGTAGCAAAAGCAATGTTGACGTTGTTCACGGTATCTACCTTCGAGGGATGGCCGGCACTGTTATATGTTTCAATAGACTCAAACGAAGAAAACAAAGGACCAATTCATAACTACCGCCCCATTGTTGCAGCATATTACATAATATACATTATTATAATTGCCTTTTTCATGGTTAACATATTCGTTGGTTTCGTTATCGTTACATTCCAGAACGAGGGAGAACAAGAATACAAGAACTGCGAGCTAGACAAGAACCAACGCAATTGTATTGAATTTGCCTTAAAAGCTAAGCCTGTCCGTAGATACATTCCCAAACATCGTATTCAATACAAGGTCTGGTGGTTCGTCACTTCGCGACCTTTCGAATATGCAATATTCACCCTAATTCTAACCAATACTATTACGTTAGCGATGAAGTTTCACCATGAACAATACGAGTACGTGGAGTACGAAAAAGTCTTAGACTATTTAAATATGATATTCACCGCCGTATTCGCAATGGAGTTCGTTTTCAAATTAGCAGCCTTCAGAGTCAAGGTAAGGAAATAATTACGCAAAATAAACGACAGGAAAGCGCAGAGAATAAGCTTTTGGATCTCGTATAGATGCTCAAAATTCCCGGGAAAATAGTAGTCTCCAAAAAATCTGGGATATATGTCATATATCCTAGATAATCATTTAAAGGCTGACAGCCCTAGTAATTATTATACAGGGTGTCCCAAAAAGACCCGAACCACCACCCCTCCCCGGTAAATTTTCACGATTGAAACCAACTTGACCTTGACTTTAATATTCAAGGTCAAAACAAGTAAAACTTAAAAACATTAAAACTTATTATTTATGCCAGCGCCACGTCCGAATATAGGGTCAGAAAATTGCTGTATGTCCTTGCGGGTCATTTGGTTAAAAAACACTTCCAATGCTGATTATTTTTAGTTATAGAGAACTGAAATTCTGTTACTCCTCATTGTTATTCGGAAAAATTAAGATTCTGGGTTTATTCCACCGAAATATATACCGGGTGTCCCATTTTAAAAAATACACGTGAATATCTCGAGTTAAGGGCTTAATTAAAAAATTTTTGAAATAAAAGTTGTAGGGTTTTAAGGGGGACATCTAATGGTGACCTTGACCATGACCTTCAAGATCAAGTTGTTGATTTTTTCAAATGGAAACACATATTTCTGACACCAGAAATGAAAAGAGCAGAAAATTTTACATCTGGCTATGACCTTGACCATGACCTTCAAGGTCATTTGAAGGTCACTTTAGTTTTTTTTTGCAAAATTCATTTCCGTCTTGCCGAATAGTGTACTCGGGGCTTTTCGAGGGCGCTGATCGCGAATATGAAGTCAGAATTTGAAAATATTCAAATCCAACATGGCCGACCAATTTTTGGTAAACATTTTTAATATTCATATGGATTAACACTTTGAAAATGCTTCAACCTACGTTAAAACTCAAGGTCGAGCCGAGTATTCGACATATTGGATCCGCCGTATCGGATTTAACTATTACTAAATTCTGAGCTAGTCAGAGTTCAAAAACATTTAAATAAAAAAAGGGTTAATGGGTATTCTGGAAAATTATGACGAGCCCCACATATCAAAAAGAAAAACATGAACAAGATTAAAGTTTTGCCTGCAAAATACTAGAATGACCTTCAACCGGAAACAAAATTCTCCGCACTTTCTATTTTGGTCTGAAAGATACCGGTTTCTATTTGAAAAATTAACTTGACCTTGAAATGACCGTGAAGGTCAAGGTCAATGCCATAGATGAGCGTGAAATGGCCCGCTCTTCTCATTTCTGGCCTCAAAAGTAGAATTTTGCAACAAAAACTAAAATGACCTTCAAATGACCTTGAAGGTCATGGCAAGGTCATAGTCAGATGTAAAATTTTCTGCCCTTTTCATTTCTGGTGTCAAAAATGTTTCCATTTTAAAAATCAACTTGACCTTGAAGGTCATGGTCAAGGTCACCATTAGATGTCCCCCTCAAAACCCTACAACTTTTATTTGAAGAATTTTTTCATCAAGCCCTTAACTTAAGAGATATTCACGTGTATTTTTTAAAATGGGACACCCGGTTTATCTAGAACAGAGTTTCAGTAAGTATTTTTATTGCGCTCTTTAAATTTTTCCATTTTTCCCGCATTGTTACATCTCCAGTCTCATCCATTTCCAAAAGATTTTACAACGCCAAAAGCTTGCTCTCTGACCAAGTCAGCCATAAAAGAACCGCAACACTCACGCGTTATTAGACCAGACGCCAAACCTCGAAACTGTAACATTGTATTTATTATGCGCAGAACTATTTTGGAGACGCGTGGAATGTCTTCGACTTCATAATAGTTCTTGGTAGTTTCGTCGACATTGTCCACCAGGACGTCAACGTAAGTAAGCTTTCATTCGGTTTGCGACCGATTAAATGTCCCGTATTTTACAGCCCGGAACCAAATTCCAAATCTCGAGCAATTTTTTTCGGCTGTTTCGAGTCATGAGACTCATCAAACTCCTGAGCAGAGGAGAAGGTATAAGGACCCTGCTATGGACGTTTCTAAAATCGTTCCAAGCGCTGCCGTACGTAGCACTGCTCATCGTGCTGCTTTTCTTCATCTACGCCTCCATTGGAATGCAGGTAACTCTTTCAGCTCCTCCAAGTCCCCGCCTGGATCTTATAGCGTTTTTTGTTTCCAGATCTTCGGGAAGATAGAAAATAGCGATCTGCATTCCGAGTCTTCGATAAATCGGAACAACAATTTCGGATCGTTTCTGCAGGCCGTGCTGGTGCTGTTCCGATCGGCAACAGGTAAATGATCGATAGGTCAAAATCGAATTGTAATCGGTTTATTTATTCGCACAGGGGAAGCTTGGCAAGAGATTATGATGGACTGCGCCGAAACCGACGCTGCGAAGTGCCACACCCTCCTGAAGAAAACGGAAGGAACCAATTGCGGATCAAACATGGCGTATCCATATTTCATTTCGTTTTACGTCTTATGTTCATTTTTGGTAAGCGACAATGAATCTAAAGTTAATTTGGAAGAAATAGGAACAAGACGAATTGATGTTCTGTCCTTCATTCTTCCAAGACGGGTTTGGTGTAAGGGTGTAACAGTATATCTTCCTTTCCAGATCATAAACTTATTCGTAGCTGTAATCATGGATAACTTCGACTACTTAACACGAGACTGGTCAATTCTAGGACCACATCATTTAGATGAATTTATAAGGCTGTGGAGTGAATACGATCCTGACGCAAAAGGCAGGATAAAACACTTAGATGTCGTCACCCTCCTCCGGAAAATTTCCCCTCCTTTAGGTTTCGGGAAGCTGTGTCCCCACCGCGTAGCATGCAAACGTCTAGTTTCCATGAACATGCCGTTGAACAGCGATGGCACCGTATTGTTCAATGCCACTTTATTCGCAGTGGTCCGTACGTCGCTCCGTATAAAAACGGAGGGCAACATTGACGAAGCCAACGCCGAACTAAGGACCGTCATCAAAAAAATCTGGAAGAGAACCAGCCCCAAGCTGCTGGATCAGGTCGTGCCACCTCCAGGGGTCGAAGACGAAGTAACGGTTGGAAAATTCTACGCCACCTTCCTCATCCAAGACTACTTCAGGCGCTTCAAGAAGCGGAAGGAGCAAGAACTCAAGGAAGGAGACAAGGACACCAACAATACAGTCACGTTGCAAGCAGGTCTACGCACGTTGCACGAGGCTGGCCCTGAGCTGAAACGCGCGATATCGGGCAACTTGGACGAACTCGTCGACGACAATCCAGAACCCATGCACCGCGTAAGTACAACGGGTCTATCCTTTGAAGTGAAAGACAGTGACGATCTTTTGTTTTCCAGAGAAACCATTCCCTGTTCGGCAGCGTGTGGTCCTCCATGAGGAGGGGGCACAGTTTCAACCGCGCCAAGTCGTTAAAGTTGAACTCGACGCAAATCAAGATCACGCCCGCTTCCAGCGTTGACTATCTCCCCTACAACTCGATTAAGAATGCCGTTACCGAGGGAATGAACCACATCACGTCTATGACTAAGAACGTGGTGCAGAATCGGGCGAGCGCGACGTCCCTACACAATCAGGAGGGTCTTAACGACGAAGAGATACCGCTTAGGTCGTTGAGCAACCTGCACAACGGAGAAGAGAAGAACAGCTATACGGTTATCGAGTAAGTTATGAGTTCAATTCAGATTTTCGATGAAAAATTGTGCCACATTTCTAAGGTTGATTTGTAATGCTCAAAACATGTATACGAATCCAGATTTGACAACAATGCACGCCCTAGATCCCAATACAAATCAACCTGGATTTAATTTATTATTTAAAGTAGAAAATAGCATTATAAAAACAATAAAATATGGTTTAATTAATTATTATCGTATTAGACACTTGTACAGATACATAAATACCATTTCCTTCACACACCTACCACCTTAATACTCACAACCACAAAGAAAACACCGTGTGGGAACTCAGAAATTATTTTATAATTTTACAAGCATACAAAAATATTCCTAGTTGAAATTTCCATGTTCAAAGTGTCGCTTGTGTCTCCTAGTACGATTTCCTGTCACTTGCAGTAATAAAACGAAATAACTTGGTTGAGCGACATTCAGTCGGCTTTAGTTGACGTTGTATTTGCGTTCTAGAAATGCTTGGTAATGTGGAGTATTAATATTAAATGCAAGTAACCGAAAAATTGATTCTCTTTGAAAATTAGTTAATTCGGTTGTTGCACAAACTACATAGATATATTATACACCTAATACGGAGCCCTTAAAATAGGAACGTAGCATAAAACGTGTAAAGTTCTCGTATAAATTGATAGAGCCGTGTTAAATCTTTTAATGCCGGTTTACCGCGTTCCCATCTGCCGCAAAAGTTGCGCTGAAAATTTAATGCTTCCTTGGCTGTTTTACGGCGTTTTTAAACAGATCGCTAAAAATTATTTAAACAGTAAAAATGCCTTCCATGACTATTTCCTGGATTGGGAATCGCACAAAAATGATGAAATTGCAAGTTTAATCACAAAATATCGTTGAAAGTCGGACTGTAAACATTAAAGCGTAACTATTTGCCTAAAAGCAGAGCAGTATTTTTGGTAAAATTGCAAAATTTTGAATTAAAAACACCCTATAGCTAGAAGTAATTATTATAAAGTTACACAGTAATTGTTTGGGTTCCAATAACGCAGTTTTGGAAAGATCGTAAAATTTTGAGTTAAAAACAGCCTATAGCTAGAACCATTTACATACTAATTATTTCACACCACAAGCTGTGTTTTTGGAAAGATTGCAAAATTTTGAATTAAAAATATACCCCATAGCTACAACCAGTTACAAAGTTACACAGCAATTGGCTGACATAACACACATTTTTGGAAAGTTTGCCAATTTTTAATTAAGAACATACCATATAGCTACAACCAGATACAAAGTTACAGCAGCATTTTTGGAAAGATTGCAAATTTTGAATTAAAAACATACCCCATAGCTAAAATCAGTTGTTACAAAGTTACACAGCAATTGAGTCACATAACGCAGCTGTATTTTTGGAAAGATTGCAAAATTTTTAATTAAGACCATCCTGTAGCTACAACCAGTTACAATGTTACAGCAGCATTTTTGGAAAGATTGCAAATTTTGAATTAAAAACACCCTATAGCTAGAATTAGCTGTTACAAAGTTACACAGCAATTGACTCGCATAACGCAGCTGTATTTTTGGAATGATTGCAAAATTTTTAATTAAGAACATATCCTGTAGCTACAACCAGTTACAATGTTACAGCAGCATTTTTGAAAAGATTACAAATGATGAATTAAAAACATACCGTATTTTTGGAAAGATAACAAATTTTGAATTAAAAACATACCCTATAGCTAGAATCAGTTGTTACAAAGTTACACAGCAGTTGACTCACATAACGCAGCTGTACTTTTGGAAACATTGCAAAATTTTTAATTAAAAACATACCCTATAACTAGAATCAGTTGTTACAAAGTTACACAGCAATTGGCTCACACAACGCAGCTGTACTTTTCGAAAGATTACAAAATTTTTAATTAAAGAATATACCCTATAGCTATAACCAGTTACAAAGTTACACAGCAACTGGCTCACATAACGCAGCTGTATTTTTGGAAAGATAGCCAAATTTTTAATTAAGAACATACCCTATAGCTAGAATTAGTTGTTACAAAATTACACAGCAATTGGCTCACATAACACAGCTGCATTTTTGGGAAGATTGCAAAATTGTTAATTAAAAACATACCCTAAATCTATAACTAGTGGTTAAAAAGTTATTACCGTAAGATGTAAGAGAAATAATTTCTGAGTTCGCAAATTCGAAGAGCCCTCCTCTTGTGAAAAAAAAGCGCCAGGTTTTGGAGAAGTGCGAGGAGGCCAGCTGAAACGATGAAATGTACGAACCTTTTGATTTTTCAGTAAAACTGGCTTCCTGCACCCTAACTACAAGGGTAAGCGAAAGCTGGTGTGAGTGTGTTCTGCCTGACGGTTTGATTTCTTTAACCAATGGTTTTTTTATTTTCTTTTCTCTTTTTTTTTTCATTGGCTAACCGGTTTGTGGTGATGTTGTGTTTGCTAGTCTGCAGGGCGACGACACGGAGCTGATGCCCCCGACACCACCGCCGCGGCGCGTGCGCCTCGGACTGGGGGGCGGTTGCATGACAGCCACGCCATCTCCTGTGCAACAAGCACCGGGCTTTAGTCGCATAGCAAGCGGCCTAAAACTCGCACAAGCACAAGCTATGGCAGTCGCAGGCTTCTTGCCGGAACCGCTGCCTTACAATTGGCCCACCTCTGGTTTTGGCGGCGGTGCTCTCCACCCATCGGCCTCGGACTCTGCAGGGGATAGTCGGCATGCGCGTTGTTCTGTCCTAAATCACAGGGCTTCCTTCCACGGCAGAGGTTAGCCCCCATCTCCCACCAGACCAGTACCTTTAGGCTCCGACTCCCGATTTGTCCATACCACGAAAGGAATAAGTTTTAATCAAAGTAAACACTCATCCACCTCTCACCAATAGACTGTGCTCCAGCCGCACCGAGCACTGTGCAAGTACCGCGTCATTTCTCACCATCAAAATAGATTATTCTTTAACAGTGTACTTACGCCATGCAAATACCACAAGTAAAAACAATTTCTGGCTGTGAATAAAAGTATTAACGGACTGTGCTGAAACCGCACTAAGCACTGTGCAAGTACCGTATATTGTATTTTCATGCCATATGCAGCTTTCAGTTTTCGCTTAAAATAAATCGGGTCAAAGAAAATGTTAACCGACTGTGCTCAAACCGCATTAAGCACAGCACAAATACCGTATATTTTCATCGGAATAGTTTGCTCCTTGACACTGACTTGACACACAATAACAGCACGTGTAAATACAATTCTACAAGCAAAAACACATTTTGACTGTGTTCAAACCGCACAAAACACTATGCAAATATAAACAGCTTTCAGTTTTGATCCTCAATAAAAATTTTTCTGAATTAATCGAATAAAAGGAAATGTCAACCGACTGTTCTCAAACCGCAATAAGCACTGTGCATATACTGTGTATTGTTTTTTAAATTTCCACTATGCTAACACGTACAAGCACGCTTCGACAAGTAAAAATGAATTCTATCTGTGCTCAAACCGCACTAAACACTGCAAATACTATACGTAGCTTTGATAACTTCATGATAATGGCATAATTCCTACATTTAAAAAATAGAATAATGAAAATTTTAAACGACTGTGCTAAAACCGCACTAAGTACTGCGCAAATGCCATTATCTTGTTTTTTCATGCCTCACCTTCAGAATAATTTCATAGCGGCTTTGAATCTTTGTCTTCTGAATAATAATTCTTACATCTCTGAAAAGAAACCGGATGAAAGGAAATGTTTACCGACTGTGCTCAAACCGCATTGTGCAAATACCGTATCTTGTCTTTCAATTTATCAGCTTTAGGATAATATCTTCTTTAAGATTGTACTTATGCTATGCCAATACGTGTAATAAGTACATTTCCACAAAGAAAAATAAATTTAAACTGTGCTCAAACCGCACTAAACTCTGTGCAAATACTATACGTATTTCAATTTGATTTATTTCTTGGCAGGATGGCTAGGAGCACAGTCTATGCACAGTTCTATGTTTCAACACGGTCTGAGCAGTTTACAAATAAAACCAAATGTTGAACTGACTGATGATGACTGTGCTGAAACCGTACTGTGCACTGTCTTTTAAATTTCGGAAAATTTTACGGTTAAAACTTATTCCTACGTAAGCACAGTAATGTATAAAGAGTTGTCTAAAGTTCAGCTAACATATAGTGCTAAAAACATGTATTTTAAAGGTAAGTGAAAAAAAATTCGTAGAGAAAAGTAAATGAGAGTGAAAACTTAAAATTTGTAACAAAATCTCGTCTGATTTGGTTAAGATATAAGATGTTATGGAATATATTGGAAATTTAGTAATCACTTAGAAAATAACTTGATTCTAAAGGTACTGGGCTAAAAATTTCCTTGCATGTCAACTCCTTGCATGCGCTTTCGGCTGGAACCATAAACTCAAATATCTACGACTATTCCAGACATTTTAATCGATTATTAACAAGGTCTTCAGATCAGACATTGATTGAGGAGAATCTTGTGATTTTGAAAGTTGTCCAAAAATAGGGTCGTAGATATTGTGATACCAAAATTGACAGCACGTATGGTGCCAAAATGGTTGCCTTGGCCGACTAACCGTAGACGTAGCTTTGACTTGTAGTTCGGAATGCGTTCGGGACTGACGAGATTGATTAGTTTCAGTTGGACCCGGCGAACCAAACGGACATGCGGGTACAGAGAGACTGACCCATTCACTGCCAGGCAGTCCAGCGGACCGCAGACCAGCTTCCTTCGAAGTTGTTGGATCCGCCGAGAGCCTAGTCGGACGAATCCTAGCTGAACAAGGCTTGGGAAAATACTGTGATCCCGACTTCGTCCGCTACACCTCCAAGGAGATGCAGGAGGCCATGGACATGACGCAGGAGGAGATGGACCGCGCGGCACACCAGCTGCTCCAGCAGGAGAAGAGGATACACCCAGTCGGTCTCGGCGATTCGCTCCAACAGCCGCACTTATAGCACGACCTGATAGTCTCCTAAAATCTCCCGCCACACTACTAAGTGCCTAAATTAATTTCTTCTGGTCCAAAGAAGACTAAGTATAATAATAACGTGTAGTTTTTTAACCTGGATTTTACTTCAGAAGGATTGTTTCTCCAGTTACTACAAAATTCCATGTACAGGGTGTGACTACAAAAATATTAAGAACTGTCATTACGATTTTGTAATATCAAATGTGTCAAACTATTATAAATATTTAATTTTCATTTCGACCCCGTCATACGATTGTTCGATGATCCGTTATTTTTTATTGTCAAGTATACATGCATCTCTCTCTTACAACCAACTTCACGTCATCAAACAAAACGGTTTATGTTAAGACGATACAACAGTCAGTGTAAAAGAGGATGCTAGTGGTTTTTCTTTGTAATTTCACCGCAAACTAAGAATAGAAATTATCCACAACACAATTAGAACATAACGCTAGTACCTCGTACATTTTGAGGTTATTAGATTTATTTCCAACGCAAGATATACGCAATGAGGGAAATGGCGAGGTTTCCTGAACACCTACAGCTCATATTGACAACATAGATCTATCTAGACGTAATGACGTTTACTCGAGTGCCAAACTTCCTCTTCTGTGGTAAATGTATTTAACGAAAATATAAATTGTATATATTTTTTAAATTATATATGATAAATACATACGGTACAAATTTAACTCATATTATTTCGACAAAACCGACTGACTATGTGGTAGAAAATTTCATTACAGACTAAACTATGTAGCTACGAGGAATGTGCCAAAATTTCTGTCACTATATGGTAAAATTACTATTATTTCCTTAACGATAACGGCTTGTTTGTTTATATAAAAAAACGTTAGCTATTTCAGAATGTAAATGCCTCAGACTTCCCGGAACGAGCGTAAATTTTGCGTAATATAAACAATGCGTTGATTAGATTTTCCCGAGTATGTATACCTGGTGATAACAAAATAAACACGCACAAACATTCATCCAAAAAACTTTACATAGTGAGAAATTTGTCATTATAATTGTAATATATTGTATATTAAATTCTCAATATTAATGTATAAATATGATACATTAAACATGAAATTTTTGTTGATTAAAACTTTAAAACGACCCCGCCTTTGATTTAACCACATTCTTAAATAAAAAACTATAAATAATTAGTACAGAACTGTTGGTAGGTACAGTTACAATAACTTAATTCATTTGATATCAAAAAATAGACCCAGAATCACGTGTCACGTGCTCTCTGAAATTCCGCCCAACACCTGGCCATTGTCATTGTTAGCGAAACTCGGGTAATAGGGTGGTGAATAATAGGGAGAGAAAATAATGCCCTGCTGCAGACTTTCATCCCAAAACTGATTGGGACTGCTGTATCCACATATTCGACTCTACATTTTAAAGTACGTTCATAGAATTGAGAGTGCCTGCATCGACCCGAGTTCAGTTACCCCCCAAAATAAAATAAAATCGTCGAAGACAGCAAATGAATTTAAATTAATTATTATATTTATATTCCAAATAAAATTGATCGAAACAATTTTAGGAATAGACCAGGGCGGATCTGTTTTGAGGTGGATGCAAATTTTTTCTGGATTACCTTCAGTACAACTCACATAATAAAAGTGTAGATCCCTAGATCTGGGCGAGGTCCGGAACATTTTCAAAATGGCAAAAATGTTTAAAAAATTTCAAAAATACCTATTTTATCTGAATTTTTTTTACTTATATTTTGGAACCTATGCATTTAGGAAGAACAGTGAAGAGGAAAAAAGTTTTAGAATTGAATTTTGCACAATATACTGTAAATTAAAAATGTTTTTAATTACCGATGTTGCAAAATAGCAATAATTGATGAAAAAAAGGCAAAATAATCAAGTTTTTTGGATAATTTTTTTTATATATTTTAATTATTCCGAGGGCATTCTAATTTTGATGACAAAACTTTAGAGTATAATAAAACAACACACAAAATTTCATTAAAATCGGTTCGAGTTTTCGCAAAATAAATTATTAAAAAAAAATTTTGAAAAAAAAAATTTCAAATTTTCAAAATGTTGCACAACCTCAAATAAAGCATAAAGCATCTAGATTTTTTCACATAGAAAAGACCGCTCAACCTTTCATATGGTTTCTGAAAAATTGAAATTGGTTGATTAGCACGGCCACAGTAAATTTTTAAAGTTAACACTTAATTTGTTTAAACAAAAATTATTTAAATAAATGTAATAATTATAACTAAATACATTCATATTCAGTGTTGAAATATATACGTAAACAAATTTAAAAGAAATATGTAAAAAACTCGGATAAAATAGGTATTTTTTAAAATTTTTTAAACATCTTTGCAATTTTGAAATTGTTCCGGACCTCGCCCAGATCTAGGAATCTACACTTTTATTATGTGAGTTGTACTGAAGGTAATCCAGCAAAAATTAGCTTGCCCCCTCTTAGATCCAAGAAGTGGGATATTTCGACAGATCCGCCCTGGTCTAGACCAAATCACAGTCAAATTATATCAAAATATCAAATACATAATTTACTTTGGAATTGAACAACGCCATTTTGTAATTACAAGCGCGACTTATCTAATATAAATCTTGTGTCAATTTTAAAACGTCATTTCAATAGAAACATGTTTAGACCCACCCCCTTCGTCGTTCTCTTAAATCTATGAACGTACTTTACGCCTCGCATCTTGCTTTATCGGAGAGTAAAAGCGCAAACTGCATATGCTCGAAATGTTACATAATTCACAGTGTGATGACTGTGATGAGTCAAGTAAAGATCAAACAGCCGACTGTTGGCGTTGTTTTTAGAGTTTCCCGCAGCAGCGTTTGATTAGTAACCCCAGCACAAAGCGCGAATTCTGCAAATAATGGTAGCTATCAGCGGACTGGGGATGCAACCCCACATAATTGCTGATCCGAGAGACAGAGTGATCTATTATCATCTATATTGAGAGCGAGATGTCACAAAGAAGATAATAATGGAAAACATTAATGAATAATAGTTTTTTCTGTTTATAAGAATCATAACAGAGATATTTATGATAACACGGTGTATATAATATTAATTATGACCGTTAATGATTTGAATTATACAGGGTGTCCCAAAAATTCCCGAAATCCCCTCGATAGTTTCTCAGGAGTAAGATATCAAGAACCAATAGACTGATGACCTTGAATTTAACTTCGTCAAATTTCAGGGTCAAACCAAGGTCAACTTGAACATATTAAATGAAACATGCCAGCAATCGATAGAGCGACAAATTTTAGCTCCGGATATGGAATCAGGATTTTTTTTCTGTATGTTCTTGAAGGTCATTTGGAAGATGAACTCACTTTTCCCTGAACACAAATGTTTCAAGCAAATTTTGTAGGATTTTGAATGAAAAATTAGATGGTGACAAGGTCAAAGAAGTCTCGCCGCAACGTATGTCCAAATACAAGAAATTAATGAACTAACCATTAATTTAACAAACTGCAAAAACTGCGTTTTGGTGTTTATAGTAAGTAATTAAGTAATTAATTCGAATAAAATTTGAGTTTTTACTATAATAATATATAACACTAGTTCCAGTACTATAATATGCTAACAGATAAATAATATTATTTACGTGAGTCCATCCTTATTGACAAATAAATGTTAAATGCAATAAAGGATAGACATTTATGAAATAAATATTTCCAGGCATACATCGTGAAATATAATTGTTAGTATTACATTATTTGGAAATTTGATAACGATATATAATTCCCGAGGTTGGAAAATTAGCCTTCCCACTGTTAAATTAAATCATAGTGGTGGATAAATTGTTGATATTACATTTAACAGCGCCCAACCGTGGGCGTAGCTAGAATTTTTGCTTTCAAAAACCGTAAATACGATAGACGATAATATTAGATCTTTTTTTCTGGGGTGGGCCGTACACACCCCTGCTCTCCCCTAGCTACCTACGCCCATGCGCCCAACTGTATTTTTTTGTTTACGAAAATTGGGTTTACGTTGCCAACGGCATTAAAAAAGTAGTAAACACGGGTTTATTGGTCGTGTTACATAAAGGCGCCATAAAAACAAAACGGCCAACAAACCATCTCTTTCAGATGAGGGAACAATAAAACAACTCATTAGATAATAAGCAGCGATTAAGGTTATTTACGTTTTGTGTCGAGAAGTAAACGCCACTACGCCCCTTATCTTTATTTATAATTTCACAATGCACTTTTTATCGATAGTGGTGTATTTTTTCCCTGCGATTGAATAGACCTTATTGTGGCAAGCGAATTAAGCCCCCCTCCACCTACTACTTCGCCTGCATCGAGCACATGGTACGGAGCGGAGAAAGAAATTGGAACTAGGTCCTCTTCAGTGCGCGTATATCGCTTGCTGCGGTCGTAGGACGAGTGTTTACAAAAACAAAATCATGACAACGGCGGCTATCAAGTATCCCAGGGAGGCCACGATTTTCGCTGCCTGCTGTGCCATTGTTTTTTGTATCGTAGGCATTGTCGGTAAGTATTGAAAATAAAAACAACTAATTTTAACAGTTTTTTGAATTCCACCAACGTGTTTCATTCGAAGCGCAGGATGCGACTTTATCACCGACAAAAGTACCTACTCATAATAAAAATAAACGCAACGCCTGTGATTCAACTAATAAAACATAAAAATTGTTATCTTATTTCAAGAAAAGGTGTCGGTGTACTCGTCGACGTATCTGTCACGGATAAGAGCGGAAAATTATAAAAAGTTGAAGTGCGTTTTTCCCGCTCTTTATCGGTGACGCACAAAATCAAAATATTAAATTACTTGAAGCAACTACCGCTGATTTTTTATTTAGCTTTTTGCATGGATATGACTTAGTTGGTCCAGCAAATTTATCTAAACGTTTTTAAAAAAATAAAAATAAAATATAAACCCCAAGAAAAAAAAACAAGCGAAATCATTAAAAATTTTACTTGATTTTATCAACATTATTACATCTATAAATATGCATGATATAAAGGGTGTTTCCCTATGGATTATGAGCCTATCGTCTTTTGTTTTTTAGATATATGGGCATCAAAGAAAATTTTTTAAATCAAATTTCAAAAACGGCACAGTATTTTAAAATTTAGTACTGGCAAGTACTGGGTGTTAAATGGTTCTTACCCATCTGCTAGAGATCGCTATATCAGTGACATTTTATGACATAACTTTTTTGAGGTTATGTTTTTACGGTGCTGTACGGTGTATGTAATTTTAAATTTAAAAAGTATTTTTGTTAAAACGCATTCCTTATTATACGGGGTGTCAGACACGAGTGGGCCTTGCCTCAAGGATAGCTTCCTTGGATAGAAACAAACCGATTAAAATTAAGTTTGCTTTCTTAAAAAATTGTTGGCCTTCAAAAAAAATTTTTTCCCCCATTTTAATGCTTGTTAACATAACCTCAACAAAGTTATGTCATAAAATGTAATGTAATGTCGTACATTTTCAAAACTATCAAATTTCAACACATCACATTGTTTTTTGAAAACGATGACTTAAAATTTGGCGTCATATTTTTTTATGTTTTATTCGCTAAATTTATTGTACCCCGTTCAAAAACACCTTGCACATAAGATTTTCTTATCATCGCAAAAACCCATTATTAAATATCAATAATTTCCAGAGTTCCTATGAAATTCATTTTACCAAGAAACTACCTAACTATTACGAAGCCACTGTATATCTATCAAAACCATAATTTATACACTCATACATTTATTTGTTTATTGTTAACTGCATGTATTTATTTAATTTTAACTTACAAGGTGGTCAAAAATTTAGAAGGATATTTACAATATTTTTTTTAAGTACAACCGTTGAAACTATACTAACATCTTGAAAGCCGATACGTTACAAGTAGAATAAACACAAACTAGATAATTTTGTTGATATAAACAACCTTTTTGTTGGACAAACATGTTGTATAAACATAGGTACAACTATTTTATTATCGCTCAACCTTAAGTGTAAACGTTAACACACTTTTAAACGAAATATAAATATTACTGCATATGGATTAGACTCAAATGACAAATATATTTTATAACTGTATACAATTTTGTAAAACTAGTTAAATAATGTAGCAAATATCGTAACAAAAAACATAACCCAATTGCAGGTACAACAATTTCGATAAAAAAAATAAAAATAAAGCACTCGACTCCTTCCTGTCAATGAAAGTTTAAACCAAGTTTTTTATTGCCGCTCGCTACACTTCCAAGAGGATTAACATCTAAATTTAGTGGTTCTTTAATTAATATTAGTCATGAGTGCCAAACTGCAGGATTCATATGAAAAAATATCTCGGGCTATTTTTATGTTATAATAAAACTGGATTGAACTTACATTGCGGCCCAATATCATTTAAACTGGACTCGATTAATCAACAAAATCGAATGTTACGGCTCCCAATCAAATTCGATTATAAATAAACTGTTACTACGTAAACGCAAATAACAATCAATAAAAGTTATTAGGTGCAGGTACCTACTTAAAATTACTGTGAAATAAACTCTTTTCCAGGTAACTTGGTGACGGTCCTAGCTTTGATCAGATGTCCCAAACTGAGAGCACATGCTACAACGGCCTTTGTACTATCCCTATGCCTATCCGATCTAATTTTTTGCGTTCTGAATCTACCTCTGACTGCAGCAAGGTACATTTACGAGGCCTGGATCTTGGGAGACGTTCTCTGTAAACTGTTCCCTGTCCTGTTTTATGGAAATGTTGGTGTCTCGGTACTGAACATGGTGGCGATAACGTTGAACAGGTTTGTAGCATTTCAAAAAATTGTCATTTGTAAATAACACAGCAACACAAAAAAAAAAGTTGTCTGTACTTTTCATGCGACGTATGTTATCCGTAGTATTTTTGCCTCCTGATCACGAATCCGGTGTCAGAATTGAGCTACCAAATCACAGGGATTTCCTAACCTCAAAAAATAGGTCAAAAATAGCAAAAATTAGCGAAAAAGTGCTAGGAAAAATACAATTTTTTTTTTCTATTTTCAAATGTTCATTTATATGGTTAAGCCCATGCCACGTGAATCCGCTGTCAGAATTGATGTTTCTTTTTCTAACCTCAAACAAAACGGGTCAAACAGATATCACGAATTTTCACAAAATAACAGATTCGCGCCAAATTTGGTATACGGGGGTTTTCGGGGTCGCTGATCACGGATCCGAGATCAAGTTAGGAAAATTCAAGATGGCGGATCCAAGATGGCCGACAAATTTTCAAAAAAATAACACATTCGCGACAAATTTGGTATACGGAGGTTTTCGGGGTCGCTGATCACAGATCCGAGGTCAATTTTGCAAAATTCAAGATGGCGGATCCAAGATGGCCGACCAAATTTAAAAAAAAATAACATTCGTGTCAAATCTCAGACAGACTATTTTTTTTGTGTGTGGCTGTGTAATACGAGCGGAAATATGCAAAGCATGAATGGGCTCGGACAAATCACGTAAAAAACCACGTTCAATAGCTTCACACGCGAGTTTTGTAGAATTTGTTTAAAATCAGTCGATGTACCGAGTCACAAATATTTGTAAGTCAAATTGTTTAAAATATAAATGAATCGCAGCTTAAAAATTCGTGTAGAAAATTACAAAAATGATTTAAAATAAAAGGTCAACGATCCCAAGTCATTGCAAAATTAAAGAAAACTTAGACGATGATTTAACTGCAAACGTTCTAATTGGGAGACAAATAATTAAATCAAGAATAATCCATCAACATCAAACACTGCACAGATGTTTAGTGTATAGAGTTTCAAGTAGGTCCTTAAGAATAATAAAAATAAAATATAAACACTAGCGCTTATACACATGTTTTTATCTCTTATTCTTAAAATTCATACTTGACTACGATGTACTCGAATGACTAACACTAATAAAGCTAAACAATAGGGTTCATCTTCGTGACATCTGACACCTGACCTCTGTAAATTATTGAGTGCTATTTTTTATATCATCAGGTCATAATAACAACAGCATACTCTTCTTATTGTTCTATTTGCTGAGGAAAAATGGATATGTATGAGCTTTTTAGCAATTAGCATAATTGGTTTCAATTACTGCTTTAATCTCCAACCGTTCTGCATGATTTATTGTATATTGATCTCGCTTGCTGATACAGGACGATTTTTATTTCTTCGATAGAAAATTATACAAATGTGTCTCGTATAACTATGTACGTATATAAACTTGAAAATATTACAACACATCAAAAATTTAATTTTAGTGGCTATTATTTCTAACAGCGCGCGATTTTCTCCGACCTTCTTAATTCCCTGTCTCTTCCAGGATTTTCCAGGTTGCTGGGTACCCTGACCAAACAGATTTATTGCACCTTCAACCAACAAGAGCTATTTCAAGTTTCAATAGGCGATTTATTAATAGATGCACCGTAAATTAATTACGGCTTTAAAATAATTGCATACGTATCTGCTTTAGTCGACGGGATAATGCTACAAAGGAACACAAATAAAATTGTATACTTATTTCACAAAATCACAAAAAACTGAAGTTTTATATATTCCACAGGGAAAAATATTTTTTCCCATTAAAATAGCATCATGCATCAATTAATTTTAAGTCACGTTGAATGAATCATACTTCTAGAAACAAACAATACCGAATCCATTTTAGCACGTTTCTAATGACATTATGAGCGGATGAAAGAGAGAAGATTGATACTTTTGCTGTGGGAGAAAATAAATTGACGTAGGGTAGAATTTTATTTGTTACTTTTCCCCTCTAGTGGCGAAAACAAAAATAGATAGCTCTTTGCACATCATCTTGATAAAATCAGCTTTTGAAATTTTACGTTTTTATTACTAGTTTGAGTAAAATTGCGTTTCAGAATCGCGAGCTAATGAAATCATTTTATTGTCACCGTACCTACAAATGAGTCATGCTTTGTTAACTTTTATAAGAATTTAATTTCCTGTTCCCAACTGAATCGGTACTTTGTATAGATATACCTATTAAGTGTAACCTCGTTTTGGACAAAACTAATATAAAAAAAATTGTTCTCGTGTTAATCCCATCAAAAACTATGCGCAGCTGCATAATAAATAGACGCCACTGCCAAAACGTAAATGATAAAATTGCAATAAAATAAAAATGCACAATTCGGACCATATTTGGATCGATGACCACCCAAGAAAAAACAATAGAGAAGCAATAATTGCAGTAGCGGCAGCTGTACCCGCTTGCTAAATTTGTCGTTAAAATAAACTGTCCCCTCGAATAAATAAATAAAATCCCATCGAAAAATACAAGTATGCGAGCGAGACCCACGAACTAGGATAAGAGAGTATTGCTTCAATTTATGCGCACTTAAAAAAAATTATATTGATTGGCAGGTCAGTTAACGGCTTGACAGTACAATGAAGAAGTTTGTTAAATAAGATTATTATCAGTGTCGTAATCATAACATAACGGGAACGCCTCCCCAAGTTGTTTATCTTTGTTTATGGAGATGAGGGCTACGCATTCAGACGAGGCGATCAATATTGCCAGGGGTTAACGGCATAGGAATTGAACCGTGCACCATCCACTTAGCGAATATTTTTACAGCGAGGCTATAATTTCTTTCCATTTTCATAGAGGCGTAAAAATTACCAACCTTTCGAAATGCATTTTCGTGTGAAATTGCATTCAAAGAATAATTAATTATTTTAAATATGCCACTGATGTAGATCCCTAGATCTGGGCGAGGTACGGAACATTTTCAAAATTGCAAAAATTTTTAAAAAATTTAAAAAAATACCTATTTTATCGGAGGTTTTTACTTATATCTTGGAACCTGTGCATTTTGGAAGAATATTGAAGAGGAAAAAAGTTTTAGAATTGAATTTTGCACAATATACTGGATGTTAAAAATGTTTAAATTTATTACTCATGTTGCAAAATAGCAATAATTGATGAAAAAAAGGCAAAATAATCCAATTTTTTGGATAATTTTTTTTTAAATATTTTAATTGCTCCGAGGGCATTCTAATTTTGGTAAGAAAAACTTTACAGTATAATAAAACAACACACCAAATTTCATTAAAATCGGTTCTATAGTTTTCGCAATAATTTTTTGAAAAAAATTAAAAAAAAAATTTTCAAATTTTCAAAATGTTGCACAGCCTCAAATAGAGCATCTAGATACTCGTATTTCAATGAAGTTATTGTTTCGTTGTCTGGACATTTGGGCCATGTCGCGGAGACTTTAGAAACTTAGTTGAAATTATTAATTTGGATCCCTTCGCACAAGTCTTTACTTTGGCTGGTATTGGACCTGCGCAGAGTGGTAGGAGAAGAGTTCGGCGTCCGATTGGAAAGTTGAGCGAATTCTTAAGCAACAGATATCAAAATAATATGATAGTGTACCACAAGGTACTGTACTGGGTGCAACGCCGTTTGCGTGCTTCATTAATGATTTATTACATGCACATAGCAGTAGCAGTAGCAGTTGTACTGGGTGCTTCATTAATGATTTATTACATGCACATTGGGGTGAATGTAACATGATTTTTTTTTTCTATTTCATATATAATATTTTCGAGGTCGCTGCTATCAGTTAAAAAAAACATACAACTCCGAAAAAGTACGATTCACACCAATCATTTCTTTATCAAAGTAGGCTTTATTCGACGAGATATCGATTATTGATTTGCCAGAACAGAAAGGAACACCCTGTGGTTATTTTTTACGTAGTTTTCGAGAGCTTTGAGTTTCGACTTTTATAAAGCGAGATAAATAGTTGATCCTCTACAATCTTAATGAAGAGATTAACACAGTTATTCTAGACTTGACTTATGACACGGGCTCGTTAAAAAAATGATACGTAGAGAAACCGCGGCCCATTCTAACTTTAATAGCGCAATAATTGACGACGAAACTCTCGAAGCTGTCCCACTCTTCACAGTGTCGCCTGGTTTTAAGACGGAATCGTCGAAACTTCCTTTCTGAACATAAAGCATCGCTTGTTTAGGAGTCGTCTCAATAAGGCCCCTTGTGTCTTTGTGAGAAGGCCGATGTCCTACGAGGCGAACTGGAATTGTGAAACGCTTTAAAAATAGAAGACATGTTACTGCAATTTCGTGCAAGGCTCTAATCAGACGTCGAACTTACTCTCAAAATTCCAAAAAGGAAAGATAAAATCGTTAACACTAATTTAACTGACTCGGCTATAAATACAAATACATCTTTAGCAATAAAACCGGTATAACATCAGACCCTGTTAATTAAATTTTATATTTAGCCAACTCTCGGCATATTCACATATTTCATTAACAGAACATTTAATTTAGATCGAAACTTCAAAAAGTTCGCACGTTACGAGAATATTTTTATTATTAATTTATAACAATGTTTAAATATATGATACAATTGGTTTTCTGTATTTCTAGGTACGTTCTGATCTCTTGCCACCAGTACTACAACCAATTATATTCCAAACTGTCCATTTGGATTCAACTAGTATGTATATGGGGCGCAACTTTTCTGCTAATGGTAAATAATGATTTACGTAATTAATTTCTTTTACAATAAAACATTATTATTTCAGCTCCCTCCGCTATTGGAAATCTGGGGGAAACTGGGGTTAGACGCGTCGACTTTTTCATGCACGATATTAAAGAAAGATGGAAAGTCACCCAAAAAAGTCATTTTCTTAGTAGGATTTGCGCTGCCATGCGTTGTCATAATACTAGCTTACTCTTGTATTTACTACAGCGTGCGGAAGTCCAGAAAAAAACTGAAATCCCACCAGTAAGTATACAACTCGATTACAAATTAATTTTTTTCGTCAAGGGCAAAATATTTCGCTCGGCAAGCTACCAAATCGCGATAAAAAGGAAATTAAGGATGGTGTGGCGTGGCGCGCTGTTCTTGGGGGTGACAATTCGAAATATTTGGGATTATTCAATTTTCGTGGCTGAAAACATACATAGGTATTGAATTCTCGAAACCGTGAGTTGTACGAAACTAAATTGGTATAGGACATAGCTAATACGATGCGAAACATCGCCTTAATGTTAAAAATGTCACCGCCCGCCGGCCGGTGCAGTTGTAATTTATAGACGCCTGTAAGACAGTCTGAAATACCCACAAATAGTCTCTAAAAAGTAATGATAATATATATATGTCTACATTTCTTTGGCACATAACGTACGTACTTGATGCTTTTCTAATTTTAAATGAAGACTCGGATGAAATAGTTTGCTGTATCATAAACAAAACGAGTATGGTGAATTTCCACACATGCTTGTCATCTCTGCCGATTGTTTATTTCTTTCTTAAATTTGCCTAGCTGTAAGCGTGTGCCAAAAGGAACAGGTTACGCCGAATATAGATTCATTAAAGTACGGAAATAAAGAAATTTGTTTTTGTTTCAGACCGATAACCGACAAGAGAAGCAGCAGGAGAGAAAAAGACGACAGCAGGCTGACCAAACTGATGGCGTTAATATTCATTTGCTTTCTATTCTGCTTTTTGCCACTGATGGTAGTCAACGTGTTCGATGACAATGGCAACGACATAAAGTATCCCGTACTTCACGTGTTGGCCTCGATTTTGGCTTGGGCCTCTAGCGTCATCAACCCCTTCATATACGCAGCTAGTAATCGCCAGTATCGCTCGGCTTACTCAAAATTACTGAGACTTGTCAAGTCGAGCGTGGTTTTTTCAGACTCCAAACACGCCTCAAATAACTCCAGGCAAGACAAAAACGGTTCTGTTGTATATAAACCTAGTGGAGGTAGTGGTGTGTAACAATAACACCTGTTTCCACGATGTCGAATATCTTGCCCTTACATTTTTGTTAGCAATAAACATTCCCCCTGTACATTCACCACACCAAAATTAATAAGACTGATGATGGAACCAAAAAAATAATAATAATAAAACTGCTGTCTAGAAACATAAATAAGCACGATATGAACCACCATGTATATATTTTTTATATATTTATGTATAAACTTCATAGTGCCATTGTTAATACAGTATTATTGTTAAGTTAGCCTAGTTTAGCTATGATTGTAAAAAGCCTTGTGATATTATGATCATTCGCATTCTAGTGGACCCTGAAAGTACAGCAGATTTATGTAAATTTTATTGTATTTTAACTATAAATATAAAAAGTATACTATCTTGTGTTCTCAACCTCGATTGTTATGTTTGTGGTAGCATTTTTTAATGCCAAATTTGTCTGCGATGGATCTTCTCTCAGTTGACATGTTTATTTGTATCTTTGTAATATATTAGAGTGTATTTATTTGTATTGAAAATATTTTTTATATATCTATAAAGGACTGACGTGAAAAAATAAAATTTTATATTGAAGAACAAAACGTTTATTTTTCATATACGCTAGGCACGGAAATAAAGGAATATTAAAAAATCCCAATATTTTGGGTGATTTTAAAAGAGCTGTAACTTGGAGGGAAATGGTCGTAGAGAGAATAAAAAAAAAAGGAAATTGAAGCATCAAGTGTCTAGTTTTCAGATCTACAGTTTAAAATTTTAGCGTTAGCAGTTTTTGATTAATCATAACTCAACGAAAAAAAAAATGTAAATTTTTTCTTTTTTTAAAAAGGCTTATGGACTTCAAAAAATGTTTTTGGTAATTTCATCATAAAGCTCTTTTAGATAATTTAATTCTCTTCAATTTGACCGGTTCCGGAGCCTTGTACGATTATTTTCCGCTGAGTTATCGTCGATCAAAGCAAAAAAATCATTTTTGTGTTTGGCAATCAATTACTCGGGAAATAATGGTCGTACAGAAAATCTAAGCAGGGTTTTGAAAACTGCAAAGTAAAAAAAATTTTTCAGTGAAAATGGTTAGAAAAAAAGGTAAAAAATTGCATAATTAGGGACATTTGAATAACTTGGCATAACTTTGCAAATAATGATTAAACTAAGGATATCGACTGTAAGTTTTCAACCTCAAAGTGTCCTAAAGAAACCCTGATCATTTCAAAACGCTGCGATTTTTTTTTTCAAGTGCCTGGCATGCTTAAATTTGTCGTTTTGCTGAAAATCAATGTAATAAGTAATTTTTTATTAATTTTTATAAGTTAAAAATGTTCTTTTTAACAATAATCCATATTTTCTTCATTAAAACATGTACATGATTTTAAAAATATGAAAAAAATTTTTTTCAACATTTTTTTGAAGTCCTATTTAAAAAAAGCAAATATTTACAATTTTTTTTCCGTTGATTTTCTTATGATTACTCAAAAACTGCTGACGCTAAAAATTTTAAACTGCAGATCTGAAAACTAGACACTTGAAGCTTCAATTTCCTTTTTTTTATTCTTTCTACGACCATTTTCCTCCAAGTTACAGCTTGTTTAAAATTACCCAAAATTTTGGGATTGTTTTAATATCCCTCAATTTCTGTACCTAGGGTATATATTTTTTTTAAATTGTGCATAGCGCCTCAAAACTCATAGGCAATGATCTTATGCAACACTCCATACATAAAAAAAATATGGGGATAGGGACCAATATGTTTAAATTAATATATACAGTAAATTCAAAGGCATGAACGGAATTTTTAATACAAACTGTGTTTTTGTATAAAACGACATTTGTTAATAAGATATCTACATAAAATATTTTAATGATACTAGTTTTACGTTTGGTTATCTTTTAAATGCCAATAAAACATTAAAGTGACTGATATAGTTTATAATATTACAATTAAGATAAATTTAATACGTATTGAATAGTGATGCTCTGCTAATTATGCCATTACCGTTACTGATAATTCATTTGTTCAGTTTTAAAATAAAAATACGAAATCCTTAATATTAATAAAGTAACGCTGTGAAAGAATAATGAGCTGATAATCCAGCGAGTATAAAAAAGGTTTGAATAAAGGTCTAGAAATGGCTATTCCAAGTCAATAGAAGCATCGAAAGCAACGCCTGTCGCCCGTCGCCCGCATGACATATCTTTAAAGGTGTTTATAAATAAAGTAACTTCGATTTACTGACGCATGCGCTAGGCAGCGTTGCCAAACCTGCTGTTTTGGTGCCAAATGCAGCGCCTTTAATGGTACTTGGGATTTTGCGTCAATTTTATAGTTTGCCTTACCTGATTAAGTATCTATTTATTTAAAGTAACCAGAACGATTAAAGGGCGTTAGTACAGATAGGTACTCTTTTGTCTGTATCCAAAACTAATTATTTCAAAATAAATCTCCGGAAAAATATACAAAAAGAACTTTGAGGATGTGACAAATTAATAAATATTACTTTCCCTTTAGGATCTACAATTTTTTTTACGTTCAAAATTACAGCGAGTCGTGTTATTATTAATACCGAAATGAAATACGAAAACATTAGCTTGACCTTTAAAATGATCTTGAAAAATTGCTTAAAAAAAAAGTGACACTAAAATTCATTATTTCCGAAGCCGAACAGTGCCCCCAAAAAATCATATGCTAGGTTTTTGTCAGTGGTAAACATATAAAATAGAAGAAAAAATAAGCATAAGTAAGTAAGTAATTTTTTAGAGGACAACGTTTCCATTAAAACCATGTCTGTAATATGTACAAAATTACAGTAATAAGCCGAAATACGAAATTATTAACAGCTACAATAATATTGAAGCTGATTAAATTTTATTGCTAATGTCTTGTCACTGATTTTCACCCTGTACTCATACATAACGCAAAATGTGTTTTTCCAACTAATCTGTGTTGAAATCGTTCGGGTTTGGATCATTATGAAAAAATTATATATCTGGCCACCACTGTTGCTGTTGCTGTTGTATATGTTATTACACTCGTTATTCCTGCTGCTGTTGGTGTTGTTGTCACTGTTGTTGTTGTAGCTGTTACCGTTGTTGTTGCTGTTGTTATCAATAGAACTACTACAACTAGCACTGCAACTGCTACTACCCCTACTACGGCAACAACAACGCTGGCAACACTGACGGTATGGACACCACTGACTGAACAGAACAAGCAACTGCGCTTGAAAACCGGAACTAGCGATCGAAGATACTGCTAGTGAAGTTCATTTTACGTTGTATTTGTGTGTATTCTTTGAAACGCTTTTATCAAACGAATATGTACGTATCATTTTGTTTACTAATTTGTTGTGATAAATATATCAGGCATTTGAAAATACACTGAAAAAAAAATGTGACTGTGATTCGGTTGTGTCTGATTCGCCATTTTACAGTGACTAATTTTAAATTTGTCAGTACATTTGGACAAACAACTAACAAAGTATATATGCAGATTGCACATCCTTACCCGTTATAGCATATTCTAAAAACTGTACAATAAATGTATATATTGTATATACTAAAGTAAATATGGAAAGATCGCGAGACTACTCTCCACGAGGAAGAACTATGAGTATATCTCCGGAAATTTATAGAAGAGATTCTCCAGATTACAGACACAGAAGTAGATCTTGTTCTAGGTCGCCAAATTACAGAAGACATAATGGTTACCGATCTCCTACCTACCATAAAAAATCATGTAAGTACTCGTGATACCTTTTAAAATCCCCTTTTTTGTATAACAAATCATTTTCCGAAAAGTATGTTAAATTTGGATGACGCATTCAAAATTTATTAGCAAATTTTGTACTACGTTGTACATGAGGATCAACACGAACATAATTTTGATCTTATTCTTGCACATACATTTTATCTTATTCTTGCACATACATTTTATCTGAGTATAAACAGGGAGAATCCAATATGGCGAACACAATTTTTTTTTTTGTATTTCGTTAGTAAAATTAGTATCATGTTCCTCAAAGATTTACCTGTATTAATTTAAAAGAATATACTTATGAATATAAAGAATTAAAATTGACGTCAAATCGTAATGAGACTTGATTTCAGAAATATAATTCATATTGTATGTACTGAACTGCGTGCACACGCGCCTTTACTTCAAAATGGCAGCCATGGGAACCGGAAACAGAAAATTAAAATATATCGTCGTCTACACGTAAAAGTCCGTTTAAAACCTGTAATTTATAAGATGAATTTAATTACAAATTAACGATATCGCATAATTACAAAATTTGGTAGAGATATTCAATTAATCTAATAGGTACCTATTTTTTTTTTACTTTTGTACATAACAATCATTATTGTTACAATGGGTGATGTAATATTTCGAAATATACCATGTTTATCTTTATTAAACACCAGGTATCTATAGTATACAAATACATTTCTGTAACACCTATTATAAAACTGTTTTTGGATGATTTCTATTTAAGTTTAATGTTAATAACTTTTTATAATATATACCTATTCTGATTAGTCGGTGTTTAGAAAAATAAAATCTATAAAATAACAATAGGGAGCAATAACCTTACGCCATCTTGTTCTTTGAACAAGCATAAATACGGGCAGATTTTTAAATTTTAGTTGTAATTTGTTTCCATGAAAATTCTGAATATGACTAAGTACAAAAGTATAATGCTAGAATTAAAAAAAATGGAATTTGTAGCGACACCTATAAAAACTTTTCTCGTTAAGACACGTCTAAAATTGCAGTCTATAGCTATGGATAATCATCATTCCAAAAAATAGTCTCATTGCTGTGTCTCCTATAGGTAGACTTTTATGTATCTAATTACAATTAGAAGCACAGACTTGATATAATTTTTAATAAATCCTAATACCCAAATCAAATTAATAAACCCTAAAAGAACTATGTTAGTAAACCAAGACAAAAATGATTTCAGATCATCATGAATACATTGAAGCTCGTAGGGAAAGTGATTACGACAGCGATAGGGAATATCGGCGAGACAGGGAACATTCGTGGGAGGTGGAACGTGAGAGAAAAAGTAGGTCCCGTAGTAGAGATAGGGATCGAAGTAGTAGATACTACAGAAACAGGGACCGAGACCGTGAACACCACAGGGCGAGGAGAAGATCGAGAAGTGGCTCACGCTGGGAAAGGAAATCGGAAGATAGAAAAGTTCGGGACAGAGACAGATACCGCGACGATGATAGGGACAGTGATAGGTATAGGTTATATCGGAATGGCTCTAAAGTATCATTAGACAATGTGTACTTAATACGTATTATAATTTTGACAGTGAGAGAAGCCCTAACGGAGCCGTCATAGGAGCTAGTGGGTCCGAAATTATTGGGTATAAAAGTCAGCCACCAAACAACACGATCATGATCAGGGGTCTAGCTCAGCATATAACCGAGAACGATGTAAGTTCAATTTATTAGTGAAATTGCAAACTCGTATAACTCATTTGTATTTTAGATAAGGCAGGACATTATTCAATGCGGTTTGATGCCAAAGGACATTCGGTTGATCAGGAAAAAAGATACAGGTAATTTGACGGGTTTACTGTTAGTTTAAGGTTGTCTTTAGGCCGTTTTTTGTGAATATTTCTCCTCATAAGGACGGGTAATGCCATTGGTATCTATTGTGCTGTTTAGGTGCTTCCCGCGGTTTCGCCTTTGTCGAGTTTGCCACACTGGGTGAGGCCATACGATGGATGGACATAAAACAGGTATCTTAGTTTAAAGAAGAAATGTTAATACAAACTTTATCGTACTCTTGACGAAATTCGATAAGTATGACTTTTTTATTAATAGACGTAGGGCTGCTCTTCTTCGAATATAGGCCGGGCACAGTTTTTCAGTAACGGAATTCTTCATAATTTCTTTTTTATTACTGCACGATTACTTAAAAATATCGTACATTATCATCAAGGGAAGTTATGAAAAGTTTTTTTACTGTTAAATGATGCTCCGGTTTTTTTTAAACCTATACGTACTAGGTGCTTAAATTTTTATTAGGGTGGCCTTGTTTGACTAAAATTCAAAAAAGTAACCAGCCAATCAAATAAAGATTTCATTTCGCACTTCTAGGCAACGGCGAAAAGGTCTCTTTAATAAGAGGGGTAGTTGTACTCGGCAGCCGAGTTCTGACTGATTTTTGTTATTTCAGGGAGTTTTGATGCTTCAAGACCAATATCGCGCGATCATGCAATATAGTATACCGAAGGACGTAAATGCTTCTGAGAAACCACCAACGCATAAAGCGTCGGCCGACTGGTTCTGTATAAAAGTAAGCTAATACATATTTAAGGACAACACCTTTATTATATCTCAATTATTTCAGTGTGGAGCACAGAACTTTAAAAGGAGAGATAACTGCTTCAAATGCCACGCGTCGAGAATGGAGAGCGAAGAAGGTGGAAGTGGTAGTGACGAAATTTGTACCTATGCCACCAAAAGTAAATGTCACTTCAATATTTTAGGTTTGCAAACAATAATAACTTATTCTTTCAGCAATTATGATGAGAAATTTGGATGCGCTAACAACAGAGGACTCCGTTATGGCAGTTTTAAACAACATAATACCTGATTTGGTAAAATCAATATCGGCGGTGTGTATTGGTCGAGATCCGTTAACTTCGACATCGAGAGGAATATGTTACCTGGGTACCGAAAGTACAATCGATGCCTTAGCTATATACGGAGCACTCAACAGTTCAAAAACACCTCTTATGATAGATGGTAAAACAGGTATGTGTATATTTTAGCTTATTTCAAAATAGTTCAACACTATCCGTACATTTTTAGTGATATTATCGTACTGCAAGTATAATATGGGCGACACGAAGAAAGCATATTCTCAAGCCGACCACGCAGCATTTCCAAACGCATCCGTACCCAGTACTTACGCCATGACTGACGTAGATAGTTTAGCAGAGTACGCTGCAAGAAGATACGCTAAAACTCCACAAGAATACATGCACTACATTGAATATTACAGAGCATTTTTCACTCAACAGATCAGTGCTGGAAATTCTATTACACTGCACCAAGAAAATCAAATGGATGCAGCCAATGCAGCTGCGGCTGTTGCACAATCAGCCATTCAACAAATGAACGCCAATAAATCGTTTTACGACAACACCCATCTAGTTGTTCCCACGGGCACCGATGGAAAAAAATATCGTAAGTAACGCTTTCCCAGAAATAAAAAAAATATTTAATATATTTTTATTGTTCCAGCTGTGCCCGATGTATCTAAATACGTGTACGATAAAACCACAGGCTATCAATACGATCAAACTACCGGGTTGTATTACGACCCGAATTCAAATTATTACTGGAACAATGTTATACAAAAATACTTATATTGGGATCACGAGAAATCAACCTACATGCTTGCCCCAACCTACACCGAAAACATGAATAGTCAACAGCAAGCTCCCAGCGGATCCGCGACAACTCAAGAACCCGAGAAACAAAAACAGAGAACGGAGAAGCAAGACAAAGTCAAAGTAGCGAAGAAAATTGCCAAAGACATGGAACGGTGGGCTAAGACTCTCAATCAAAAGAAAGAAACGTCCAACATAAAAGCAATGACGGATAACAACACCACTTCAAGTAGCGCCTCTGCCGATATAGGCTTTTCGGTGTTGGAAAAGAAAAGCGTGGCTCTTGCATCAACTCCGTTCTTCAAGCAAGAGCTGGTTGAGGAACCTCCAACGCCTTCATCGGCACCCTTGGTAGCCGCGTACGGAGGTGAAAGCGAATCCTCGGGAGACGAGGATAACGTAGAGGAACTGTTAGATTACGCTAAACTGATCTGTAACCTCTGTAAGCGCCAACTGGGATCTGCCGAGGCCTTAACCAAACACGCCAAACTTTCCACGCTGCACAAACAAAACTTGGAAGCCCGAAAGAAGAAAAAGAGCGATGTTAAAGAAAAAATAGTTTATCGTGACAGGGCCAAGGAAAGACGCATGAAATACGGCGATCCCGAAGAACCACAACCTAGTAAACTTAAAGAAAAGTATTTAAAATCGAGAGAAATGGAAATGCCGATGGCAACTTCGTCAGTTTCTGAACCTATCGGATCGGAAAATGTTGGCAATAGACTTCTGCAGAAAATGGGCTGGACTGAGGGACAAGGCTTGGGAAAGCAGAATCAAGGCAGGACAACTATTATACAGGTTAGTAAAAATTCTAGTTTATGTAATGTAATAAGTTTAATAATAATAAATTCAGGACAAAAATGATATACAAGCCTGTCAAATTGTAGAAAACTGTAAACGCTACAAGTTTTATGATTGTTTTACTACTAGTTTTGGGATCATAGTAATGAACTCGCACTTATTGATTTTGAACTTAAAATTATTTCTGTTTTGCCAGGCTGAGCAACATAGTAGTACTGTAGGACTTGGAAACAAACTGCCGGGTTATACCGCGTTAGCTGGAGAATCATACAAAGACTGTGTTAAGAAAATGATGTACGCACGCTATCAAGAATTAACCGAAAAAGAGAACAGTAACTAAAATTCAAGTGTGAACGTTATATTTTCGTCATCAAATGAGAATAAATTTTATGTTTTTTTATTAAGTGAAATGAATAATAGTGCGTGCCAATGTATGTTTGGTTATTTTATTTAACTGAGTGTGTCTAATAACATTTATTGTACATTAAGTGTAATATAATCGCATTAAGTTTTGTATATATTAATATTTTTGTTTTTACACTTGAATAATTTTACTTCTACTGTGCCTCTGAATTGTAAATTAACAAAATATAAAGAATATAAGATACCTTGAAAGAAAGCAGCAAATTTGAAATATTACTGTGATAGTTTCTTTTGAAAATCGAACTTTTCTGCAAAACTGGCCTTTGAAGTTAAAATTAGTCGAGCTGTACATATTCTGATGTAGATATTACGAGAATAAGAATTTTTCTTTTTATCTTATAATGAATCATATTCAAATTCCATTCAGTATATAAAGCTTATTATGTATAAGATTTTTTTACACATTCGAGATTATTAAGTACATTGTATTTATTTACTTTAGATATTAAATAATGTATAAAGTTAAATTCCTGTAATCGATCAGAAGAAAACTCGGTGTGGAAGTTTGTAGAGCTTAAAATTTTTATTTCTGTCTAAAACTTCACATACAAAATTTTGAGAACTGTATTCACTAAAGTAAATAATTACTGCCTTGAGTAATAAAGTTAATTTAGAATAACTCCGTATTTTATTTATAAACAAGCCTAATGCATCTTGAATTGACCCTTTCGCTGTAGCAAGTCGATATATTCGCATAATAAAAGCATGCCCGCAGCACGGATGTCTGATATTTAAGGAAAAAAAATACAATAAGTCGTCGTTCATTGCGGAAAGGGCCATATCCAGGACAACTTGTACTTACTGTGGGAAGCGTAGCTTGCCAATTTCAACACGGCACAAACATATGAAAACCGGCCCCACAGTGAAAGGGTTAATCAGCTGTGAAAGCAGTCTGTTTATATTGAAAAATTTTGAGGAAAGGGTACTTTTGAAGAAAGCCTAATGCTGATGAATAGTGAAAAGTAGTTCAATAACATCTATAACTTCTATCTGTACACACTTCAAAACCAATTAAAACATTTTGCTGATGTAAGTACCGAACAGGTTCGAGAGAAAAATGAAACGAGTTTACAGAGCAGGGGTTCGGTACAATAAATCATACCTGTACAATTTGTAAAATACTCTGGCAAAAATAGAAAGAACAAATTTAAATAATGATTTTAAACTTACTGTAAAGGTGGAAGTGTCGTGATCAGGTGAGCTGAAGGTTGCTTCAGTCACACAGGTTAGAAAACACAACACAATGAACTACCAAAATTTTACACGATCACGCGTCGACAAAACTATTAAAATTTGTAGTTGATTTGTGTATTACAGTTTGAAAATAACTACCTAGCTTAATTGTAACGTGTTGTGCATTTTCTGTGACAGATATGTTAAGAGAAACCGAAAGTTTAGGAGACACAAGATTAAAACACTACCTATACGTGATCTAATGTTAAGTGAAGTCATTTTGAAAAATGCATCAACTAAGAACAACAGAAAGGTATAATATTTTCTTAAAATGTTTATTTAACCGGTTCAGTGTCCCTTCGAGCACAATTTATTAGAAGCAAATGATCCGCGGAAACTAGTTTACATGGCACCCTACACAAAAATTGCACTGTATTAGTCACTACGAAATTATAAAACTACACACACTTTCGTTAATCAAAACAAACTTTAAATTAGGTAAGTTTTATTTGATATAAAATCTAGCACCCTCTAATTAAAGTACTAGCACCGCGTTGGCGCCTTTCGCGAACTCTAGATCCAGGCTAGCAACTAGCAACTGTTCCAACCAATCAGAGCGGTGCACTCCAAGTTGCAGTTCTGAGAAAATCTAGGCGTATTCATTTGTCTGAATTTAAATAATATAAACTAATTTACGAATATATGTATTAAAATATATTTAAAAATATTTTAATATTTATTTTTTACTTAACAAATTTTTGTGAGACCAAATAATCATATTATTTCGAAATTTGATGGAAATTGCATAAATTGTTATAAATATAAGCAGTATGTATTAAAGTTATTTAGATTTGTGGGTTATTTTTTCTTTCATTTAAGAGAATAAATTACTTAATTAAAACTAAAAGTATATTATATAAATAGAGGTATAAAATTTAGTATATTTCAAGTTCACAAACAACTTTAAGCATTGTAAGCAATTATTACACTATAAAATTTTAATATTTTTATTTAACTTTTTTAATTTTGACTTTATTTAATTTGGTGACCCTTTCAATGTCATCTCTAGAAATAATATTGAAATCGATAATAGACAAACTAGGCTCCGGCAAAACAACGTATGTTGTTGGAGGAGGAGATCCACTTTTAGTAAATTTCTGGCTATAGTCTCTCCCACTTCTTGCACCTCCAATGTTCCTCCTTGAATGCAAATGTTCACTAAACCTCTCTAAAGTTCTTTGAGGGCTCGAATTTCTGTAACTATAAGAAAAATCCTCAAGAGAAGTTTCACTGTCGTAGTTAATATTTAAATTTGTAAAATGCAACTGGGCTTGTGTCCTGCTTGTAAGGGGTCTTGGCTTGCAGCGATTTTTATTTCTTCTCCTCACTTGATTCGCTCTCGAGCGGTGGTGCTTCTTGTTTGAAATTTCTGATGCTATCTGCATTGGTATAGCACCAGTGTTGTGGTAATATTCCAGAAACGTTCTTATTAAGTTTCGTCCACATCTCATATCTAATCAATTAAGAAAAAGTCTTACTAGTGTTTCTGTAAAGCAAATTCAAATAAAATACATAAATAATTTAACTACGCTTGCGTTTTCTGTTCAATTTTTTTTGCTCACTAGTAATTTTTGTGCTAAAATAGGTCTCCTATTGTTTTTAATTCGCACAGTGATCAAACTTAATTTGCGTTTAGATATGCAGTAATGGCTAATTAATTATGAAAGGATACAACTTTCTTCATTGTACGGAACAGTAACTTCGGAGCCTTTAATTTTGTATCCAAAAATAGACACTTCAAAGGTGTAACAATTGACTTTGTCGCTCAACAACGAGCAGAGGTATCTTCTAGCCGTTCCTATTTTATTGTTGTCTGAATTAAACATTGTGTTTTCTGCAACGTAGTCATCCGACGTTGTGGCCAACAGTTTCGGAAATAAAATATGTCTTTCGTATCTAAAAATAAAGTACTATTTTTGGATTTACGTCGATAAAAAAATAAACACGTCGAACCTATAAACATCTTCATAAGTATTTCCATACACGAAACATCCTTTTAAACTTGAGTGGGCGTGGATGTCTATCACGAAATCTAACTGGAACTCCTAAAAGTGTAACAAGATGTCAACATACGGGGGAGGTTGGAAATGTAACGCTTTGTTTTCTTAATTGCCGTACCTTGTTTTTATCTAGTACTAACAACATATCTATCACAGCTTTAATGGTTGGGTGGCACCATGGATTCGCTATATGCCAAGAACGGTTCAAGTCAGTGCCCATCACAGTGCTTCTGTAATTCCCTAGGAAAACTCCGTCGGGATTCAGCATAGGAATTATTTTAAATATGACGTTTTCTCGTAGCAGCGTCGCTATGGAATTTGAACTTATTAACAGTTCCAAGAGCCCTAAAATAGAAATACCGTTACAGTGACTGTTTTTTCATTGCTTAAAGGCTTACCTTGACATACAAAACTAGCTGGGGATTCTCCTGGATGAACTCTAGCCATTATAGCAACTACCCTTCTTTTCGTTTTTGGTTGTTGTGATCTGTCCAAGGATCCTATAGTTATCAAGTCTAGCCTCCTTTTTTGCTAAAATAAATAATTTTTAATGACGAATGCTTTGTTGGGACATATTTTTAAGTACCACACTGTTCTCTAGTAATTCTCTTTTGAAATTGTCACTTAAGTAAGTAGCCTTTTTCTCCAGAACATTCAGAAACGTCTGTAATCTTGTATAGCTATAAGGAGGAGCTAAGCAAAACTGAAAAACATCGTCTTCCTTGTCGAATCCAAATGAGAAGCTTAGGATGTAATGGCCCTGATGCACAACAGATTTGTGGTAAAAAACGTACTTTTTAGGTATTCTTTGCCTGAAATTTTTAATTATAACAACTGTGTTTCATTTAAATCGTAAAACTACCATTTCGGTCTACTCGAAGACTTCACCAAAGGCGTCAAACTTTCCATAAATAAATTTCTCTCTTTGCTGATATTGACTATATTAAAAATAACCCTCTAAAAATTAAATATTGCATAAAATTATTAATTATTTTAATGAATATCATGTACTTGGTCCTGTTTAACGTTATCCACCGTGAAATTAAACCAGAAACGTAACTTCGGGGAACAAGTATCGGGCCTTATAAACAAATCATACTCGTACTCATTTACCAGATCAACTCTGCCTAAGTTCCCTGTTTCGAAGGAAGCATCGAAACACAAATGTCCACGCTTCGCTTTTCCACTGTGTCCGGGGGGTCGCATAATCAGCCGATTCACGTTTCCCATACCCCCTTCTCCGTCACTGTCGTCAGAATCTGAAAATTGAAGTTTAAGACTACTCGTTATACCAGGACCGGCTCGGGCCCCTAGGCTGCATGTTTTAATATCCGAAAATTGTAATATTTACCGAAATAAATTTCGAAAGTCTGTTGAAATTATCTTTAAAACAGTCTCTGCGGTATATTTCGCGTATACTCACTCATATCCGTAGTTAAATAGCTGGATCATTCGTCAGTTGTTCAAAACCGGTACAAGCCTGGTGGTTCGGCTGACGAATGATCCTCGCACTTCACTAGATATTGCAAGTAAAATTCAATGCTGGTCAGGACATTAACCCGCAGAGTAGTTGTATCCCGCAATATCATCAGTTGAGAATAAATTATTGGCAGCATTTTACCTTCTCTTCTTTGGTATATGTTGGTGTGCTCTAAGGGATCGTAATACTGATCCATTATCGATTTCGAGGGAGACCGCCATTAAAAATAGCTGTGCATCATTTGGAATAATTTGATTAACGTGAACTAGACGGAACACGGGTTCGGTGTAAAGTTACATTGCAACTGACCCAAAGAAGTATGTTTGAAGGCTCGCAAAACGTTCCGCGTGAAATGTTATCAGAAATAGAATCAGATAAACACGGAATCCCAAGCTTTTAAACATTGCATGGAACTGAAATAATTAAACTTTGCGGAAAGGTGTTGTTTTCCGAACAGATCCATTTACTGGTATCCACACAATCACATTTCGAACAGAAATTACCTCAGGGTGCGATTACACCACATCATACTTGAAGATTACGATGAAAATTGGTAGAAACGTAGTTAAGAGTTTATGGGGCACCAAATCGTGACAAATTCCGTGTCTCAGATTTATCTTAGCAATTTATCATATTGTTTTAATTAAATCTAATTATGGAATTAATATTGATTTTCGTTTGTTTTGTACTTATAATTATAAATTTTATTTTTAACTTGGCGCTAATTATTCAACCATTCGTTTCATATTGATGAATTAAAATTAAATCGGGATGTGTAAATATGAGACGAGAAACAGATTGTGTGGTGGGAACTGAGCATTGCCGATCAATAAATACTCTACTGTACATGTAGGAAGCAGAATGTGTATTTATACATGCATGTTACTTGAAATACCTGCAGATTACCAAAACGATAACGTAAGTTTTGCTGATAGAGTTCAATACTGAAAACGCTTTAACGTTTTAAGACAACAAAAAATATTTATTCAGTATATCAAATTGTTGGAATAAAAACACGCATTTTTTTTTTTTGAGAAAATTCGTTTCTGGAAATAGCACGGCTTTTCGAGGATATTGGTATGTTTTGGAGAATTATCTTGATAAGTTTTTGGAAACCAATTTATTAGGAGACATTCAGAATATATTATACGCTTTCCAATGCGTTTAGATTCATAGAAAGAGAGTTTTAACTATATTAAACCAGATCAGATCAATATATTGAATCAGTTTTGATAGATTTAAATATACAGGGCGGATGCGAAATATTAAACCATTACCATATCAAGCATATTAAAAATAACAATATTTCGGTGTTTACACTGCGAAGAATAATGCGGTTGTTTTATGAAAAATAGTATCTTTCATAACTCCAAAATTAATGAAAATAATTCTATTTAAAAACAATCAATGGTGCGAATCTCTATATTTTTCAGTTTTCTAAGATTAGGTACCAAATATTTGCCAAAGAAAACAGAAAACTTATTTAAAAAAGCATAGAGAGCGTTATTCGTGATGTGGGAGATGTACAGGGTGTTAATTAAGTACGTCGTTATATGTTATGGGTCCCTAAATCAATAGTTTTCAGGATAGAGGATGAAAAAAAAATCAGTTTGACGCAGAGAATGAGAGAACTTAGGCTTATCTATTTATAATTAACACTGTATAAAGCAATACTGACAAAATGCTTGAAAGGTCGAGTTATTTATTTTTGGTTTACGTGAAACATAATCATTGCAAAATTTGAATATAATAAAAAGATGACAAAACAGAAAAAATACACGAGTATGTATATATAAAAATTTCTATAAACTTTTGTGTAATTTATTACATTTTCGCATAATGTGGTGGTAGTTTTTCATTTAAAATTTGTATTATGTCTATTATAAGGAAGAGACGCGGTGATATGACAAATTAAATAAACTTATAAACGCGGATTGCTCTATTTTAAGCACTTGCGAAGTTTTGGGCGAACACAAAAACCGGGCAATTATAAACCGAGCTATAGAGCTGGGAAATACGTTTAATTATGAAAGAGGCAGGTTGATGTGGTTATACATACCTTCCCCGAAATCCCCCATGATTTAACACAAAGGCTTAGCTGTCAGACAAGACACTTTAATTCCATCATTAAACACGCAACGTTGGAGATTTAGAACAAAGCAATATTCGATCCAAATCGGGAAAGTTTTGAAGGTTACTGGATGGCCGTCTCCAACCACCAAACGCTGACAAACTGACTGGGTTTCTTATCAATGTTGACATTTTTTCACCTCGTGTTTGATCGATATTAACCCCATCGCATTCAAGACCAACTTATTTGTCCCGATTATGACAGCAAATTGTCACGAACGCGAAATATGGGCAGTCCTCCGGACTTTGCGATTCCGAGCTGCAGGCTGTACAAGGTGGATCGTGACACAATTCTGGGTGATTATGACCAGCATAACGCAGAACGACAATAGCGTAACATTAGTTAACCGATTTTCCATAAAAAGACAACCGACATTTAAGGCGACGGACGTAGGGAATGACTTGGAACTTATTAATTCGATTATACTGTAAACTCGCAAAATTATCGTGCGGTAATATGTAGCTTTACAGCGTAAGTAATTAATTCATATATTTTTAGAATTATTAATCCATAAAGGGCAAGACACTCCCTTAGATATTATGAGACTGTCTTTTACACACCTTTCAACCACTGAATCCTTACTGACCCCATTCGTTATAGATGTTTATGGTCGATAAAAAGCATCGTTTGTTTTCAAATTTTTGACATACATAAATTTAAAAAAAGGGTCACATCTCTAAAGTAGTTTCCTTCACAAAACCCTAGAACTAACAATATACAGTGTGTCCAAGGCAATATGCCGGTTAGAAAGTTTTAAAATTCCGGGTAGTTACGGAGATATCCGGAAAAACCCGAAATTTTGCAAAATCGTTTTATTTTTTTTCTGGCTTTATTTGAAAACGATTTTTAAAATATTGCATATTTATATTTTTCGCTCTATCCAATGGCGGTAACTTTTTTGCAATCCGACGTTCCGTCTTCGAGGGGTCATCATCAGGTTAATTTTTTTAAATACGTCGCTGCTGTTTTTATGACAAAAATTAGTCATTTTTAATTCTGAATTAGATGATATTACTATTGCAATCGCTTAAAAAGGTGTTTAGTTTGTTTTAGCTATCATTTAAAATTTCTCCTGAGTACGGCTCTGAACGCTTTCAAAATATCTATTGGAGGAAGTCATAACAGTATAAAAGTCAATACAGCACAAATTATCCAACAATTTTTTTTACTACTATTAGCAATACTAATTAGAAATAATAAAACATTTCATAAATTCGTATTATTTTTTTATTGGGTACAAATTTTTTAAGTTACTGATTTTACCTCGAAGACGAAACGTCGGATTGCAAAAATGTTGACGCCATTGGATAGAGCGAAAAAAGTGGCAATTTATTTTAAAATTCGTTTTCAAATAAAGCCAGAAAAAAATAAAGCGATTTTGCAAAATTTCGTTTTTTCCGGATATCTCCGGAACTACCCGGAATTTTAAAACTTTCTAAACGGCAAATTGTTAGGTATAAAAAAACAACTTTTTTCTCATTTCAGCCACCCCGTATCTCTTACCGTTTCCTAGATCCTAATACTATCCTATCCTTATCTTGGACACACAGTATATTAGTTTGATTTATTAAAGTACAATAAAAAATTAGTTTTTTCAAGTTTGAATTGAAAATGCATTAGTAATGATCTAATAAAACAATTAATTAGCCCAAAACTATAACAAATACAAAAATTTTACAAGAACAAATTTTTAACAAACCTTTCATCTGTAAAACAAAAAAAATATATAAGCTTTAACATGACTCCCGACAAAATTATGAGATATTATTTCAAGGGAGGGAGTATTTTTCAGTTCTGTTAATCCAATTACTTCATTTAATCTATCATTAAATGATATCTATAAGGAAGTATAAGTATTATACAATTTTTTCCTCCAACTTTGAAGCCGTCTAGCGGCTAAACGAAACAATTTAGGACAGAAGTAAGTTTAGTTAAACATTGGGACACCCTACATATCCATTACCATTATTCATATATAATTTCTACAGTCTAGATCAACGACTACCTCGTAAAAGCAAAAAAGCTCGTCAAATTACAGGATAATTTAAAAATTAACGCAGCAAGATGAAAAAAAATTGATGCCTGTGAAGCCACGTGCGTAATGAACGGAGATACAATAAACGAGGAAAAAGGAGATTATATTTGCTACCTAAGATGAATGGCCAATTAAGCGTGTATGCATATGCCTATGACGTCGATGCCTGCCCAGGCCTACTAGCTGACGTTACACTCGCTGGAGAGGGGTGAGGGAGGGTTAACTCCTGTTATAGAGGTCCTGGCAGCGTGAGGATAACCTGGCCAGGCTCTGGACACTGAAGCTTCAAATGTATACGTTCGCCAGAATATATTAATTTCATATATCTTTATTTTATATTCTTGGAGTAGACTGATATTTAAGGAGAAAGGCTCTTTTAGATTTAATTTAATCATTTGGAATTTGCTCAAAGACTTTTAAGACAAAGATGGTAATTTACTCAGTTGTTTTATTTAAGGTTTACAGAATAACAGTAACTTTGTGATAAGACACGTAATTTCGAACGAAATGGCTCGACATAAATTTTTAAATCTATCTTTCTTCTTTACAATACAACTGACACTTTATTTAATTAAAATGAAATAGACGTAAAGACCTAGGTGGGGATTGTATTTACTTGCCTTATTTTTAATTTTTATGTGACAAACTAATCGTATAAGTTTACGTTCAAATTCCATATAAACCAACATTTTCAATAGTCTTTTTAAGTATCAAATCGTTACATTTTGGCAATATAAATACCTACTAACAAAACCTATATTGACATTCTAGTTTCTGATAATCTATCATTGTTATTTATAACGTCAATGATGTTTAAAATTTGTAGTTTTGATTTTAAAACTGTTTTATATATGTACAGGGTGTAAATTTAAGTGGATTTCCTTTTTCAAGGCGTAATAGTACGTGTTTTCCAAGGTGGTAAGTTAAAATTCAATTTTTTTTTAAATATAAATATAGCAGTCGAGTTACAATCATTTTCAACTCATTTCAAGATTTCAATAAATAGTATTTGTTACTATTTTTTATGAAGCACTTTATTTAGTTTGTGAAAATTAATGTCAATGACCCCTGAGATTGACCTAGTTTAGGTGAATTACATAATAGTTCCTCCTGCTTTTTATTTCGGTGTAGTGAGCTACGGTGTGTTTGTGTGTCGTCATTGTTAAATTTATGAAAAAATTGATCAAGAAAATTCAGATTTGGTAACAATGTATGCACTCGCGGATAGTTTAAGGTTACACTAGCTTGTCTAGTGGCGAGGTACACAAAAAAATTTTCACGAGGGAATTTGTAAAAACAAATTTATACCCTGTAAGCTGGATAAATGATTAGATTTATTTTTAAACGCTACACAAGCTTGCAATGTGCTAAATCTGATACGCGGAACACCTTGTACGACTGTACTGTTCAATAAACCCCACATTTAAAACTCCCTAAAGTATAATACGCGAAGCATGACTCAGGAGTTGGCTATGGATCTAATAACGCCGTACATAAACATTGGAAACTGTCTTAAAATAAGTAGATGTATTTTTTCGGATATATTTCTACAGAGGGTTGACAAAATGTGTAAATGGTGACATTTGTCAATTTGTACTAGGCTGATACATAAATCTTGCCGATGTATTGATTGTATGCACGCCGTAAACTATGTACTACGAGACATCATTCATTCATTTTTAATAGATAGTTCAATGGAAAACCGTGCTAGTAGAATGTGTTGAAATGAAAGTATGAAATCCGAAAGTTAAGAAAAACCGTAAGTTTTTGGGACAGTTTCGAATAATCATTTGAACTTTTCCTAAGCGTAGAGAAGTGTGTCTGGCGTGTGAGATGTGGCGTAGCAGGAGTGGGATAGTATGTGGAGCAGGTTCCGGGTTTGGCCGCGTGAAAGTACGGCGGCCGATGTATGAATGGGGGCGGCATCTTTAGCGTCGGTAGCGTCGATCCTGAGGCCGGCAAGGGTGGCAGGCGCGCGCACGATATCGACCCACAGCAGCAACCCCTGGCCGACACCCTTCCTACAAACGCCATGCAACACCATTTAGTTATTGCACTCTCTGAATAACACTTGTGTTACGTTTGGTAGTGTACGTTATGTAATAATATCATTCCTTGCATAATTATACTTATTAATAATAATTCCTACTACTATTGTCTATATTTAATCAATAGTAATAATATATAAATTATTTAATATTTATTAACGGTTTCATAGTTCGGTTCTTTCTTGTACTCTAGGTTGGCTTTATAACCTTGCATCGTTAGAGTTTATTATATTTAATCGTCTTTTAAAAATAAGTGCAATCTTTTAAATATTGTTTCTAATACTCGTCACTCATTCTAGTCATTGTACAATACTCATTTATCAAACAATTCTTCAATCTCGCACTTTTAGTGGATACGTAATAAATACAGTTTTTATCTTTATATCGTTTACTTCATTGGGATTCAACAACTTAAAAAGAAAACGGTAAGTACCCTTTTTCTTTATAGCGTACAACTCCATGCCAATACCCTTTAATTCCTGCAAATCTTAACGCAACCGATACATACGAATCCCTGCAACTGCACGGATAGGAAGGAATAACGGAATCGAAGGCATAGTAAAATAAATAACATACAAAGTAGTGTGTGTAGGTTCTATTAAATATATTGTGGGTGTCGATTTGAGCTCGAGCTTAGTGGCTGGATTCGCGGAGTAGTGCGGGGTTGAAACAGCGAGAAGGGAGTAGCTCGCGCGGATCAATACTAGAGCCAGAGCCAGGCCTGGTCAAAGCTGAACTCGATTACCATTTTCACAACTTTGATACACCGATTCGCCCACATTATCAAAAAAACACATCTGGATCAATGATCGCGCTACCCTTCGTTCCTTCCCATTCATTTTGACGTTTCGACGACGCTTCTCCTTCCAAGTAGAAGTTTACGATTACATAATTGCTAAAAATATTACCTTTCCGTTTTAGTTCTATTTTTAAAACTGCGCTCTTTATTTCAACACGGATATTTAATAAAAACAACATGGCAGATCGAGAACACGCTTAATAAGGTGATGTTTTGTTCTTTTCACACAATCTTTGTGGTTTTGGTATAATGATTTATTTTTGCAATTTCGATTAACTTCCGAAGTTCTCTCAGTGTAGATTTGTTGCTTCTCAACCGTGTAGTCTGGTCAAAACTGACTCGCCTACATTAAAACTTGCAAGATCAATGATACCGCCTACTCTTTGCATTCATTATTTAACGTTTGAAATTCCACAATTTCTCCTTTTTCGCCGACTTATCTCATTATTCACGTGTTCTTTTTACTGGTTTGATTTATTTTCTATTTCTGCAATATTTAAACACCGCGGTTAGTGAATGACACTTGATACGCAATTTTAAATCGGTTCACGAGAGGGGCTGGTTCATTAAAATTTACTGCTAATTCTGTAGTGCTGGAGATTTAGTCAATCTCCCCCTTTTGATGGTTGCTAGGTAACCGTTTCAGTAAATTCTTCCTCCCTAATATCCCAACCCTACCATTGTTTATTATTAACAAGTCACTTTAAAACTTGTGCTCTGTCACAAGTTCATTTACTTTTATTATTTCAGATTTTTAACGCATATAAAAATAAGTAAATTAAAGATCTTTTTCTATGATGGGTTTCTAAATGTAACGAATCATTTTTAGGGCATATTTGGTAAACCCATTAACTGAAAAAACGTCAAGTTGAAAGTTATATTTTTGTCCGTATTAAATAACATTTAGTTTTTGTACTTTTACTTCATTTTAAAAGGGATTAGGCTAGTTCTAAAAATTGCCACCAATATATATATAGCTTGAAAAGCTTTAAATCTCAGATTGGTTTGTTTCTACAATATCGTTAATTATTAATTAATAGCTTGACTCTGAATCGAACTAGCTTGATTAGCTTTATAAAGTGTAAAAAGTTGAGGATAGAAAAATAGCTATCATATGATTTTGTTTTCTCTCTGCTTTTAACTTTTTGAATCGTTAAATTACATTTTCTTTGCAGATTTTCAAATTTGAATAAAGTCTTGGCTGACAGGTGCCAAATCAGGTAAGTGTGTAATAATAAGAATTCGTATTTCTATGTCGTAGCACATTTTTAATATGTCACAGTTTGTTACAAAGCAGATGTAATTACAAAAATAATTAGTATCACTATGATGTGGAATTTAATTTTTTTTAATTTTACTTGAAAAATTAATAAAAGATGCAAAAGTGACAATTTCAATTTTTCAAATCGCAATGAAGGAAAAATCGCAGCGGTTTGAACTTTTGAGGGTTTCTTTGGGGTACTTTTAAGTTAAAAAAAACAAAAATATACTTAGTCCATTAATTGTTTGTAAAGTTATCTCAAATTTAGCGAAAATCCTCAAATACACAATTTTTTGCCCTTTTTTAATCAAGTTTTTAAAAAAACAACGATGAGAACGTCTTATAGAGGATACTTTGTAGTTTTCAAAACACCTGCTTAGATTTTCTGTACGACTATTAGTTACCAAGTTCCTAATTAATTATTATCAAAGCCAAAAAGGTCATTTTTGCTTTAAACAACGAATAAATCGCGAATAATCTTCGTACAAAGCTCGTGAACGACTCAAAATGAATAGAATGAATCGAGCTAAAATAACCGACTAGTGGGACTGCCAAAAAAAATTATTGAAGTCCGTGGACCTTTCGAAAGGGAAGCAAAAATTTGAAAAAAGTTTTTCCGCTGGATTTCCTATGAATGATAAAAAATTTTGACTCTCAAATAGTGACCATTTTTCGCCGAGTTACAGCCTTTTGAGAATCACTTAAAAGTTATTTTATCCTTTAATTTTTGTGAGTAGTTCATTTTCTGTACTTATGTGGTATTTGTGTTTCTCCAGCAAAATCGATCAATAGGGTACTTATGGACCTATTTCTCGTACACGTATACAGTTGACGGCAGAGGTGCAATTTAATTACGGTTAGAAACCATTTCTGCCAATAGGTTATAAATAGATTATCGATCTACGGATGAATCAAATTTATAATTCATAGTTCATACCCATTACTAACGTTCATAGTTTGCTGCACAGTCCATTACATTTTTGTTATTCAGAAAGAGAATATTGCAGCAAACAATTTACTGATTAACAACATCCGTAACCGGAAGCAGGTCAAATGTAATTAATAAACGCATTTCATATGCAGCATTATGACGTTCCTAACACATTTAGATTTCTAGTCTTTTTTCAAGCTAATATTCAAAGATTGAACTGAGGCTTAACACACTTTACTGACAACAAAACTTTTGGGAGCGGCATCTACACCCCATCAGCCAGCACAAACGTTTAAAACACCTTGACCTCTAATCTCGAACGACTTGCCAGTCATATATTCATATCACCAAAGCGGTTTCTGTAGGTCATTCTACGCCTTTAAAAGAATTAAGTACAGTAAAAAATCCATACTTCAGATCAGAATAAATGTAAGTATAAATTGCGTGCAGATTAACTTTATTTAAATATTCATTAAAATGCTACACCTAAATCTAGAAGATAGGATCTAATCTATTTTGTCCCCCCACGTGAATTTTCGCCGGGGCACAACACCTGGTTCATTGTTAGTGTAATGGTCAAATTCTCATCGCAAACCATGTGGGTATCAAGCTAATTAGGTCTGATTAATATTTGTGTATCGCACAAAACAATTTTGATACGCACGAGGTGAAATTCTAATCCCACTTTCTTTTCATCCAATTTATATTTGTCGATCTTCGTATAATTAAATTTAGATACTAATTAAAACCAGAGTAAATATCTGTAGTAATCATTACACAATTCATACAGACGTAACGTCGTCTAAAAGGAAGACGGAAACATGTAGGTCGTGACTGTGAACCGTAAATAAAATTTTGTGTGTATTGTATGAAAACGTGGCTTTGAATATATAATTAACAGCGGAAAAGTTAAGGAAGTTTTAAATAGGGAACTCAATTTTGATCATGTTGATTTTTTGCTAAACTTCTGATTTTATTGTGATTATTTCAATTAGATTTGCCTTCGATTTCCTGGAAAGCAGAAGTTTTGATTATTTAATATACAATTTCCCTATTAAATATACAGGGTGTCCCATAAATAATGGTACGTGGAGCAACAGCGGATTCGATACATTAAAATCATTCTTCTCCGTGTATCTGTATTAATTTCAAATGCCGACATGAAAGAAAACATACTCTTAAATAAAAAACAATAACAGCGAAATAAATAAGAAGAAATAAATAATCAACAATTAATTAAAAAAGTGATCCATTTTCTATAACTATTGGAAATAGTTTCCATTTATTTCGAAACTTTAAAAGTGAATATCTCGAAAAAGTATATTAAAAGGGCCGAGAAGCAAGACGCGTATAATCCGCTGTTGCTCTATTACTTGTGGGACACCCTGTGTATACATTTCAGTTCTATATCTGCCAACTCTTCTAACATAAAAATGTGCAATAATATAAATAATATGTGTCGTATAATTCTAAATATTTAAATTCTACCACTATTTACTGAAAGATAGATCTATTTGTGTCCAATTTACATTTCTGTGAAACTAAACCACAAAATATGTCTGTTAATAAAACATGAAATAGTCAAATCATTCAGCATTGAAATATATTTTTTAAATCTATACATTCAAGTAAACAAGTATTAATTACTATCCTAATTTGTATTTAACGTTACTAGGTATAATGCACAACATAAAAACTAGTTTTTAATTTTATTCGTGTGTATCCTACATCCAAATAAAGCACGTGCGGCATATGGTCATTTCATCCCCTACATTTTAAATGTTCTAAACCTCTAGTATACGTGGTCTCTACATCACGACGAAGCCATATGTATAAGTTATAGTTAGTACGCCAGGACGACGTATGTATGCCTACGTCCTATACCGCAGTGTAGAAGAAGGGTGTGTGCTCTAATGTTGGGTGAGAACAGCTGATAATATACAAAAGCCAAGCTTAGGGTGATTCGCCCCCCCTGCTCTTGGTCTAGCCCACTCCCAGACAGAAGACACAGGGCATTCACCCGAAAATCAGTAATATATATTGCAACTCGGCTACCCTCAAAATTTATTGCCCCCGGAACTAATCCGATCGCGAAATGTTTAACGCAAAGTTTAAGAACTAAATTAAACATTAAAAATGTAAGAAAATAGCAATCACGTGAAAATTCCAAATCGTTCTTTTTTTTTCAGATTTGGGTTTCTTTGTGTGGACGTTTTTTTTTGAGAATTTATCTACTACACTTTTTTTGTTTGTAACGCGTTTAGCAATGATATGTGGCGATGCAATCGGTTGAATATTAATTAGATTAAAGATTCGAGTAATACATGGTGGTATTATACACCGCGCTGTCGAATGTTTTTAATAAACAGGTTTTTGTTCGCAAAAAATATCTGGAGAACGTGCAAAAACATAGTTTTAAGTAGTAAAGGAATTATCGAATTCGGAGAATTTGGTAAATTAAAACACAAAATTTGCTAAAAATTAAAAATAGAGCATGGCGGTGTCCATTCACGCATGTGTGGTATCGCATTGCTGCCGGTAACGCGTTTGAGTCGCAACTTCATAATAGAACCCAGTTTAGTACGATTCCGAGCGCGGAAGGTAGCGGTTTCGGTTTTATTTAATTTTTTTTCTTTTTTGTTTTCGTTAATTTTATTTTGGCTTTTATTAGTAGAAAACATTTACTTTTGTAACTTCTTTTGAATGAATAGTGACACCACACATGTGTAGTTTGCAGGTTTTAGGTGAGTTCGACAGTTTTGCCAGCAGTTCACGTTACCTAGATACAATTATTGTGAATAAAATAATCAATAATAACATTCAGCGTCAGTAATTGGTGCATATGTAAACCAGCGAATTCGGTCTAAATTATATGTGCGCAGTATCGCTTTGTTGAACCTTTTTTGCAGTGATATGCATTTAAATGTTATCTAACGTTCTCCAGTGCAAGAATTGGACATAAACTATAAGTATACCACATAAAAGAAGTGATTAGCAACCTGAATTTAAACGGAAAAGTGAAATCTAACGCACGTGGTTGATACCGTCATTTTCAACATGTTCCCGATAGGTTACACCTACTTCAAATTAAAAATGTGCAGACAAGTTTACATTACACATACAAATTAAAGTAAACAATAAAACTAAAAATACGAAACGATTATCGCAAAAATCTGCGATTCAAAGACCACCTAGGGATATAATTTTTCATACTCGTATTGGTTCTTTAAAATTTTCTACGGGTTTTGTATATGCTTCTTTAAACGAGAATAGCTGCAGCATCTAAAAATAAACTGAATTTAAATTCATTTGAGCTTCGGTATAAGTAGGAAGTTACTTCATTTTATACTAAATGCTATAGCTGTATCAAACCGACTCTTAACCCGATATAAATTTTGCAAAAGTATTTTTGAATGTGTTATATTTTTGTATACAAGCTATTTCATATTTTTGACCCACAAATGTATTCATATGGTTCTACTTATTTTTAGTTTCCACATTTTGCTTTAAATTCTTACGAGTGGGTTTTGGAGTTACATATTATAAACAAAACTTGTGTTCCACTTATTAAAATTAGAACTATCTATTATACATTCTTATGAGAATTACAAAAACGAATGTTTTACCAACTGCATTATAATAAATCACTAAAAACGCACTATTTTCTTATTTATAATCCAATAATGACATGTTAACACGACGAATACGTAATTCTTATTTTAATTTGAATAATAAAGTTGAGTGTGACAGGAAGAAAATGCAAATAACCTTCACAATTCTGCAAGATGTGTGGGAATTTTTAAGTATACTCAAAATCTATTTCTGTTTTTCAATGTTATTTAAAAAAATAAATTCACAAACATTATTCAATATATCACAGTTAATATGCAACTGAAAGTTAAATACCCATACCTGCACCGGACTAGCTATTACAAAAAACAGAAACTTAGAACTTTTTATGTCTAAAAAATGTTGGATGGCGTTTCTCGCAAGTCCGAGTCATTGAACTGATATTTTTGCCGAGTCCGGTTTTGTTTAGTTTAATAAAAAAATACAGCGGCTGAACCAACTAGGGAGGTTCTTGTATTTGCAAGAGTGGATATTAAACGTAGTTTGAAACATTATTTTCAGTATTTTGGGGGTACATCTACACTGAAATAAATATTAAATTACATAAACGGCGCTTAGTAAATTAGTTATGTATTTGTTTTGGCACTTGGCGCCGAATAATATGTTTATAATGCCTAAAAAATTGTAATTAGTTATCTGTCGTCTCATGATGGCTTCTTTTTTTTTCAGATCGTAAAATAGGGTAAGATTTACCCTACAAAAAACGAAAAAAAAAATCGTAGAAATTCAGTCCTTCGAATAAATTTTGTAATAAATTCAAGAAACAAAAGTCGTCAAAACAAGAAAACACCAAGTAAATTTAAGTGTACAGTATAATTTAATTTATCAAAATAGAAGAATTAATTAAAAAAATTACCATTACCACTTTTAATTTGAGTGACGAAAAAACAACCATGATGTCCAATGGTTTAGATTCTGGAGTTGTAGGACAGCAAAACGGTAGTAGTGGTAACAATGTCGGCGGAGGACAGGAAGAGTCGAAAACTAACCTCATTGTCAACTATTTACCTCAAACTATGACCCAAGAAGAAATTAGGTCTCTGTTTTCAAGCATTGGTGAAGTCGAAAGCTGTAAATTAATTAGGGACAAAGTTACAGGTATGTTTTTCTTTGAAACTTGTTTTGCTTGTTCCTAACAGGTAAATGCGAAAGCTTTGCGAGTTTTCATTTAAACAGTGGCGCGTTTGTCAGTACGTATACACAAAATTTATTACAAATAATAATTTTGCAATCAGCTAAGGTCTCTAACATACGAGCGTTAAAACGCTCAGTGACGCAGTCAACTACTGCAGTTCTAATCTAATTTGACGTCAGTTATGAAGAAATTTTCTTGTGTTTTCATTATGTCGACAAGTAAACTGGTAATAGCTTTTGCGTTTATCAGAATGAACCAGGACAATGTATTTAAATTTTAAACTATTTTAATAATTAATTGTTATCTATTGTTTTAATTAGATGGTTAATTTAGAGGTTTATCTTTTTAAAATATTCTTTGTTTTTTATTCTTACCTTTTTGTTTAATGTTACAGTAATAATTCAAGTAATTTATTAGACTGTCATTCCAATGAAAAAATCATGGTCGGCATATTTCATGAAGTCAAAATTATTTCTGCAATTAACTCACCTTATTAATATTATTATTTTTATTGGTAAAAACTACTTGGGGCATTTTTCAGCCACCCTGTAAGTTTGGTAATTACAACAATCTTAACCTTCGTGTATTTACTAGCTGTACTTTGTGAGGCAAGTTGTAATAAATTAGTAACAACCTGAGATTTTTAGATTGAATGTCACTAGAAAGAAAGATATCCGTGGATATTTCCTCTAAAATCTGTGCAAACTACTGGGATATCGTCAAAAAGGTATTCAGATATTGTTTTACTCAACTAATATCCTCAGTCTAGGTAGCTTGGTGGTGGTAATTTTTCATTTATATTTTGTTCAGCTTGTTACTAATTTATTAATTGTAAGTTGAGTCGTTTTATTATTTTTTTAAGAAGGGATTGATCTAAAAACTTTTTAGTTTTAATGTCGCGACTAGTTATTTTTTTATAATCCCTATATCTATTTCTATGTGTACAATATCACCCATTATGTATGTAAAATGCAAAACATTGTTCGTAGCAACTAGTAGTTATTTATAGAATTTATAATATTTTGTCATGTTGCCAATGTATTATTACAGCGGAAAAGAAATTGGCTATCCATGTTCTTGTTTGAAATTGCAATTAAAATTTTTCGCTCATTATACGTAGTGCGTTTCAGTAATTTGTATAAAAAATATTTACTTTTAAATTTTATTATTTACATTTTTTGTTTGTCGAATAAGAAAAATAACGTTTACAGTTATAAATTTTAAGAGTTACGCGTCAGTTAGGACCACTTCCTGCTCAACGTACCAGCTGATCGGCGATTATTATTATTAAAATAGAATTTATCTGTTATCGCGTATATTTACTTCCATAATTAAAAAAAAAAAACAGTGCAGTGGAAATTGCAGATCATGGCCCACAAAAGAATTTACGTTACTATAAACTAAATTATTTACTGTGAAAAATTGTGGCCTACACTTTTTTTACAAATATAAACCCTTTCATAGTAGTAGTAAATTTATTTCAAACTATTCATATTTTCTCTGTTCAGTCCCTATCATCTTTTGTCATAGATTAAAAGGAATTATTGTATTGTAGTTGTGGAATCAAAAACTATATGTAGTCAGTCATAACAGAATATATCTGAATGAGAACAAGCGCTGTCAATTTATGGGAGTTGCATAAAATGTTTGTCAAGGTTACACAATCTATCAATTGAAATAATTAGTATTTTGGTCTCAGTAGACTAGTTGTCTACACTCGCATATGAATAATGCAGTTTATAACTTACGTTTTGTATTGTAATAGGTTATAATTATTTTTTCCCTTCTGCAAACGGCAGTGATTCCTTTTGGTCTGTGATTTTTATCATTTAACGCCCGAAATTAGGGTGGCCACCCTGTACATATTCTAAATATGTGTGAAAGATATAACTTTAACTTTGCACTTAAGTATAACAGAATAACAAATTTTTTATACCCACACCAAGCAAATATTCTTTCAACTTTAATAAAAAAATAAAACTGCTTTACTTACTACGTGTTATAGAGACTGCGGTGCAGTAATTTCTTAATCACTTAATATTCTATACCATATACAGGGTGGTCTATGAAAAATGCTAGTTACATATAAAATTTGGGAAATGTTTAATGTCACAAGTAATTCGAAATATTCTGTTGCACTGTAATTTAAAATATTTATTTATTTACAGACAAAATTCCATCTTTAAATCTTTCTAAAATGGTTCCCGGCGTAGAAGGTACAAATTATTAGTTTATATAAAAATTAACAATTAATATATGCTGAAACTAATGAAAATTAATGGGGATGGGAACTGATTTTAATTTCTAAATTATTCTAAAATTAATTAAGATCAGTATTTAATTTACTTCAGTTCAATTCACAAGGCAAACAAAAGTGTGTAGTGAGAGGAATAGATGAACACCCTGTATATGTTTTTTCTTAACTTTGCACTAATACAAACGTGTAGTACATATTCATTAAACCAAAAACATGCATATTGCTAGCACTTGGGAAAAATTTAGATTTGATATTTTAAAATTTAAATCCATAACGATAATAGCTGCAAAAACATTACCAATTAAAATTTCGTACGGTTTAAATGTTGTTATAAGCACCTTACGTTCTGTATTTGGGGCACCACTGGTGTAGTATCATGACTTCCTGTAACCCGATAAATTAGAAGCTTTGTTTTGAATAGGCGTCCTACGGCTTACACATACTCGATGGTAGTAAAATAAAATAAGGATACGCGATATGCATCCAGTTGCCATTATATTTATATGTTTATATAAACTCGAGTTTGGCTTATATTCGGTTATCTATTTATTCGTCTAAATTTACTTCCGTTTTTAAACTAGGCAGGCACGTACTTGCCTAATTAGTAGACGGGCAGAAGCCGATGCAGAATAATTCTGGTACCGCGAAACAAGCGAATTTGCTGCTTCGATCACACGTGGTTGGCTCTTATCGGAAAATATTTGTTCAACCAATGAAAATAAACTTTACATCGATTTTATTTTTAGAATTAATCATAATATTACGCTGACCTCCTAGCATCTCCTTGCAGCTTTTAGTATTATTCCTCTTTGCCATTTTCTCGCATCTTTCCAACATGGAAATTTTGAAATTTTCAGCACTTACAACTAAATCGTTGCTGCCTGTAGTTGGAAGAAACTGACGGTGGTCAATTTTTTAGCCAGCAACGCTGTAATTACAGCATCCGATTTTGTTTGAGTACTATTATCCGTCCCAGACAGTTCTTTCATTTAAAGCTTCCCCTTGTGAGTCATTTTAACAGTTCCTACCGTGCTGTTTAGGCCACGTGTTTCTTTTTATGTTCAAATACGACGACACATTGTATCAAATGTCTGGTATCCCGATCCCATCTGTGCGTCCAAGTTTTTACCTTTGTTGTTCTGCGCGATGAGAAAAATAAATGCCTAAGTTAATACAACAGATTTTTTCAAGCTTCAGCTTTTAGTATTGCTAAAATGTCCATAGCACATTTTCTTGAAAAACGAGGTAATATTAATTTCTTGATATAAGTAAAGGTCTGACACGTATTTGGCAGAGTACTTTTATTAATATTTGGCAAGAGCTTGAAACTAGTTTTATCTCGGGATTTTACATAAATCAGTGATGATTTTCCATGGAAGGCTTTCCAAAAAGCAGTGTGAAAAATTATAAATAACTTAAATGTAGCGTGTATATACATACAGTCTGCTTCAAAAACGTAAAATAAAATTTCTTTTAAGTGAAAGTATGTGTTTTCCCGTTGGACAACTGTTCGTATAGAGTACTTTAAAATAAACTAGTGTGAAATATTCGTCTGCTGTATCAGACTCTCTCTAAACTATCACAGCATCTTGATAAAGTTGGGCAATATGCCAATCCGATATTGGAAAAATATTATGACATCATACGATCAATATTTGGGCGAAAATTACGCAGGTCTTACTCCGTCACTTCCAAGCTAGCCTAAAAAGTCCGATAAACGGCATATCCTAGTATTTTTAGCTTACTATTTTAAACTTCGCAATGTTGGTGCATTCTATAGTCTTGTCGTTAAAAAATTACCGCTAATATGCAGATGCCGGGCACTGCAACTTGTATCTTATTTAAGCACTTGAGCAACCATACCCTAGATAATAATCTTTTATGTGTGAAGCGTATTCTGTGTACATATTTATTTTTGCAGCCATTATTTAAATGTCTAATATTTATGTTTTACATACAAAATTGCGGCGTGATAGTTTCAAAGAATGTCCCGAGTTGAGCGATCCATGAATTTTGTCAATACATATTTTTTTCGATTAAGTTTTATAGTTTGCCTTGTAAGAATATTTGAATATTTTTCACTATTTGTTTTACTACTAACAAAATTAACAAATTAACTTTTTTTACGAATAAAACATAGAAATATAGGCTTCCATTAAATAATGAATTAATACAACCATCACCGAGGGGTGTTATTCATATATTTGTATGTTTTATTTGAATTTTGTTAACAAATTTTCCTGATTTGCGTTTTGGTTTGCTTTTGTGTTATTAACACGTATTTTTTTTTTTCGAAATTTTAATTCCTACAGTTCCCGGGGTTCTGACTAGTCCGTTACTTACAGGGCAATCGTTGGGCTACGGATTTGTAAATTACCATAGACCAGAAGATGCAGAAAAAGCCATCAATACACTAAATGGACTGAGATTACAAAATAAAACTATAAAGGTAAGACGCAACCACAAAAAAAAAAACTAAAGCATGACAGGGATATTCATAAACGCTGTAAAATCGTTTTGTATCAGATGGAGATCAACGCGTAAACATTGTTGCACGGCTACGCACACGCGTCTCATCTGAAACAAAACGTAATCGACTACAGATTTCAGTTACCACGACAAGGGTCGTTCACATCAATCACTGAATAAATGTCGTGAATAACTATGTTGACCTGCATTTGGCAACGATCTGCATCGTCTTGTTGACTCTTTACTTGAGCAAGTTACGGCGTATAGAATTCGGAATGTTGCATTCCTGATCTTTCGCCTTCATTTCTTTCAGGTTTCTTACGCCAGGCCGAGTTCAGAGGCAATTAAAGGCGCTAACTTGTACGTTTCCGGTTTACCGAAGAACATGACCCAACAAGACTTAGAAGCCCTTTTCAGTCCATTTGGTCGGATAATAACATCCCGCATCTTGTGTGATAATATTACCGGTAAGGTTATCTGTTGTACCTTTGTGTTTTCAAACTCGGCGAATATACAGGGCATTCGTAAATGACTACAAGCCACGTGACCAGTTATTTTATTTCCTTCGAAACTTAAGACGACAAGCTTTTCACGAGATTCTATTCAACCAATCATTCATCATTGTTCACGTAAACGAATCAATATTGGTGAGACCAAAATTTACTGATTTTTGGTTACCATTACCAGCCCTGCCATGTTGGTTGCTTAAGGTCGGCGGTCAGGTGACTTGTAAACATATATGAAGGCTCTGCATGTCCTCGTTTATTGAAGTATTGAATGTATCTTCACCTACTTAGCGACATTAGTGGTGTCGCGAGTTTTAAGGTCCTTGGGCCGAGCTGTTCGCGAACATGTTTGATGTTTTGATGGTTCCTACGGGCCAGGGACCTTCTGAGATATGAAATGTATAATGCCACAATCACAGTAACATACATACAAAATACATGAACATACTTGCAGTTTGTTTATTGATTATTATAATCAGTAAATATTTAGTTTTTATTATTTTTATTGGATGTAGCTTTGATTTAATTATATGATTTTCTCTCAGAGTTACTGTTGAAATTTGGCTTTTGATAGCGGTAGATGTTCGTGGTGTATCACACGGGCTCTGCCGATTCACCAGTTGATTTGTCTTACTGTACCTATATTTTGCGTTTTTTTCTTCTCTTCCCTAGTACGTCAATTTGTCTCGGGGGCCGGAGAGAATTTGCCTGGTACGTACCTTTCTACCATAACACCCAAATGAACACCACCCACAACCACCAAATCCACCTTTTGGTTGTTCTGTTTCGGGGCGCGTATTTAGTTTTACCCAGTCAAGCTGAAACAGCACTAATTTCAATTCGTCTGTTGTCAAAATTTATTCAGACAGCTCTTACCGATGTTTATTTGCTTGAACGTGAACTTAACTGTTAAATATCTGAACTGAAGACAGCTGAACGATGCACCCATCCCCCTAATCAATTGACGAACACTTGTATTCAGACTTAAGTTCACAATTCTTATTATTTCGACTTTTTTATTTAATTTATACAGCTTAGATTTTTATTGTTTTGCATCGTGGCATGTGAATTTTTTAGTTGCTGTTTTTTTTTTGTTCGTTTTCGTTCTGTTTGTAATTAAAAGAGCAGAGCAATCACTACCAAACACACACCTACACACATACATATGTATTCATTCAAAGAAAAGAACGATGAACTTTGCACCACATTTGTACTTATCAATAATTCGTTGTATCTTTCTTTTCTCGTATTTCAAACACCAAGATAGGCTGTTTAGGAATGTGCTTGAGGTTCGATATGAACGCATGATTGAACGACGTCCCAAAACGCTTATGCATATCTCTTATACCTGTTATAGTTACGACCATTACTTGACGGCCTATGTTTGGTAGGAGGGGTGGCGAAGCATATCCAAATTATCAAAATTGTCGAAGATTTGGCGATGAGTCGTCCAGCCCCATGTTCGTGTACCTAACGTATAATTATAATAAAATCTCGCTTAGGTCTTTCTAAAGGAGTAGGATTCATCCGATTCGACCAACGCTTAGAAGCAGAGAGAGCTATCCAAGAACTAAATGGGACCATTCCCAAGGGATCCACCGAACCCATCACCGTGAAGTTTGCCAATAATCCAAGCAACAACAACAAAGCCATTCCTCCATTGGCAGCTTACCTTACTCCACAAGCCACGCGACGATTCGCCGGCCCGATCCACCATCCCACGGGACGCTTCAGGTAAGCATCCTATGTTGTAGCCTTTTCTTGTAGAATTCCGCGCCTCCCGGTCCACCCGATCTGGCACCTATTGCGAAGCGAACGTAACGTTACAACCCTATACTCGTTTTATATTTGTCTTCCACCAAATCGACGGCTGATATTCCGTACCTTGCCATACATCATTTTATTTTTTATAGACGTTACATAGAACCCATGGTGGGTTGTCTCTCGTGGATGCAACCGCAAGAGTTGTGGATACGTCTCGATACTTCGGTCAGTTCATCTTGTAAACTTGTAGTGAGTTAACTGATACTCACAAATGCAATGCAAAAACTAGGAGAAAAGTTATTGTGAATCTATGTCGTAAACGACAAAAGCCCCTATGGATTTTTAAGTCACGATGTTCGTTCGTGTTCGTTCGGTTCATTTCGATCCGCTCGAAGGTTATGAGCAGAAAAATCGATTCAGGATTTCGTTACATCGCTATTTCTGGCACGACAGCCGTCGGTTTTATAGACGTAGCCACGTCAAAATTGAAACGAAGTTGAAATTAATTTGGCAGTACGGAATATGGCCACTATTATTATCCCTCTTCTGATTTGTATAGGGTGTCCCACTTAAGACGAATTCTTTCGCAGCTCTTGTGATAATAATAAATAAAAGTGTTTATCGGATTTATGGAAATGATATTTGAGCAAAGTTACTTCTGTATTAAAAAATATGATAATTACAGGAATATGCAAATGATTTAATAATGTTTCTGGAAGCTTGCCTTTTTCGATTCTGCATATCTTGCAATGCGGTAGAAAAGAAGAATAAATTCTACTTTTTATAAATTCTAACAAGTAAAATCAGATTCTGTTAAAATAAGTTAAACAATTGAGACCCGTACTTTTTTTTCATTTTGACCTAATTCGGGACTTAAAAAAATTAAAATAAGTATGAGCAATGTTGCCAGGTTTATCAAGTAAACTGACAAACATAACCAAGGCTAATAGAATAAGTAGAACCAGTTATAGTAAAAATAATGTCCATCTAGATAATTGTAATTCGTGGTTTAAAAATTAAAAAAGTTGTTTTGGCAAATGTGAGACCGGTAAAATGTTAATTTTCACTTTCAAACATGAAACCTAATATTTATAAAAGCAGGCCTTACGTTCAAAGAGAAGTTATAAACGCATTAATGTACAGGGTGTTCCATTAGAAACCTAATTTGTGGTTAGCACCGGAGCTATGGGAGAATCCGTTTTAAAAGGAAAAGCCCTTATAGATCTAGTTTTTCCCCGTTCGTGTTTAGCGAGTTGGAGAGCATGTATGAAAGGGTGCGATAAAAGAGGAGGAACATATAATTTTTTTTTACTAGGTATTCTCCGCTGGCCGGAGACCTGCTGGCCAATTCGATGCTGCCCGGAAACGCAATGAACGGTTCTGGTTGGTGTATCTTCGTGTACAATCTTGCCCCAGAGACCGAGGAGAACGTTCTCTGGCAGCTATTTGGCCCATTCGGCGCAGTCCAGAGCGTCAAAGTAATCCGTGACCTGCAGACCAACAAATGTAAAGGCTTCGGTTTTGTCACGATGACCAATTACGACGAAGCTGTAGTGGCCATCCAGTCGCTGAACGGTTACACGCTGGGCAACCGTGTTTTGCAGGTCAGCTTCAAAACGAACAAGAGCAAAACCACATAGAGCGACGAGAATTCGTAGACACCAGCGCGTTCGCTGCATTCTGCGCTGCCGTCGCCGGTAAATATAATTTATTTATTATTTCGCGCGATGCTGTTATCGCAACTTATTAGGTAATGGATGCGATGGCCTGCGCCAGAGTGCAGCGAGTCCGGGGGTGCTACTGCCCGCCAGAAGCGCACCTCCCTAATTTAATAACTTAGTACTTATAAAATACGAAGCTAGTCAGAAGTGCATTCGCGTTTCCTATAGCAAACATTTCTACGGTCTGATGTTTTTGTATTAATTATTATTGTGCCATCGCCGTTATATGTTGGGAAATGACCCAAAGATTATAGCTAAACTATATATACACATATATATATATATATATATATATATTTACAAATAGTATTTATTATATATTATTTCGTAATATTAATTTCATGTCTTAAGTAGATTAATTTATGTATTTATATGTAGTGTTTTCGTGTATTCTTAAATTCAGACTAGTCGCAACGCAACGGCCAAACAGAGCAGCCAAGTCATAGATAGATGGGGCGTTTGTTTTGTGACGTTGCATTTTGTATTTGTGTTTGATGCGTCGGCGGCGGTAAGGGCACCGTCCCGCTTTGTGATAGCTGATATAGTTAAAATAAATAGCGTAAGAGAAATACAGACCGACTGAATGTAACAGATTTTTAACGATGGTCGCTCCTGCCGCCAAAGATCCGCTTATTCTCATTTGTGTGTTGTGTTTAGTTTCACGTTTATTACCACTTTCTAACATCTTTAGCTTTCTCTGAAATTGCGTGGTTTTGCTTGAAATGCCATCAGTTAAGCGACGGCAGTGCTTTAGCGAGACCACAACTCCTTAGTTTTTCGTTTTTATTTTTATTTTTTTAGTTTTCATCGGAACGGACCAAATTGGTCTCGTCCAGATCTGACCTTTTTTAAGTTATAATTTATTAATTTAGTTGTTTATTTATGAATAATTGATTTTGGTTTACTGTTTGATTTCTTCTGAATATAGATTAAAGTTTATTTATCATTTCGATTTTATTTTATTTTTCTTTGTTTTCCCAGTGTTGTGTCTCGTAGTGACCGCTGAAGACGACCCATAATTAAAAACTATACGCTATGCACATATGGTGTGTCCGCCGGCATGCCAAAGGCGGTGGTAAATTGAAAGCGGGCACGGCTATATAACCACCCACAAACTAACCAGCCACTTCCACTTAAACAATTTATTTTTGTAAACACTCGTACCTTGAGATCGGATAATAATGAGCAAATCGATAGATATTTATAGAGTAAAATATACCGTGGCAGACTGACTGTAATTAAAATAAAATAATCAGGATTATGCAGTTTTTTTCGTCTTATAGGTAATTGTCACGTCGCTCTTAACACTTCGACGGCTGATGATAGAATGTCAAATTGTCAAATAGCGAAACGCACACGCCCGCCCGGCAGCGCAGAATACGAATTGTACATAGAAATTATGTTTGATCGAAGTAGGCAAATAAGTACAATTTAATAAGACAAGTCTTTTTGATAGCTTTAACAGTGGCGGGGTTCTTTGATGTGGAAATGTGCTTGATTCGGCCACGTTCACCGACAATTTAATTACACACACTTTTACTAATATGGAGAAACGCCGTTTTTCAGCAAATCGTATCCTCTATTGTTCGCAACAGGTTTCACGGAAGGTTGCCATCCAATAGTTTAAAGAATGTTGAATTTCACCGTGTTTTGAAGTAATAGTTATTGTTATAAACAAACAAACAGGACAAGATTCATTTTGGTCAATGTTTTCGCTCCGCGGAAATATACAGGGTGCGGAATCAAATTCTCCAATATCTACAGGTATCCTCTGTTTAAATATTTTTCTGGCTGTGATAATACTGATATTTTTCGGATATTACGGAAGAAGGTTGACCAGTCAGATCTATATACTACAGGGTGTTTTGGAAAAAGGTACCATAAATTTAAGGGCTTATGCAACATTAAAAAAGTAGTTGTCTTTTGTTTCTTGAGAGGGTGTCGAAGATGACTTTTCAAAACAAAATATTAGCTATATATTTTTCAAAAAACAAAGCAATGCAATGAAATTTGGTCTCCTGAAAGTGTTGCCAATATTTGATGAAATAACTTTTTAGAGGTTAGGATTTTTATAGTGCATATTTCATTTTACATAAAAAAAAACATTCACTAAAAACTCCGTTTTGGAGAAAAACGTAATTAACTGCCCCAAAGTCGACTGACTTGTACTTTTTAATGTACAAGGTATTCGGAAACGATCGAGCCAAACTTCAAGGTATGAAAATAAACCGATTCGGACCTAATTACCTTATTACAATGTTATGTAGTAATAATTATCTGTTAATTAAAATGGAATAAAAAAAGGTCGACAACTTTTTAATTAAGCAAAGTTGTACTAAGATAACATGGTCTAAGTCGGTTTATTTTCATTCAAGAACGTTACCGTTGAGATATACTCATTAGTTTCTGAACACCCTATACGTTAAAGAATATAAGCTCGTTGATTTTGGGGCAGTTAATGCGATTTTATCAAAAACGGTTCGTCGTACATTACAAATAATCTAACCTAAAAAAAGTTATGTTATAAAATGTCGCACCGAAAGGTTGTAGCGGTTGACCTCTAGCAGATGGTTAAAAACTAACATTGGTGCATTTAGCCAAAACTTAACTGTACCAAATTTCGATGCATTCTCAAAAACAAAAGACGATATACATGGACCATAATTTAAAATCCAATTCTTTTGATGATCTATCGGTTCCTGAATTTATAGTACCTTTTCCGGAACACCCTGTGTAATTTCAGAATTATCAATTTGTCAAAAATGAACAGAGTAGATAATAAAGGCGATACTATATACATAGTAGTGCGAAATATAGATATACAAGCCATTAATGGAATAAATAAAAAATTAAACTCATATTTTTTTATTAACTTGACCCTAAAAAAGTTCATTTTTGGACGTTGAAAATCCTACGTTTTATTTGGGGTCTAATTTTTTAATATAATTTTATTAGCGATTTTTTGTCCGAAAAAAAATTAAATAATCAAATCAGAAATGAAAAATTGTCAGAGACTGTAACTGTAATTTTAGTAACGAACAGATTTTTATAAAAATGAGTACGGGAGCATTTTGAAGCGAGTAGAAAACGTTTAAATTTTGAAATTTTAAAGAATTATTTGAGCTTCATTTATTTTTCTTTTACTTACTATGTTAATGGCTTTTACACTATAAACCGAACCCGCCTCATATAAGCAAATTGTTTCATCTAATCGTACAGGGTGATCTAGGAATAACTACAAAAATTTTAATTACTTATTTAACTCTTCAAAATCAACAACTTTTGTTTAAGAAATTTTTTCGAAAACTCATATTTTCCCAACATTTTGTATCCAATAAAATTACCATAACGAGCTACCTATTGATAAAATAAATACCTGGATATTGTCTTAAATTTTTTTGCTAGCCTAAATAATAAATTAGTTACCAGTTTTACCTTTCTTTTTATTTAATATAAAATCAACTCAGCGTCTCGACTTATACTCCAGGGTAAAAAAAATTAAATTAAAAAGAATTGTATTATCTTGAAAACTAAGAGTTTTTAAAAAAATATTGGGCAAAAGTTATTAGTTAAATGCGTGGGCAGTATAACCTGAAACGTACAGGGACACGAGCTAGAGATATGTAGAGAAAAATATTGAATGGAAGAGATACTTGTAAAGCGAAAACTTTTCGTTACTCTGTGTATTGTAAATAATGTAACGAAAAGAGCATTGAAATTTGACGAAAATGATTCGTAATGTCGGTTTATTTGTCGAAGACTATGATCCCCTTGTATATGTAGTTAAAATTTAGGTTCTGTATAGCGAAGAGATATTGCAAGGCAGTGGACTCACGATATGCAAGATATTCCACAGATTTGCCCCCGCTTGTGATACAGTAGCCGCGAACGCGACAACGGGCCTGGAAGTAAGCAAAAAGGCCGTTCAGCGGCGACGGTAGGGACCCGATGGCGTCCAGACGCCGACGCCGTACAGACGCGCAAACGTGTACGCCGTACGGGTCGATAATGTACAATCTTACAGTTTTAGTCAGTTACAGTGTTCCGAGCACAAACTATACTAGCGACATAGGTGATGTTATTGGTTACTCTGGCCTAAATCGAAACTCGTGTAGACTAATTCCATATACAGAACAACGATATATTTCAAATGATATTATATGTCTGTCATCAGTGCTTATTTACCATTCTTAGCTTCTATTTGACTAGCGTTTGCTATGTATAACTTTGCTTAACGTTTTCATTATTATTGATGGTTGATTATTAATTAATTATTATTGATTACGTATCGCACTATTGCATACGTATCGTATCTGTATCTACATAAGGGTTATCTCTTTGTGTGTTGTGTAGATCTCTAGCGTAAGTGTAATATAGTACATTACATATTCCTATTGGTTATTTTCTCTATGTGTAGCTGTTGTGTTGCGGCGGCCGTCTCGACGCCGCACACTGACGCGTCGTCGAGACGCTCGCCCTGGCCGAGCCGGTCAAACCTGGCTCGTCCCAGCCCCGCTTAACGAAGCGGGGCTTATAGCTCAAACATTGTTGTGACGAGATGCATTCCATTATTTAAAGAAAAACCACTGATTAATATATACATATATTATATATACTCATGCCTATATTCTATCTGTTTTGATAAAATTGTGGTTATTATTATAAATATCGAGTGCAAAAGTTATATGTACAGAGGTTATATTATTAGGAAGTACAGTACCTCATAACTGTAATTCATGCAATAACTTAATATAAGAAAGTTCTAATTACAATATACTTTAGCTTTAGTAGATATAAGAAGCGAGGTTTGTACGATCTCTTTTACTCGTGGATGGCCGGTCGACTCGTCGGGGCGGCTCGACCGGTCGTCTTTCCTCCTCGCGCCGCGAGCCGCGAGTTTTGCAGGGGATGAAGCACCTTTTCTGCCGCAGCGCCGGCGGGTAGGAGGACGCTGGTCGCTACGGGCGACGAGGAGGAGGTGGATGACATATCAGCCGAAAACCACCGACTCAACGACTCCATTCTCCCAGAGTCTCGACCGGTGCACCATGCAACCCCGCTTATTAGTTCTGATGTCGACGCACACCCTCCGCGCTCTCGCCAACCAAGATGCGACTTCTAGATATACAACTTTTACAGACGCTCGTTCCTTTAGCTGAATATACTTAACCATAGTGATGTGGTGACACTCGGCCGTATTTACATACTCGGCGTCTATCCCCAAACTCTCCAAAATGTATATAATTTTGCCTACCCCCTATTTTAGAAGTTAATTTTTTTCGGTCGAACTAGTAGGTCGAGAAAACGCGCTCCTCTCTGTTTACATTATACATATATTTTAAAATATGTAAGAGAGACCTGATAATTCCTGGGAGACATTTTCAGAAATTTGATGGAAACATTTATTTGTCAGGGTTGTCAGATGGTGCCGTACATCAAAAGAAAATAGGAGGTAGGCAAAATTTATTACCTAAATAAAATAAAGCGTGGCTCATATATGAACAAAATAAGAAGCACCTTCGCTACAATAACTATACTTTCCGATTCGACTTGGATTTAAAGATATGTACGTCTTCATGGGGGGAATTCTGGACGGAGCCCGTAAATACTGGTACTTGGTGATCGATCTACAAAAGGCAATCGTCAAGCTCTTGACTATTTTTGATATATATCCTTTATTATCTACGAATCACATCGGCTGGCACAAAAAGGAGCTGTGGGGTTTGCGTTGACATCGTGACTAGATGGAACTGAACTGATTCACTCATTACCGATACTATAATAATTATTAACTTAATACGTTTATGTGCTAGTAACGAGCGACACGTTCTAACCGTACGACGTTTTGACCTGCGCTCCGACCAGATTTAAGTCTATTAGTCTGGTCGAGCGCAGGCCGCGACGACACTCTGTGTTTCCAACTCTTAAGTTCCGTTGGGTTAGTATATATGCGTTATGTTAGTTATATATTAAACTGTTAATTGTCTTTTCTTGCTTATTGTCCAGTGTCACATGCTGCATTTGTGTGTATTATTGTCATTTGATGGTTATTTGTATCTTATATACCTATTTATTAATTGTATCAGTACTGATATTAGTATTAGTTGAATCGTTAGAGATTCGAGATTTGTGTAGTGTACGGGACCGCGAACGCAGAGATAACGGTGAAATGTTTCGTTCGATTTGGTTAAGTCATCGTCAGATGAAGATGTTTCGAGTTCGGTTCAGATTTAAAAAAAAATGGGTTTCGTTTCGAGAAAGGCTGTGTAACGCTGGGAACCAGGTCGGATACGGATAGTACGTAGGACGAACTAAGCTATAAGTACACTGGACACTGGCAAATACTAAGTATGGATGCATCTGCAATGTTTATCATTGACAGTTGCATCGAGGTCAACTATATAATTCTACACACAATGCAATTGTGTATTCCAGGCTAGAAGTCGGTGTAATGCAATATTTGTACTTTTCCATGTTGACAAAACTCAATAAAATAAACTATGAAAGCTACATTTAAATTGAGTTTTTTTCCAAACTTCTATTTGTAATATAATGATGTATAAAATAGATCTGATACATTAAATTTTCTCAGTTCTTAATTTACTTACACCCTCAAACTTCCTTATAAACCAACCTCGAGAGAAAAACACCACAGTAGCACAAACGGTAAGTCAGTGAAGTGAAGTACTAAAAAGTAATATAGATTTGACTGCAATATAAAATATTAGAAAAATACAAAAAAAACATGTAGTTCTTTAAAACTAGATACGTCTAATATGTAAGCATTAAAAGCTTGTTTAAATATTTACAGAAACAAGATAGTGAAAACTAGTAAATACCCAGTAGAGGTAGAAATTCTTTTCATTTTACACGTCTTTGTAAATATGCAGTTTTAAAGATACTTCTATTGTGTTAAGAGGCAATATATCAATACTCTAATAAATGCTTTCCTAAACCAGAGATTATTAAATAAGTAAGTGCCTTTCTCGCAATATAATTAGTACATAAAAGTAGTATTTTCTGTGCTGATACGCAAGTACATAATTCAGTGAATATGCACGGGTAAGTACGAAATAAATTATTCTCACATCTAAATACAAACTAATTATTTCCACTTTTGGACATTTCATTTTTTCAAATTTCTGTTAAATATACCGAGAAAACAATCATTTTATACCTCCTATACCTCCTCAGACTTCTGTACTTCTGTTAAATACACCTCTTCAAATTTCTAAATGCCTGATAAAACTAATCTTAAATTATATAAAACTGAAATGGAGTCATTTTTTCATATTTACTTAACTGAAATGAGCCAATAATTTATAAGAACTATACGAATATGATAAATTTTAATTTCTGAGTACGGTCCTGTACGTTAGTATACTGACTGTCTAACGGTTAAAATAGGATATAGAAGATAACGGAAATTACAAAATAGGTACACTAATTTTAAATTATGTAAAACTGAATATAGTATAGTTTCTAAATAGTTACTTAATTGAAATCAGCTAATAATTTACAAAAACTATACTAATAGAATAAGTTTTAATTTCTGAGTATGGTCCTGAACGTTAGTATGCGCACTATCTAACGGTTAAAACAGGAAGATAACGGAAATGACAAAACACAATTTTAGAAAACAGTTATTTTGTTCAGTTCCCTGCTAGTGACACATGACATAAACTCTGACAGTTTTTGACAATGATAACCTCTAGTGACATCTGTAAACAAGGGGTCTGCTATCAAAAATTAGAATTTTATTTACTATACTAACTACTACACTAAGCTTAATTCTGTAATGCAAATGTGTATAATCTAATGTATAATAAATATATATACTCAAGACTAACACGATCAAAGAAAAACCTTAATATTTATTTGTGAATGAAATTTGAGAAATTGTATAGGTTTACAGAATAAGTGAATAATTAATATATTTGAAGTAATTTCTGATAATGAACTAGTTAAATATGTAAATTATATTTAAATATTTCGGATCTACTACTATAAAATATAAAATTTAAAAAGTCCTAAAACAGCGCGAAATTGGAGCCATCTCTTGGAAACTACGCAAGTTATTACCGATTGAGGGCGAAACTGGTTAACTGGAGTTTGCCTCCCCAATCAACTGTCTGTTTAGAAAGAACGTCGCCATTCGATTGCATTAATTTAAAGATAAAAATGTGTGTTATTATTAAGTGAAACCGATATTTTGGCGTCAAAATGGATATGTTACGAATATGTAGGACATGTCTTTAACGAGTGAATTAGAAAGACCCTAGTTCGGATGGAATCGTTGCGGAAGCATCCGAAAACAAACTCATTTACCACAATAATGCATTCTACTGCTGGCAATACGTAGAACAAAATAAGTGTTTGGATAAAGTGGAAAATATATTATTTTAATGTGTACAGAAAATGCAATTGTTGATTATTTTTTATTAATTTCTTTATGTCAAATGTCATCTAAGATGGTCTTGACAGTTATGTCACTTGCAGTTGTTTTCCTGCAAAAAAGAACGTTTATATTGTTTATATACTCCATGTAAACAAATGTTTCCAGTGCTATTAAGTTAATTAAAGTGTAATTATTAATTTCCAATTAAGTTTATTATCGCTAAGTGTTAGGTTAGATTGGAACTACTACAGACAACAATCACAAATTGTCTTTATGTGTATCCTATTTGTGACATCATTCAACTAAAATCATGGTTATAACTTTTTTAAATATGGTTTTTGGGTGAAGAATAAATTAATCTGTGGAGATGGATCCAGGAGTTCCGAGTGTACCCATCACCACATTAGCAGGAGTAGCAAGTCTAACAGACTGTGAGTAGTAAATACTTAATTTATAGTACTTTTATAAACTACGTAATATACATTTTTTAAAGAAACACGGAACAAATTTTATTTCAAATTAAAGTACACATTAAAGATTTTCATAAAACTCCCGTTTCAATAATAGCGATACCTGTTTATGCCATTTAAGGTTATGTTAACGAGATTATTGTTTAAATTTGTTATATATGATAATTTAACAGAAATATTATCTTTAAACATAGTTCCCAAATTCTAAAAATTGTGAACTCGACAGTTACCTCTAACTCTTTGTTTCAAAAGAAATTTACGTTTTCTAAATAGGTCATTTACATTTCTCTTGAATTTGACATATTAATTCACGAATACAATTTTCTTTTTCCAAGAAGTCAAATAGAATTAGATAAAAAATTAAGATCTTTATTACTGATTACTGATAAATATTAAATACTTTTAGTGCTCCCTGAAATGCCCCTACCAACTCCGTCACCTCAAACACTAAGTAATAAATCACTACTATTTCATCCGAGAGTAGCAGAAGAAGCGCAAAACTTACTTGGTGTAAGAGATGAGGTATTGGTACCACAACTGGTTTCTTCCCTGGAAAAAACCTCTGCTGAACATATGTAAGTACGAAAAAAGTTGCTATTAAGAAGATACATAAGCTTTTTTTTATTTTCTTTCAGAGAAGTTAAGGATAATTATGCTGGTACGGACTCTAGGTTTGAACAGCAGGAATCTATGCCAGAGCTTCTTAGAGCTCTTTTAGAAGCTAACCCTTATGTCTTCAGTGGAATTAAACGTAAGTAGTACAAATATTCTTTTTATAAGTTTCAATATATACGTACGATTATGTGATAAAATTCGTTGCCTAATAAAGAAATTGTTGTTGTTTTCTAACGTAATATTAGTAGTTATCTACAATCTATGGCAAATTTTAATATGCTTGAAGTTTATTCAATATTAAAATACGATTTTATTAAGTAAAACGTTTGGTCAATTCTTTGTTGATAGTTTTTCTATATTTTCTAGTGTTGATAAGTCATGGTTAAGTGTAACTGAATAAAATATCGTTTAAACTTACGAATGTGTATTGTCTACCTACAAGTAAAAAATCTACAGTAGCAGCTGAATAAGTGGCATATACATTTAAAGCTTGTTGAAATTTTTCACATTTTGAGCTCCGTTATTGAAAGATAAGTTAATTTGAGATAGGAAAAAAAACTTTTTATTATTTATAAATTGTAATAGAATGTTTTATGGTCAACTACAATGCCGAAAAGAATAAAATTGTGCCTAACTTTCACTGCACTCTTCTAGTATAGTGTAATCACGTTAAAATATGTAGTTAGGTGCAACTAAAACGTAATTTATATACAAGTGTTATAAAAAAGGTATTATAATTATCGTTACAATTTTCGATGTTTTTTGTTCTTACCGTTTTCATTAAAACTGCCTATTCAGTGTCTTTTCTTTTTATAAAGGTATATCTGAAATAGCTCCAGTTGATGTACCTGTAGGAACAGTAAGTGCAAAGACTGAATCGAAAACTGTAGTAACAGAAAGCCAAACATCTGAAGTTATATCAAATACGAGGAGTACCCGTTCAAAATTAAAAGCCGAAGAAGTTAAGACAGATACTGAAGTTAAAGCTGTTCCAGAGGTGAAAGATGTAAAATCTGATGTACCTATAGTAACTGAAAAAGACGAGGAAAACAAAGAAGTAAAAGAGAAAACGATAGAAAATATTGAACCATCAGCTAATCCACCACAAGTTGAAAGTATTCAAGAAAATGAAGAAGTAAAGGAAGAATCGAAAGCCAATATTGAGGAATCTGATTCTAATTCACAGCAACACCCTGATATAAAGCAACCAATAGTAAAATTAGATAGATTGTCAGAAGAGGATCAGTTATTAATGCAAAAGAGTATTCAAGAATTTATTGTAACTAAACCAAAACTTGCTAAAACCTTGGGTATTGTTTCCACAGATAATAATAAAGTCCAAGATGAAGAATTGGAATCTGACGAAGAACCATCAAGGAAAAAGCGACGAGACAAGAGGAAACATACTGAAAGCGATGACGAATATCAACCTGATACTTTCTCTGCTTTGGTGAGTAGCAACAAAAGAAGGAAACTAAAGGAAGAAAAACCGGAACCTGTCGTTGTCAAGCCTAAGTTACGAAGAGTTGAAAAGAAATTTGTTCCTGTATTAGAAAAATTATCACAAGAAGAGCTTATGGAAACAAACACGTATCATAGATTTAACAAATCTATTGAACATGTTTTGAAGTCAGCTGAAGACATTGATATCAGTGAAATTGGTAAGCATTTCAAATTTCTTCAGCAATTTAGATTGCACTGTTGCATATTTTAGCTGAAGACGGAATGATACAAGAAGAATATCTCCTGAGTCGTAGCGTCATGCAGGAATTGTGTACTGAAGCAGCTAAATTAAAAATCTTGGGAGCGATGGAGATGATACCTACAGAAAAACTGACAAGACTGCTCAACATTCTAGAATTAAATATTCGAGGCGGAGATAGGGTGTCACCAATATCGGATGTAATATTTTTAATTTATTGATTTCATAATTTTTATACATATATTTACTTTATTTCTTATAGGAAGATAATGAGAGTATTAGGCAATTGTGGCTTGAAACAGCTATGGAACGGGTTATGGGTGCAGCTGATGCGTGTTTAGTGTGTATGTATATTATGACTTCTCGTAATATGTCCAAGAGAGTGTATTTGGAAGAAGTAATAGACAGAGTAGTGTTGTACATCAAATACCACCTACATAACACGATATTCCCTTCTTTCGATTCTACATACAGGCTGGATAACAAGAAGAAAGACGGTCGCCGGAAGAAAAATACCCAAGTGTCCGAGAAGGGTATTTTAGTGTTATACACAAAAATTTCCGAATTAGTTAATTTATTAGCAGAGCTTTTGAATATACAGATTTTAACCGATACCTCAGTGCTTCACGCTTCCTCTATGGGAGTTTCCCCATTTTTTGCAGAAAATGTCAGTGAATTACAGTTGGCATGTCTAAAGCTTGTTACAACGGTAAGTGAAAAATATTTTGTCCAGTTCTATTATAACCGATTTAATTTTTAGATTTTCACTAAATATGAAACACATCGAAGACTCCTCTTGGATGATATATTAGCTTCGATAGCCCGTCTTCCTAGTACAAAACGTAGTTTACGGACATATAGGTTAAATAGCGAGGAGCATATCCAGATGCTTACGGCTTTAGTTCTGCAGTTAATTCAGTGTGTAGTATCCCTACCAAATAATTTTGCATACAAAGACTCTAAAGAGAAGAACACGGGCGGAGAGAAAACACCTAATGTAAGTTTGAACTACATCGGTCATTTACTTTTTTACCTCGTATTCTCTATTACAGATTGATAAAGACGTGTATATTTGCAACAAATACGAGAAAGCTACATCTACGGCTGGCACATTTCTAACGGTATTTTTGAATAAATGTGGGAGCAAATCGGAAGATATAGATTATCGACCTTTATTTGAAAATTTTGTACAAGATTTACTATCGACTGTCAACAAACCCGAATGGCCCGCTACGGAATTGCTTTTATGTCTATTAGGGAAAATGTTGGTTACAAATTTTTCTAACAAAGGCACTGATATGTCACTGCGTGTTGCGAGTTTGGACTATTTGGGGGTCGTGGCCGCCAGACTTCGAAGAGACAGTGTTCTGTCAAGGTGTAAATTAAATACCATCGATCAGATGATAAAAGATATCAAACAGGAGGAAATGAAGGATAATGATGAGCCATCATCCAAAGTTAAGGTAAAAAATATGATTTGTTAGAATTTTTTTTAACTGTATTTACTTTTAGAAGAAAAATAGCAATGTTACATCTGACGAAGAACGAACCCAGTTTCTTCAACGGGTCTTGTTGGATTTTTTGGCCGTCAATTCACAAAATGACGAAGCATATAAATACGCAAGACATTTTTACGTGGCTCAGTGGTATAAGGATGTTGTGAATGAAAAAACGCAGTTAGCGTCTGGTGAGAAAAAGAGTTCCAGAGAGAATCACCGGTCCAAAAGATACGAGGAAAGTGACGAATCAGATACAGAGAAAGAAAAGGAAAAGAATAAGAAAGAATCAGTGGATCAGGAAAATGCCGAAAAATTTCGGTTAATCGAAGAGAAGAAAAAGTTTCTTATCAACAAAATTAAACCGTTTCAAGAAACTATTTCTTCCGGAAATCGTGTGCAAGTTTTCCAAACTTACATCGACTATAATAGTGCCGAACTTATTGCACAATTTTTAGCTTCCAAGAGATATTTTTCCCAGAGTTTCGACCAGTACTTAAAAGCAGTGAGTATATATATATATTTTTTTTTTATATTTAGTGTATACATATGCATTTTTACCATTTAAAATAATTTCCAGATTTTAATCGTGCTAAAGGAAACTTCAATAGCTATAAGAACAAAAGCAATGAAATGTTTAACCATGATAGTAGAAGCTGATCCTTCGGTATTGGGTCGGCACGACATGCAGATGGGTGTCAACCACTCATTCCTTGATCATTCAACATCAGTACGAGAAGCTGCCGTAGATTTAGTTGGAAAATTTGTTTTAAGTCGTCCCGAATTAATAAATAAGTATTATGAAATGTTATCTGCTCGAATATTAGATACTGGTGTCAGTGTAAGGAAAAGGGTTATAAAGATTTTAAAGGATATTTGCATTGAATGTCCGGAATTTCCAAAAATTCCCGAAATCTGTGTCAAAATGATCCGGAGAGTGAACGACGAGGAAGGCATAAGAAAATTAGTAATGGAAGTATTTCAAAATATGTGGTTTACTCCCACTAAAGACACATCCCTACTTCGTAAAGTTATGCACATCACAGATGTCGTGGCATCGTCAAAAGATATCGGTTTGGAATGGTTCGAGCAACTTTTATTGAGTGTAAGTAAATAAAAAATATATTTTCATCCGTTTAATCCATATATATACCTTTTAGTTATTTAAGCCAAAAGAAGACAAGGACGATTCAACAAAAATCGCTACAGAACCTTCAAAAGCTTTGCTCCTTGCGTGTCGCCAGATCGTCGACTGTTTGATCGAGAACGTCTTGAGCCTTGAGGAAAGTTCTGATAGTAGCGGCTCTTCCCAACGTCTTGTTGCTTGTCTGATAACATTGCATTTATTTGCAAAAATAAGACCTCAGCTCTTAGTAAAACATGCTAGTACTTTACAACCATATCTTGGATTAAAGTGTCAGTCAAGCGGAGACATACAAATAATAAGCAGCGTAGCGAGAATGTTGGAACTGGTTGTGCCTTTAATGGAACATCCTAGTGATTCATTCTTAGCCCAGTTGGAGGAGGACGCTATGAAGTTGGTATTACAACACGATAGACCTATCGTCAGTAGTTGTATGTCATGTTTGGGTTCCATTATCAATAAAGTCACCCACAATTTCCAACTGATTAGAGATTGCTTCAAAAAATACTATGAATATTTGATTAGGTACAAAACCTGGCTTGAAATGGATTGCAAGAAATGTTTAGTAGATATAAAATATCGGGCCTTATTCAGACGAGCTCTCTTTATTGTTGGTTTGTTGTTACGCCATTTTGATTTCAGAAATCCCGAAGTAATAGGCGATCTGGCAGTAAGTACTATTTTGCAGGGTATAACTTTGAATGGGGGTCGACATTTGATCTTTGGAAACACATCACATGTTTGTTTTTTCAAATCCCATTGTGAAAGTTGAATATTTTACAAACACCTTGTCGTAAAGCAATAAACTAAAAACTAACGTAAATATAATAAAATGAATTGATGATGTATTTGGCCATTTACAAACTAGGTTAATGTCAGGGGTCATTGACATTGAGAGTAACAAATTAAAAAAAGCTTTAAAGTCGATAACAAGTACTCTTTATTTAAAGCTTGCATTGAGTTTTAAATATTAATATTTCATTCATTAAATGTGACTTTGTAAAATCATACATCATGTTCCATTGCAGTTTCTCTGCTTTCCACCATTATATTAGTTTCATACAGTTCGTTTAAAAGGCAACAACAGGCAACACTGATAAGCACGCATATAGTACCAAGTTCGAGAGTTGCTTTTTAAAAAAAAAACTGGAACTTGACTGTTTATTAGTACTATTACCCTTAAAATACCGACCCCCACTTAAAATTATGCCTTGTATAACGATGGTATAGGTCTCGCCGTCATAAATGAATTTTTTTTATTTATAGCCTGACACCAAGGACCAAGTGTATCAAACCATGACTTTTTTTCTTCAAAGGGAAGACATTGACATCCAAGCAAACACACTTAAGGCGATAGGATCCATTTGTATACGCCATTACGAGTTTATGTTGGAGAACGAATTAAAACTTTTCTACCATAAAATACTAACATCGGAAGAGGCACCTCTAAGGATGAAAGTCGAAGTGCTTGTAAACATCGAAAATTATCTGGTTGAAGAAGAAAACAGGATGATCCAGCAGGACTTGGAATGTAAGTCGTTTAATTTATAGTGGATTGTGTTATTGAATGTATATTGTAGGGTCGAAACGATCCAAAGAGGAAAATTTGAAGGAAATGGGTGACGTTTCCTCTGGCATGGCAAGTACGGTAATCCAGCTTTATTTGAAGGAGATTATGCAGTCGTATTTACATCACAACCTACAAGTTCGTCAGCCGGCGCTGCGCGTTATCCAACTGGTGTTGCAGCAGGGTCTAGTTCATCCGGTACAGATAGTACCGTATCTGATATGTATGAGTACAGACTGCGAGAAACTAGTGTCGCACAGCGCAGACAAACAATTACTAGACATAGAGAAGAAGTATCCAGGATTTATCCACACCAAGTCCTCCCTCGGAATAAGGTTGTCATATCAGTTGCAAAAAATATTACAAGGTGATGTGATAGTGAGGGGATCTCGCGTAAAAGAACAAGGGGAATATCCGTCTGCTCTAAACAGTTATTTGTACTCGATTCTGCGTAGTTCAAGACAACAAAGACGTGCCTTAATTCTTAATATTTTAAAACAGTTCGATGAGCAAGCTGTAAGTATTTAAATCGTTTACGAGGGAACATAAAACTAATTTATTTTTATTTACAGCGCACTACACTGTCGTACATGTTGTACCTGTCCGATAATATGGCGTATTTCCCTTATCAAGTTCAAGACGAGCCCCTCTTCATCGTTCATCACATCGATATTATGATCTCCGTTTCAGGAACAAACTTACTGCAGTCGTTCAGAGAGGTAAGTAGAGCACGTTTAAAGGTACTGCGTTGTTTAAATTCCGAATTCCAGGGATTAATTATGACGGACGGTCAGAACAAACTACTAGACAGTGAAAATGGCGAAACCTTAAATCCCATTTCGGCATTGGACGAGGAAGACGAAGACGAGGAGGTGCTAGCGTCGCGTGTACCTGAAGACGCGAGCCAGTTACAAGCTTGCATAACAGCGGCGCAAGGCTGCCTTCTGCTGCTGATGTTGAAACAGCATATAAAAGATGTATACGGACTCAGCGATGGGTAAGTATGCGTATGCTTCCGCTTGGTTCGATACTAACCCGCTTGTTTACGAACACAATCACATACCGAGACTTTGACAGGACAGACTTGTTATTCAACGAATCTAGCGTCTTGTGGTTTATGCAGTATACGGGATGATTTTATATTTTAGTAAAATTCAGCAATATTCTCCATCGGAACCTGCCAAAGTATACGAGAAAGCTGTAACACGTAGATCTAACACCCTCTTCAATCCGAAAGCGACTTTACAGAAACTTAAAGAAGGTGCCCCTCCGGAGTATTTAGACGAAGAGGGAAGACGTGATCTCATCCGGCAATACTTAGATGTATGTTCGGTTATATATTTTTTGCCCAAATTAACGCTGTCTTTTCTTTTAGTTTAAACAACTTATGTTGCAATTGGATCCTGAAGATCCCGACGATGATGAAAATGCTCCAAAAGTGCTTACGGCGTTAGCGAGTACTAATGCTAATCCGCAGACAAACCAAACTGGGGCTGCTTCATCAATCTTGACCGAAGCAGATCAAGTCGTACTTGATAATTACAAGGTATAGTAAAATTTTTTGTATGTACTTTAGATCTTATTTTTGATGTTTGACTTAGTCAGTGTTTCTCAACCTTTGGATCGGAGCAAAATTTTTACGAGTCGTGAAATATTTTAAAAGTTTTTGTTGATTTTTAATCGACCTAATTGATAAATGTACACTCAGTTCCGTTCGCTTACTGCTCCAATTAAAATGCGATAGTTATTATTTTTAAATATGTTTGATTGAAACTGCAGTTTTCGTATTTATGGTTTTTTCTGTCTTATCTAAAATTCTTGTTCTCTTTATTTTTACAAGCGCCATAAAATTATTCACGTTTATGATTATTGATTGACAGGAAGTGAATTTTGAGAACGGCATTAAATAATTCCATTGAAGTAAAATTACTATATTTTTTTTTTTTTTTTCATTTTCTTGTTTAAAATCATTAGATTTGAAGAAATTTTAGCACAGTTGCTTCTATTTTATTTGTGAGATATCTGTCCCAGTACCAGTAGAAATAAATTTGAGTCGCAGTGTAAAAAGGTTGCGAAACGCTATATTACACTATATTTTTGGGTAATAGTTTGAGCTAGGGGGCTAATTAGAGATATGTTTGTTAGGACTCTCCACCGAAAGTGCCCAAATTGGTGATATCTAATCGAAGGTTTGATAGTGATACGAAACGTACTCCACGAAGTCAGCGGTCACCTGAGAAACCGAAAAAACATAGACACAAAAAGAAACGAAGAAAGTTTGTGAGTTCGTCAGGTGATGAAAGTGAAAATGACTATAGTGATCCAGACTTTTTGGCCTAGCTATGCGCCCAAATGAACAGGTTACACTGTTCAGACTGTACAGTGAGTTTTAGTTAATCTTCGGCGATATAAATACAAGGATTATTAAAGAATGTTTTTATAAACTAAAAAATATAAGAAATTTTGTATGATGTAGTAACGCACTTTGAATGGTTATGTACATGAACTGTGAACATTTGGAATTTTTTTCAAACGTGGTGTTTTGTTCTACTTCGGTTTCACATTTGCAGAGATTATCACATCTTTTATTATAAATACGATAGAGATATATATTGTATGTGAGAGTCTCTCCGATCGTTTTGTATAGATTTCTTATGCATTTTTTTTGTAATATGTCGATGTAAATCAGGGGATATAAAGATGTATAAATAACGTGAGCATTGCGACTACTACAGGTCAGACCAGATTTCACTTGATACGTTTGTGCTGTGCTGCTGGTTATTCAGTTACTAAGAACGCTCATTTTCAGGATATTCCGCAGGTTGGGTAAGCCTTCACCTAATCCTTCCTTCGTTTAGTAATAAATAGACTAGCAGCTTTTGTATTTTAGACTGGAAATTCAACGTAGTATAATTTCATTTCATAAAAGTGATAGGTTCGAAACGTTATTTATTTTGTGAATATTTCATTTAAGAACGTTATTTTTATACGAAGCACTTTATTATGCAAATTCAAAAAAAAAAAAAAGATTCTGGTTTTGATTTAAGAAAAAATGCTTTAAACCGTCTGTGGAGGATATTGGAAGAGATACCAATGAAGCAATTAATTAACTTGTCATGATATTTTGTTTTGTTTCATTCTTTTTGCTATTAAGTAACCTGTTTTAAATTTAGAAATCGTGAAAATATATTATTCAATATTTATATTTTAGATTCATGTTGAAATTTATTCCATTAATTAATTGATTAACCAAATCGTGAGTCAACACTGTTTCAGTTATTCATTGCAAATTTACGAACCTTATGAGTGTTTTTTAAGTAGGTACCAAACATGATGGTTTTACTGCAGAAAAGATTAAGAAAAAATCATGAAAAAATTTGTCCCATTTAAAATTTGCAATTTTTATAAATGTTCTTTGTTTTCACATAAAATTCCTTGAATATTATTAATAAATCTATATGTATTTACTAAACGCCATGTATAGCAAAAGGGCATATATTTTTAATCCCAGTTTATGTCTGAATTGGCAGCAGTGATGGCTTTCGATCCGAAGTATGTAGTACTTCCCAGTCACTGAAAGTAGGTATTTACCAAGACTGCGAATAATCACTTTCATAGAAAATGTATATTTTATATGACGTGAATCTTTAATATGACCTAACTTAATAGATTTGTTGATAATTGTGTAATTTTGTTTTTAAATACAAACCTATTAGTTTCTGTCTACAAAATTCTTGATCAATAAACCAACAATTTGACGAGTTAGCGGTGAATGAAAGAATATTTATATTTACCTAAATATTTTTTTATTAAATATTTGAATACAAAATGTACTTATGTTTTATATTAAACTTTAATTTTGCAAGGAGTTAAAAGCACTTTTCTTTAAACTAATTGGTTTAATTAAAATGGATTTTGCAATTTCGTGAATATCAAATTAAATATTTCTGCTCTTAAAGATTTCATTATATTTTTTATTTCTTTAGTGAGGAATTATTTAGCGTATTAACCATAGACACCTAATAAATATGTTCCTCCATTGCTGCAACTCAGTTTAAAGTACTATAAGACTAATTTTAGAATATTAACTTGGACAGATTCCAGGATCCTTTAAGAACTTGGCACTTCGAATATGCCTAAAAATTATTTTGTTTTTTTTTGTATATTTGCAATAATTAAAATATGTACGAAAATACTTTTCAAAAAACGTTTGTCTTTTTAAATTTCATCAAGATCTTGTTGGAAAGTATTTATTTGTGGCATTTCTTAGTTTTTCTTTTTTTTGTGTACTTCTCCACAACACAATTTACTGATCCGTTAAAAACAAAAACTATTCAAGGAAATGTATTTACCTGGTAAAATATTTTTAAAATGTAAAAAGATAATTTTATTTTCAAAGAGTCGATGATACGTTTAATTGTATGCAACTGACTTTTTTTTAATGGTACTATGCAACAGAAACAAATAACTGCAAAGCTTAATTATAAAATTGTAAGGATGCATCCACATTTATATATTCAACCCTTAAAAAAATGTTAGGGCCATATTACTTAAATGTGCAACACCGTCCTTTTATATAAATAAGCATAAGCTGAAGCAGTTTTTTTCTCATTTTATTGTAAATATGACTTTTAAAAAAGTGGTACTTTAAAAATCCGTGATACATGACAGTGTAATTTTATTAAATTCACCATGTGAAAAATAATTGACAAATAACTATTAATTTATAATTTATTATGTCTATCTGTATATGATTTTAGTGCAATTTTTTAGACTGAAATACAAGCCTCGTAATTAATGTGGTTATCGACATATATTGCTAAATTTCGAGCAGGTTATTTAAGGTAGTTAATTTATATTTATAAACTTAGTTGTGAACTGTTAGTGAATGTGTAATATCCTTATAATGATTGTTTGTTTCGGCCACAACATTAATTTTGTAAATTATATTTGGTCACTCAAACATGAGTTATTCAGGGTTTTCCATATTGTAAAACTCCCCCATTTCTATTTAAATAAATTTATATTTGTAACAATAATATTTAATTTCATTATGGCACTTGACCTTTTAAACTACGTATTATTCCCAAAATATTACCATTCCGAGTTTAAAAATAATGGGGACATGCAGAATTTTCTGACAATTGCTTAGGGAGCAATAAAAGCAAAAATAAATAAACGGCTTTATTTCAAACGATCTTTTAAATACAAATTGAACTATTAAATGCGTCACAGCCATATAAACACTAACTGGCAACAATACAAAAATATATGATTTCTATGAACAAATAAATAAACTTCAAACTGAGAAAAACCACTGAAACACTAAAGATTGAATCTTTGTGCTCAGTTGCTGTAACAGAAATTAAAGTATTTCTCATTTTGAAATATTTTCGATTACATTATATAACAAACATTCTAATAACCGTAAACCACTTCAGTTTAACACGTTAGAAACAGTTAATATATGTTTGTTTCACAAACATTTTTTGAAAAGAGAATCAGTCTTATATATTTTATTACTTTAAAATACTTTTTGATAAGTTCACAACTTATTCACTGAAATCGAGCTAATTATACAAAAATGTCATATATTTTAAAAGTCACGTTTAGTCGGAAATTTCAATGCATTGTTTAGGTATATCTAGGACGGACAATAAAAGCGAGAACACTTTTACATCAAACAGCCAAACATTACAACTAACTGGGTTCGAATATCACTATTGGTTACAGTGCAAAATTAAACAAAGAATATATCGGGACATTAAAATAATAGTAACAGATAACATTTTCTAACAAAAATATCACAAGATTCTCCTGAGTCTCGGTTTTACTTGCTATTAAATCTATCACGTGTACAGCAACCCATAAAATCTAATAGGAACTGAGAAATACTAAACTTATTAATACTAAACAAGAACAAACGCAATTAGATACTGCTTAGGTTAACTCCTGTATTGTGAAGGTCCCTGGTTGCAATCTTCCAAAATGTTCATCCATTTGGTCATCTGAAGAAAGCAAATTGTTTTTAAAATGAACATTAACGAAGCAAGAAGCAATACCCACCTTAGCTCCTAATAGCTTTCTCCTCAAACCCTCTGGTTCATGTGGCATTTTATTCAGCAATATTTGTAACCCGTTTTTGAGAAGATCTGTCCCACGCTGGAGATCATTTTGCATAAAGTACATTTCGCCAACCACACATAAGTCGTAAGCTGTTAATAATTCTGGTGAAGATTGTAACAAACACCTAGAAGAATTGTTTTATGTTAATGTTTTAAATATATTTTGATGAGCTTCTAAACTTGCCTTAGTCTCTCAGTATCTGAATGCATGTCAAGAGATTCCATGGATCCATTATTGATTACCTTGTCTAGTATTTTTTCAGAAAATTTTGTAAATTCACGAAGTTTCATTAATATGTACCTATAGAGCCCTACTTCCTCAATCTCAATGGAGTGTATCTGTAAATGTAATATGGCTTCTATCACTGCAATGTATCCAGTACCATATTTCTTTTCCTTTATTAGATCGACACCATTCAAAAAGCACTCGTATGCTTTAAAGTAATGGTTTTGTTCATCTTTTACAACGTCAACTTTTAAAAATGGGTGATTTAATAGATTAACGCCTGATAATCTCTTGTCTTTATCGTAACTTATTAAATTTCTCAAAAGATTCAGGCAGTCAGGAGTCAACAGTATAGACTGCGCTTCTGGAAACTAAAAAATTTATTAATACTTTTTAAAAGTTCATTAAATTTGCGCCATTTTCGAACCTTTACATAAATTCTCTTCCTTAACAAACTTATATATTCCTCTTTCGAAATTTTAGTGGGATACGGTTTATCACCATAAAGCATTTCGTACATTAAGACTCCTGCCGAAAATAGATCAGATTTATAATCGGCGGGAAACCCAAGGTGGATTTCTGGAGACATATAAAAGAAAGAACCTGACTTCTTTTGAATAGTCTGATTTTTCATTATTACCTCCGCCAGTCTGAAAGCAACGATAAAATTAAGCCTTCTTAAAAATTAAAAGAAACAAGATTTACCCAAAGTCAGTCAGTTTTATTTTTAAACCTTCCTCTTCAATAAGGATAATGTTTTCTGGTTTTATATCTCCATGAAATATATTCTTACTATGTAAATAACATATTGCGGATAAAAGTTGTCTCATTATGATTTGTACACTTTGTTCAGACAGATTATCTCGTTTTTCCATATATTTTGTTAAACACCCATATTTAGAATATTCTATTCCAAGGTACATATAACTTAAAATATGTTGCAATTAAATACCATATCTTTGAAAACGTATGATTTGTAAGCTCTTGGTAAAACGTGCGGCGGCAGCGATGACAGTCGGACTATATTTCAGTATTTAGGACTTTTAAAGAACGATCGTTCCTATATGTATAGAAAACTGCACAATATTTAATATTTTCATAGAACTATACTTAAACAATAACCAGACTTACACTGCTGCCACACGATACCTTTCTGGAACCTTAAATATCCTTCCTTAATGAGTTTTGAGGGCATAAAGAGTTTTTTTTATATAAATATATGTAACGTAAATGTGCTAAAATTTACTACTTACTACTTTTTTATATCCGAACATATATATGAAATAATATTCGGATGTTCTAGCAACTTTAAAAACGCAATTTCAGTAGCGGCCCTTTCAAAATAACTTCGTTCTTTCACCTTCAATCTATAAGATTTGATAGCTATCATTGTGTGTGTGTTCTAAAAGTAAGAGAGTTTAAGAAAACCTTTTTAAAAGCGCAAACTTCTTACCTTATCCAAAGCTTTGTAAACAGTTGCGAATGAACCCGTTCCAATTTTTTCTCCCAAAGTAAAGGGTTCAGAATCAGGTATAAGACAAAGGTCTCCTGCCATTTTGCCTTTATATTTCAGTTAAATTTATATACAAATCACAGTATAGACTACCAAATAGCTGCTACTGAAATATTAAACAAGAAATTTCAGCCAGAAGTTGAAATGTCAAGAAAAGTAAAATATAGCCAAGATTTTTAAGCGTATTCGAAGTATTGTTTATATGACACAGAAATGAATAAATAATCATTTAGTAAGAATATATATTACTAAAATACTGAATGTATTTACTGTTTACCAAATTAGTTTGAATTTTTATTTTACAGTAAAGGTTAAGTACATTTCAAGAAAAATAAAGGGTTTTTTGGCGACCCAAACCACATCAAACCCGGTTAGCTAGAGTGTGATTGTGTTAGGACTTTGAGTTAACATTTGACAGAACTCGCAAAAATTCTTTTGGTTTGGATATCTAACATCAATAATAAAATCGTAACCTATAATATATGATAGCGATCGTAGCTCAAGTTGATTTATTATTTCTTATATACTATTGTTGTTATTCCTAATCTGAAATGCACATCCACAAAAGATCGTTAAAGTATGGATTGGTTATTAAATCAAAATGGGTTTACCTTGTTCACAAATATTATCTATTCCAACGTATATAGTAAATGTATCGTCTAAAAGGAAGTTAATAAAGATCTATACAGTACAATATAGAAAATGCGTATCTAACATTTTATAAACGATTAAAGTTATTTGGATCCTCGATTACTATTTCTTTATTATCAATTATAAATATTTGTATTTTTTGTAAAGTGAATCCATTACCAAATTTTTTTATTTACAACTTATACCTAACCAAACCTCTAAAAAAACGAACGAAGTAGTGACTATATAGGTACGATGGTACGAAACAGAAAATAAATAAACAAAGATAGAAATATTAACTTAATATCCAAACCAACCCACAAGTCCGGTTTGATGGTTAGGCAAACTCTGCCAAACTGAGTTAACTACATTTCTCGCCAAAACGTCAAACCACAACAAACTATAGTTAACCGGGTTAGCGGTTTTCTCGCCAAAAAACCCTTATAGTAAACAAGAATAACAAACCGTAGCGCACCTGTCGAACGTTAGGGGTACTGAAAAAAACAAAATCAAATACTAGGTACGTCACGATATGTATGTATGTATTATTTTTATATTTTTATTTATTTAACCAACTTTCTGAATGATATCCTGATCAAAATTTTAACCTGGCATTTAATTCATCAAAAACAATGTCTAATAGTTTTTCGAAAATCTCCAGTTTTTAAGATAAGATTTTTAAATATTTTTAATTTTTGTTACCCGCCACTGCAGCATTAGTCCCAATGCTTAATAATTAATCAATTATTGATATTGATAAACTAAAGAAAAGAAAAATGGAAACCTGTTAGTTCTAATAATATTAGTGTTTAAGCTAACAAAAAAATAGTGAATCGCTCAAAAAACATTCGCATACGATACGTTACTTATTCTTTAATTCATGGGCAGCTTGTTACCTTTATTTTATTGGGTACAAAAAATTACAATATATACTTTTTTATGAATTAATGTGGTTTTGGCAGTTTTTTTCAGCACACCCTGTGTATTATTATCTGCGGTGTAGTAGCAATGAATATTTTAGAACTCCCTCTTATTTCAGTTTTATTTTAAGTACATACCTAGGTATAATCAACAATAAAAAAACTCATCTTCAGCAGCGTTCAGAATAGCTGAGATCTCAAGTAAATGGGACAGGGCTATTGTTACTGTTAAATATACAATTATTGAAATTAAATTTTCTACGCATCGTTCTATTAATTTTTGGTTACTCCCAAATTAAAATTGTAACTATAAGTATATTTTACTAAAATGCAGAATAGCTTTACAACCACAGTTTTAATATTCTACGGACTAACAGAATACAATAATCTGATACCATGTTCCTTAATTACACCACTCCAAAAAGATATGGGTAGAAGAAATTTAACTAAAACAACGCAAGATAGCAAGAAACATTTGTATACATATAGTTGATAAGTTGGCCTAAATCGTGCTGTTTCAATCCCAGAAATCTGTGATCATTCTAGGAGTCCTTGCATAAAAATAATCTCAAATAAATTTGTGCAATATGTAAATATAGCTTCTTCAAATTCTTATAAAATGTTATTACATACTACGTCTGAAATCCATTAATCAAATTAAAAGAATAAAATATTAAAAACAGTTTTATTCAATGAAACAGAAACAAATAACTTCACAGGAAACAAAACATAAAAAATAAAATAATAAAATACTTATATATCTAATTTATAAACAAATAACTCTTTAAAAATATGAGATCCATTACAAATCATTTGACTAAGAACTAAAAGGCACGTTTTATCACAAAATGTATTTCAGGTACCTACTTATTAAGTACCTACCTAGTTTTTGTTCAAGAGATCAATTACATACAACAATACATTTTCTTATTTACCATTAAAAGTTACATACAATGTGGGTATGTCCTACAAAGTATAAATTACTTAAAAATTAAAACAAGGAACAGTTATATCACAAAATTTCAGACAATTAGTGCATTTCAAGTGCGTCTACAAAAAATCAGTTCAACAATATATTTGTACTTTGTGGTGCACTTGGAAATGACTTAAGAGTAATATTACTAATTATCATTCTTTTTCTAAAACAAATAAAACATTAACAAGTTTATTTTAAGAAAATCGATTCGATTAATAAAATTTTTCAGTCTGTTAATATAAAAGTAACTATATCTAAATTTTAAGAAAAAAAATATTGCATTGCAAATTTTATACATATTGTATCAGTCATGTATTAAGAAGAATATTATCACTAGTTAAATTAAAATACTTCTAAGTAGGTATTTCAGAATTTCAATTTTTTTTCACGACATAAATTATTTCTTACAAAAGGAATAATCCGTCTTATAATTAATATACAAAAACTGAACAGATTTTTAATTTTGTTTTTTTGTTGAAATAACTAACAAATGGAAATTTCTCTTTGGTAATCCATCAACTGCCAGGAAGCTCCACTAGTAGAAAATATATCTAAACAGAAATTATACTGAATAATTTTTATATTAAAGTAAATAAATGAATTTATACATGAATTTTTACCCAAATATGTACATAGTCTGGGTGTTTCTCCTACATATTTTTTTTTAGTTGATACATATAATGTCACTATTTACTCTAAAAATATATACTAGAAGCAATTTTCTTATAATAAATAAAATGAGATTTCATAAATAGTGTGTTTCATTTAGTCGGAACGTCCGTATTTAGAATGGCGTTGGCCGATTTCCAAAATTCTTTTTTTTGTGTGGTAGTACCTACTCAAAAAGGTCTACTTTTTGATATGAAATTTTTTGACATGTGATCTTTTCTATAGCCTACTATCATTAAGAAAAGACGTGAAGAGGAAGTGCATGTACTGAATTCCAAAAATCATTTTTAAAAAATTTTTAAAAAATCTGCATTTAGATTATTGTTAAAAAAGAAGGGCCCAATTATTCGATTACATAAAATCCCACAAAACACATTAATTTTTTTAATCAAGATTTATGTAATAGAATTAGACAACACCACATCATCAGTTGAGGAGAGTTATTAGAAATAAGAGGAGACAAATTGAACAGTGCATACCAAATGATAGTGGGCTAATGGAAATCAGTAATATTCAAATTTTATTTCATTTCGAAACTCATTTCTGGTATAATAAAAAAAATATATAATTTGTCTTATTGTGAGCACCCTGTATGAGTGAAATCGATGAAACTGCATGAATATACCTTCGGTTAATAAAGTTATGGAAAAATACCTTGAAAATATTTTCCACTGTTAATACAGGACACTCTGTAATGAGAAAATTTTTCGACGTTTGCACCTATTTTGTGAACACCCTGTAAAAGCTATAATAATAAAACTTTGTATTTAGAGTTTTGAGGTGTGGTCAAATCGAAAATGCTATCCATTTCTTACTCAAAAATATGCCTAATATATGTTTTTTTAATTTTTGAGGTTCTTTTCTTATTGATAGTAGGCCGTAGAAAAGATCACGTCAAAAAATATAATATCAAACGGTAGTCCTTTTTGAGTACTATCACATAAAATAATTTATTTTGGAAATCGGCAAACGACATCCTAAATACAGAGGTGTTCCAACTTTAAGTGAAACAGACTGTATATAAATAACAAAGGTATATAAATTATTAAAGCAAAATTGTATAGTAACTTAATTTAAGTCATTTTATTTTCATTCAAGAGAATTATGCTTGAAGTCTGACCTATTTGTTTTCAGACAGCTTGCAATAACAGAAAAATAAAATTCATATACTCACCAAGTTCTGACTTATTGGCATTACTCATTTGGAGATAATTCGGATAATTCAGATACCTGCGAAATTTCTGAATTTGTATGATGTGGTATACCATTCATTTGAGCCATTACACAGTTTTGGGGTGTGTTTGATATTGGAAATCCATTAATAGGATGGAAATCAGGTCTTTGCATGTTCTGTGCGAATGCAAAATTAGTGCAAGGATTTGTATAATCTGTCAGAAAATTTATCTGACTTGACAAAGTGACTTGTGGCTTAAGATATTCAACATTATTATTTCCTGGCATATGTGGCGCCAAATATTCAGCATAAGGATTTGTAGGGTTTAATACAGGATTTATTTGATCTAGTCCAGGATTCTGTGAGACGTGAATCATTGAAAAATTATCGATTCCATCTCCGTTTATCATATGATTTTGAATGGGAAGTGAATATGGAGATTCGGTGTGAGGATTTGTATAATATGGGGGATTTAGGTGATCCATCACAGGATTTTGTGACCCATACGGCTTTGCAAATTCATCTAAATGCCTCCTGTTCAATATAGGTCTTGGTGCTCTATAAGCAAATGGACATTCTACGTCGTATGTATTTGTATATCTTAAGGGGGAATTTAATTGCTGTTCAATTACGTTATCTTGTGACACATAGGGTTCTGCGTCATTGCGAATTGTATTCAATGTAGTAGGCCTTGCTATGGCATGTGTCTTCGAATATTCTGTAGTATAATCTTCTGCAGAATTTGTTTCGTCCAAGGCAGAAAACAAATCTTGTGCTGGTATTTCGTTAAGATAATTCCTATTCAAAATAGGCCTTGGTGGATTGCGTGGAAGTAAATTTTCTCCAGTACCATTTATATATTCTGGAAAAGGGTTTTGTATTGACCATTGT